TTGCATAAAGATTAATTAATTGAATTATGTTTATTGTTAAAATACCTTTAATTAAAAAAAAATACTAATAGTAATAATTTAATGAGATGCGGAGTTCCTAACGGTAAGGAAGAAAATTAACTTTTCTCGCTCCGTTTATTCACACGCATAATTTGTTATAGTAATCCGTTCAATAGATTTTTTCCCACATCATATACCGTCTGCTTCCGAATCTTTCCGGTTCTTAAACACAATATGAACCTAAAGTTAATGACATATTAATTAATAATTCCATTTGTAGTCGTTTTCGTCTGCAAAACCCTGAAATTAACACGATTGTGCAGTTGTACCTATTATGACATTTTAGAGTTTCAGATAAAAATTGATTAGGGTACATAGAATATTAGTAATTAAGATTATAAGAAGCTACCGCACCATATCCAATGATCCTTCCTTCTTGTGTTATTAAGTATACCACTTATTGTCAAAAAATTCAACAGGTTGCATGGAGGTAGCCTAAATAGCATTAACTCTGCAGACTGTGCTTAAGATGCTATGCGGTTCCAATTTGAAGGTCAGTGCAACGAATAGAACACTATCGTTTAGTTGCATACTGTTCTTTCTTTTAATATTTATTACCATCTGTACATTTATAAATTTCGTAATTTTATGGGATATCATATATATTTACAATTCACTATGTCTTTGGGAATTAGCAAGAATTTTTGTTCTCACGACTTTGCACTAAGGAGGAGATACTTGGAAAATTTGGTGAGGATTAAGTTATTTATCAAAGGTATTTTGAGGTCGTTGTGAAGGGTGGTATTGGATACATAAAGTGAGCGTTGACTATATTCTGAGGAATTTGGATTGGAAGGACTGAATTCGTTGTTATCACTGTTCTAGTGCAAAAGCTCAAATCGGTTTCTGTAATGTTTTATCGAGTGTGAGTTTGTTTTTTTGTCGACATGTCAGATTTCTGTACAAGTAGTTTATAGAAAAGTCCTAAGCGTCTGTTCAGTTCCCGTCCTTTTGTTTGTATGTGTAAGTTCCAGGTTAAATGTGTGTCAAGATAGAACCCAAGGTAGCGAATACAGTCGGTTTTAGGGTTAGGAATGTCTTTGAAGAATATTGTGTTTTGCTTCTGAGGGTAAATGTAACATGGATGCATTTGTTTTCATTAATATTTATCCTTCAAAGTTTCCTCCATTCGGCCGGGTGTCTGGTGCTCCTCCGAGCCAATTGCAGGATGGGGATCAGAGGAAAGCACGGCAGTCTCGTCTGCAAAGGATACAAGGAGTGTACAGGATATAGTCGAGATGTCAGAGGTACAGGCCATGTGGTACTCCCGCTCCCAGAGGGGAATATTCGAAATCCCTGGCTAACTCGGAAGAATCGTCCAGTGAGATAGAAGCGGAGGTGTAAGGTATTCGGAAGGAAGTTTCACACAGTATTCTTTTCGCTCTAAGGATGAAGATAAGGTCTGCAACACGAAGCACTTGCTGGGTTTTGGAATGTTGAGAGCGAAAACTAAGTAGGTGGTCTGAGAGAAGGCTGAAAGGATTACACACAGGGATCAACCGTTTTAGAAGGATCGTCTCAAATATTTTTGAGAAGAGAGAGAGCAGGTTAATCAAACTGCTCTTACAAAAGGAGGAGGCACTGGTCTTAAAAGCTTGCAGATTTTGCTCGAGAAACCATTGCCAGAAGACACAAGAAAAGATCAGTAGCAATTAAAATAAAAGTAGATGCGCAATGTAGCTTGCAAAATAAATAAACATATAAAACTTACAACGAAATATGACTTTCGAGGATTTTTTCCGGCTCAAGAACTAGAGGAGGTTTACGTGTTATAATAAATTTTGGCTTTTTCAGTATCTTCATTAAGTCACCAACTAATTAATAAACAGTTGTCGAAACAAAGAAGAATCAGTGAACCGTTTCTAAATTAGTTCTATTTTTCTTTTATTTGACTTTCCACTATCTTCCTTAAAGATAATGATTTTCAAAAACTTAATCATATTTTCACTGAAGAAAAACAAAAAATCTAATAAAATATACTTGTATGTACTTGAGAATGGCACAGGATGCTTAAACGTCGTACGTAAAAACTATTGTTGAAACACTTCAAGAAAAAGGTCCAAAAATAAAAAGTATGTACTTAAAACTTTGCTACCACATCATAGAAGAAAATCAAATAAATAGACTGGTCTTAATAAATCCATGACCACCACTTCTCTTCGGCCTACTGCAAATCCGCAGTCTCAGACCTGTACCAGCATACTTTAATTTTTTGACGAAAAGATAGATTCAGAACTTATAAAATTTAAAAAAAACAATCAGCACTAAATATGGCATACACATTGTCGAAAATAAGATATGCACCTTCCGGACATGATGATTGTGATGATTTGAAAAAATGATCGGAAACAGCCTAGCTCTCAGTTCGACTGGCGCACAATTAAAACTTACTCCTTAAACTGGAATTATTTACTAAAAAGTCCCCGAAATGAGTCAATGACTGTAATGGAAAAGTGCCTCAACTAGAAAGTCGTAAAATTCAATTGGGCTCGAAGACGTTTTTCTTCGTACAGTATCGTTCCAAAAGGTTATTAGGATTGGTATGTTAATTATACCTAAAAAGTAATAATGACGGAGGCGTGTAATTTTTACTTATTTTTTAAAACTATTTTCCTATGTTAACGCGAGGCAGAAATGAGGCTAGGAAGATGGTAGATGATTCTATCTGGAGCGAGACGCTGTTCCACATCGGCCTTTGTTTACAAGCATCTTTTTTTAATACCATTTCCTCTGATTTTTCTACCTTCGATAAAACCTAGATTGGACTTTAATTTACTAATCTCCAGATTAGACAGATTTCGTTGCCTTAAAAGAGAGAGAGATTGATTAACGTTTTATTTATGCTCGGATGATATAGATGACTATAGTCCATAATAGTTAACAACTTAATTAAGGTAAATGTGATAAGACAATTTAGTTGATGAGAAAGACAATTTAATGAAACAACTTAGCGATTGGTATAACCGTTAACATTAATGTATATTACTTTCATTACACTCATTTTCTTTGCATAATTGTCTGTGGTGAAAGTATGAAAGTTTCGTCCAAAAATAAAGGTTTATTTTATGTTTAATGCTAGCTTAACCGGAAATCTATTCAGATTGTTATTTCCAGTTGTATTTCACAGTTGCGGATCGAGCCGAGTATCATTTTACTTTCTACCCATTCTTCTTGCACCGTAAGGACGATCTTTTCCAAGATCTTTTTCCCGTTAAGCAGCGCCGTCGAATGGAAGTTCTTCTTCATTCCCAGAAACGTCAATCGAGGAAAAATCAAACGGCCGGAAACAGAAGAACGGCCGTCGTCACTTGACGGGATCCCTGGAGAAAGACGAATCCAGGACAGAAACGGCATTTCGCCATGACATCCTCGCAACTGCTGACCGTCGCCTTACCACCGAACAAAACTGCCAAATTGAAAGTGAATTGAAAAAGCGCCTGAACCATTTTTCAAAAGAATCTCTACATTAAAAACTTTAAGAACTTGAAATATTTTAAAAATTCCAAATTATCAAACAAGTCTATTTTTTATGGTGACATTCAAATTGTTTTGTTGTGTCACTAGTTCAAACTTAATTGAACCGAACCCTTTTGCGATTCTTAAAAATTCGGATTAGCCAAATAACTTAAATTATTGAAATAGAGCAGTACCACAACTCTATTAGACACACCGGAATAAGGAAACGTGTACGTTAAAACCAAATATAAATTTTTGACGCAGGACAAGAGTGGTGGTTTAGTTAAGCCGTTTAGGAATATCTTGGATCTGCCATCGTTGCAGTTTTGGCTTGTCGGTACGTTCGGCTTCTCGCCATCTTCAATCTGTAATAATAATTTTTTTTAAACCCATCGCTGAATATGTCGAGGAGTCGCGCCTGACAGACACATCGGGGCACGCAGGCCTGACAATTTTGGAAGAGAGTGAAGGAAAAAATCGGTAGTTTGGTGGAGTCAAAGTCAATAAAGTTTAAATTTAACTGTAAAATACTTAAATTTTCCAAACTAAAAAATTTCCTCTCCATCTATCGAAAAGTGTTCGGATTAGTTGAAACTACACCGTCGTACACAATTTTAAGTGCTATACAATGTGTACTTTTAAAATTCAAGTCCTTTGTTCTATTTATTATATATTCATTGAATCATTATAATCATTCAAATATCACATTTTAATGCCCTAAAGATAAGACTTGTTAAAGAATTTATGAAGTCTGCCCAAATTATAATTTTCTTTAATATGTTTAATATTCTTTTCCTTCTTTTTTTAATTTTTCTTAAGGCCTTTTTGAAATTTTCAAATATACGATTTTTGTCCATCCTGTGTCATTTTCAAGTGCATTGTTAATTTCTGTAAAATGTTTTAATTTTCATTCCAGAAAATTATATTACAGAAAATTCTGAAATAATGTAATTTTTTTAAATATATAAACCATGTACTTGAAAATGGCGCAGAATGCCGAAACGCTTATATTTGAAAATTTCTTTAGCGCAAGCGGGGCCAGTTGGGGCTTTATTATCTTATATTATTATTGGTTTAATGGTTTATTTTTTGATGACCACTGTAGGCGAGCTTGAATAAGTATATAAGCTTTCATATAAGTTATGTTAAATTATCTGTTTACAACGCTTAGATGCAGGTGTCAACCAGTGAACTTGTTCTTGTAACTTCAAATAATTTTTTTTTTAAGGAATTTAAATATAGGGTATTCTGCGCCATTTTCAAGTACATGGTTTATTTATTAAAAAAATATATAATTCAATTTTCTGTAATATAATTTTCTAACCAAATTATTTCACTATTTAAATTTTGTCTAGTGTTTATAGTCCGATTGATTTATTTAGAGACGTTCTCGAAATAAAAAAAATCATCCTTAAGCACTGAATAAATTATAAATGAAAACTTGTATTTTTTCTAAATAATTGAACAGTTTTTGTGTTTTCTAGGGCCTACGAAGGAGTGAGCAGCCAGCGTGACACCCCGACTTCCTCTCTATGCACGTAATTGTTCTTCTAAGTCGTATAAGAACTGGGTCGTCTGAAGATCCGTTACTCGGGGTTCCGAAGCTCCAATTTGATCGACTCCGATTGATTTTCCCTTCCTAGTTTCGATATCAATCAGCGAACACGTGCCTCGCCGAATAAAAACCGTCAAGATTTCCAAACATCAAAGAAAGTTAAATTTTAATAATTGAAAAAGATAAAAATGTTAGTGTTTCAAAACGTTTCAGACTACAACATTTAAACCGTCTTAATTAAACTTATTGTGCAATGGTTACGTTCCATAATTGAACTTCAACCGGCGTAACTGTGCGCTAACTTCCCACATGTGTGCATGTGTACTCAAGAAACGAGAAAAATCTTTTATATAATTCTTTGTTGCAAATTTTTTGTAAAATCTATTTTTACAATATTATAAGTTGAATTTGATCATTTTAAAAGTTTATTTAGTTGATTGATATATGTGATAACTATACTGGCGGAGGAATCTTCGTGTAATGAAGGTTCAAATGTGTATTTTATGTTTTAGAAATATATATATTTTTAATCGTTGTTATTTCCTATATAACAAGTTGTAATAATAATAATTTTCATAGAGCAAGAACACACATAATGTCTTTTAGTTCCATCTGAATTGTGTGACAATTGTGTTGCTGATGAGCCGATTTCTTAATGTTCGTGGGCATCTGCCATTTTTCATCGGGCTATCGTTTGTCAGCCTAATGAGAGAAAATCCACGGATTTTTTTATAGGTTCAATAGTCCGAATACCTATCGCAGCACAATTCGCACTCGCGTCATTCTACCTCTGCTGCGCTTCTTGTTCGATCCTGTGTCGCTCACAACTCTGTGTGTTTCAAACGTTTCTTTCGTAATCGCCAGTCTCAGTTTTTTTGGTGGTTGGTCAAATTGGAAACATAGGTACTGTGGTCAGTGAAATAAGACACACTTCCCTACTTTTATCCCACTGCCTATCTTGACAGGCGGAAATTCTGCCCACGTGGTCACTCAGGAACTAGGAGAGCCAAAAGTCCGTCATTATCCATAAAAAGACACTTGCTCTCGAATTATTTGGTCGTATTAAAAAAACATATATCTAAACGTCTATCAATCAATTCTACCGCTTGTCGAGGACCGTTTTCCGACTTCTCTTTGGCTGTTGACAGGGCTGTTTCCATAATGGAGTTGAGTGTCTCTAATTAGCTGAGAACGTAATTTGGTTTATCTTGCCGGCTTGTCGCTAGATTCATTGGTATTATCGCCTTTTTTCCGAGTGCTTACAATTTTAGCGCGATCAGCCCCACTTTTCCACCTAGGTCTTAAACATAAACGTAATTCGCTTTTCTTTTCGTTCACGTCATCGCTCAATTTTGTCCTATTAAGTTCCCCTGTTAAGTTTTCTGTAATTTGTAACAATTGTTTTGTCGTATATTTTCTAGTTTTCTTTCATAGTACTTAATATTTTTGATATTCTTATTTCAATTGTAATTGCTCTTTCACTGATGGTTCCATATTTTGGTGGGTTTTATCTTTTTATTATATATTATTAAACCATATATATATATATATATATATATATATATATTTTATTAAACCACAAACGCATCAAATGACTCGCCTGAGGGTGACTTGGGCAAACGTTCATTCTCATTAAATTGAATTAGCTTTTCACCCATTTTTGGTCTTGACACTCTATATCGTCGAATGGGCATTACATTAAGGTGGAACAGGGGCAGTTTTTTGATCTCTTTTATAATAGATTATATTTGAGTTTATATAATAAAATCGCACAGCCTTGGCTTTTTTAAAAAAACCTTTATCGTTTTAGAAATTTTACATTCATTTTTTTCGGTCGTGGGTGAATGTTGACCTCAAAAACCCATAAAGACCATCAACAAGATCGGCCTTGGACTTGAACTTGTTTACACAACAACTTTTAAGCAAAATAATAAATATTAACTTTTTAATTATTTTTTATCAGCTTATGCTTAATTATATAATTACTCAATTAATTATATACATTTTTTCGAAGTGAAATGATTTGAATCGAACACAGCCCCGCTAATGTAGTATAGTCATTAATAAAAAGTGTTTCTATATGAAGCCGCGATTTGCTTACAATTGGAATAAAGCGGGGAGTCGAAATGGGAAGTTATTGGGATGTTTCCCCATAATATATTCCAGGACAATCCATGCAGGATATTTTATAGATCAAGGCCAGGTCTTCTATCTCTGTCAATTTTGCCGTTTAATTTTGAGAATATCCTATTTAGAGGGTTGATATTTTTAAACGCAATCTTTGTATCTGGTAATTTTCTATGGCAGAAACTCCTGATTCAGCCAGTCCTCGGATATATAGTAAAAAAGCATATTCCCGGTGTTGCCTTGAAAAAGAATGAAATACCATTCGAAACGTTGGCAATTTAAAGAATTGAGCACTACGCTGTTTTCCGTCTGACTGCACATCCCACAAGTCAACATCGTTGAATATAACAGTCATAAATGAAATATGTTTAGTTATTATAGATGCTTTTAAAATAACACAGTATTGGTAAAGTAATTTGTGTGTAGAGTGTTTTATAATCCTTTGAGCATGATTCAAGCTCCTACCAGGTTCGTATTTGTATAAGTTATAACAGTTTTTGTATTTATATTTAATAGGTACTATTGCTTGTTATATATTTGTAATATTCATATAGATAGCCTTTGTCACAAACCGATTGCATCGCCATCAAATAAAAAAGAAATCTCAAGACTGCTCTTGGTAATACTCGGGTTTTATGAGTACGACATTATTCGCACTCAATCTGAATTTTTAAAATAAGAAGAAAACAAAAAATAATATTTTAACAAAGTGAGCACTAGTTATGAGGTTTCTGCGTTCGAATCCCTCCTTAGCCCATGGAAATGTAAATTGAGAATAATATTTAAAAAAATATATTTTAAGTGGTTTGACCCCTCGTCCGCGACATTCAATAGGTTGAACATCAAGCTCTCCTATGTTATAGGAATCACTTTACTTCAACTTTATACTGGACTACTAAATTTTATATTCTTTTACTTTACAGACTACTACTTCTACGTACTAAACTTTATACTCTTCTTGGAGTTTAGTAGATAAGCATGCAGTTTTTTATTGTCAATTGTGTATGGTTTTATTTTTGGAAATAGATAAAATTTTACTCACTGGTGTCTGCAAATGCGGACGATAGTATCCCTGCGAGGAGGGGTAGGAAAAATTTCATATTTGTCCCGGCACTTATACACTAATGGTCGTATCTTCCCCTAGTTCTTATATCTTTGAAAAGTTCTATCACCTTCTGCTCTTCTAGAGGAACACCTGTCGGATGAACATGTGCTGACTGACTGAAGTAGTGGGGTCCCTTTCTTCAGGAAGACTGGCGGTTAACAGTAAAGGACTGACGTCACTACTTTCCCGTATCCCCACCATGGAGAAAACTGAAGAAAGGGTGAAGAAGTACAAGACGATCCGACGAGGGGCAGGAGAAAGAAAGAGGAACGGGGTGAGAAGTGAAAACATTTGAATGCCCCCGGTTGTGCGGACCCCATTCGACGATCGACAGTCACAGTTAACCAGACGTGGGTGGAATCCGCACATCCGAATCTGGATCGCCGTTCGGGCCGGTGGTCGTGATTCCGTAATCCGGACTCGTAGACTTCTGCCATGTATATTTAGGTCAAAACGGTGACTTCCTCATTATGATAACGTAAAACTTTTAATTAGAACAAGCTGCTAAATTCTGCGAAACTGCAGACCTGCCGAAACCAAGAATCTTGCAGCAATTCCCACGGATTATGGAAAGAGATAGTCTTTTCTAAAGCAATGTTTATGTCTTGAATTTTTCAGGACTGTTTTCCAAAACAAATTTTGCACGATATGCACCACAGGAAGAATTTCAGCTACACATATTGCGACTTCGCCAGGATCCGCTGGAGTAAAAACTAATTTTCATTAACATATTTTCCTGAATTTATTAGTATTATATTTTATTACTTTCTCTGTATCAATATTTTGTTCCTGTTATAACTATTTATTGCTACTATCAAACTTCTATCAAAGAATTGTTTTGTTTTCCCTACATTTATCTTACAGTTGGACTTTCTTCAACATTTAAAAAAATAAAAGTTAAGCGAATGCACAATAAAATCACAATCAATAATTGAACAATACTTTTAGAATAGCGGTATTTTAACCCAGTTTGTCTAGATTAAGTTTAGTTAATGAAAACAAAAACTTAAAAAACAAAACGGAACGATTTGTCACATTAGGTTCAAATTGCAAGATAATTAGAAAAGGAAGTTAATTTTTAAATCCATTATGTTTAGTGGTCTATTGACTAAATTACTTCTTTCAATTAATTATTCTTTTTATGTAAGGTCTTGGTTGAAATGAAAAAGCTAGTGTCACGAGCGGGATTCGAACCCTGGACCTTCGGCTCAATACTGGGAAAATTCGAAAGGTCGCAGGTTGAGATGGCGAGTTGGTGTCCGAGTGGATCAAAGTCACGATAGCTCAAGTGGTAAGAGCAGCGGCGTTTTGAGCCGAAGGTCGTGGGTTCGAATCCCGCTCATGGCACTAGCTTTTTTATTTCAACTAAGATCTTACATAAAAAGAATAATTAATTGAAAGATGTATTTTTAAAGTTATACATACAAATCTAACAATAATTTCCCCAATTTTAACCAGTTTTTTTATTAAAGGTAAGTACTGTCTATTTTTTCTAAGTGATCTTCCATTGGTAACAAGTTATCTTATCTGTATCTTATCACCAAGAAAGTGACTATTCCACGAATCCTATCGCGACGTTCCCTTGGACGTACTATGCAAATATGTTTATGAGCATCTTTATAGACAGATAGCGTCCTATTTCTCCAAATCTCCTAAACCGATGCTATCTAATAGGAGTACCTTGGACGTTCCGCTACAGGAAAACGCCTGTATCTAAACACGCATTTTTCTGCGTTAAATTTTATTATTTTATTTTACATCAAGACTAGTAGGGTGAGATTTTGAACAGAAACAACAGATTATGAGTTGCTTGAGAGGATCGTTGTTTCGTCTGCAAAGTTTTGAGGATATGATGGGGTGTCGTACAAAATGATAGTAAGTATTAATTGGAAAATGGAGGTGAGAAGAATATTTGCTGGCATTAGTAAATTGTCCGTAGCTGGAGAAAAGAACTTCTGGAGGTCAGAACGGAATCTACCGTATTTAATCCATTATCTTAGACATCGTCCATCCCGAACGGGATAAAGTAGGTAATATGCAGTCAGGCTGAAGATCTTTAATTTTTGTAAACTATCTTATTTATTTTACGGAGTCTGCCGACTTTATGAAAGAGGAACATCAATTGTTGATCATATTGATGGTTAGACCGTCTTGAGTTAAGTATTCTTCTTATAGTAGTCTTTTTTAAGTATTCATGAAACAACTAAGCTACTTCGCGGCTAAGAGCGTACGACAAACAGACCAGATCTCTGAAAAAGTTCGATAAAGCTCTTTTACACGTGTAAGTTTTTTAATACAATGGTTAAGTTTTGAAGCCTGAAAGCAAAGGTTCAAACAATATTGGCTAGCCTAATCGTTATTGATTTTTATTGTTTCTAGATTAGAATATTTGGTTACCATGCGAAACGCTGCTGATTCTTTGATCAATGATTTCCAATATTGATATTTTTTATCAAAAAAACTTATCAAAACTTTTTTACAGCTGAATATCTGAAAGGAATAAGATAGTACTTAATACATATCCCTTGAAAACTCCATCAATTTGTATAGGCATTGTGTGAGAAACGGGACCTATGCCTCGAAAGAAGTTGACTAAATTATGAAGTCGAGTCATCAATTTTTGATGATTTGTGGAATCAAAAGCCCAATTTAAGTCTCTAATTAAAGCCACAATTTAATTTTCTTAAGCCTCAAAACATATACATACGTCACTAACGATAGTTAATAACAGTATTGGTTGAAAAGGGTTGTCTGATGACATTTTGATTGTTTCAAATCTTCTCCTGGTTTATTATCCTTAACTGTTGATAAATTATTTTAAAATAGTCCTTAAGTGAAAATGATTGAGTAAAAAAATGTAACGACTTATAAAAATGACATTACTATCACAGGGAGAACAGAATCCAAAGATGAGTCATCAACGCTTGCGAGAGAACAAATTGTTTGATGTGCCGTAGCTTTAAATTTTCCCACAGTTTCATACCACAGCCCGTCTGTCTGCTTTTGGTGTAATGAACTCTTATTTGAACCGCAAGTCAGTTTTAACGGAATTCAACTGCGTTAAATCCTAGGACAGACTAACAGTTTATACCGAGTTGGCCGAGGAAGTTGTACAGACATATCAAAATAACGATCGAAAATTAAGGCTGTAACCAAGTTTAATGTCATAAATAATTAAGCGGTAAGAATGTACACGTAACGGCCCTTTATTTTAAAGTTAAAGTTTAGGACTGTGTGTCGGTGAACAAACATTGAACCGGCACTTGATCACTTATTGGGTCCGTCTACACTCGCTGGTTTTTGTTATTACAGTGAAGAACTAACACACTGAGCTGGAAACGTGTGTGAATAACTTGAAAAATTTTAGACGGACCCAGTGTCAGTTCAACCCCTTATTCTGCTTCTGTAAAATCGACGGAATCCGGGTTAATACTTGTAACTTTTGTCTTCTAGAAAAACGCCTTTCTAGAATTCCCTGGCTTTGGAGCTAAAACAAGGCTACCGTGCATATAATTGCTTAAATAGAATCAATGTAGTAAATACAAACTCTTAAGGAATCGATTACCTTTGGAGTCTCTTAGGATATAGGTATTAGAAATATATAACGAAAATGTAGACATAACTTGTCATAAATATGTATGTTAGGCTCGTATCATGATAGTTGTACTAGATATACATAATGAGGAAAGTTTAGGGGCCGACAAATAGCTGAGATCATCGCCTGCCCTTGTCCTTCTTTTCCTGGTCTTTCACGCGTATTTTGTTTTAAATTGTTTCCGTTTGCGCGTCTCGATCTGTCTGACTGTCTCTGCTTAGTCGATATCCTAAAATGCTACCCTCTCATTTGCCCCTCAGGTTGCAACTGCAGGATAAACACTAGACATCACCACTCTATACTAAAAACGTAGAAGTCTGGTCACAATCACTCAGCAACAATAATCTCGGCATTCCTCGGGGCGGGATACGAGTAATACCACATAAATAATAATGGCGAATACTCAATAAATTGAAAGAATGATGGCCTAAAATATTAACAATCTTCAACCAATTCGATGATGTTTCCCTTCTTCAACACAAACACCTTATTAAATCTCCAGGCGACTATTTCCTTCAGTTCTTCCTACTTTACGTACACAATGGAAGTGTCTACTGTTTAACGCCAGCCTCTTTTTTTTTCTTGTGTTCGGTCACCTTGGAAACATTGTTTTTAATCGGCTTTCTATGGATATAGTATATATGCCTTCAGTATGCAGATGTCAGGCGGAATTTGTGTAAATGCTGGCCAAAATTTCCATGGCCATTCAGGAACTGGGAGAATCAAAAATCAACACTTATGAAACCTGCTTTCATATTATTCTCAAGTATTAAAAAATTTTGTATAGGCCCATTGATTCTGCCACCTGTTGATGGTCAATTTTTCCGCCTTGTCTTTGGCCTTCAACTGGGTTGTTTTCAAAATGGAGATGAGTGTCCTCAGTTAGCTGAGAACATTTAGTGTCGTATGCTTCGGGCGTGCTTAACAGATTTTTAAGTCTGTGGTATTTTGAATTAGCCGATGGAAAGCTATAAATCCTCAGGCAGCAAAATCGAATTTAAAATCCCATAAATGTTATAATACAAAACATAATTTCTAAATATGGCACAGCATAACGAGGTTCTAAAGTCAATTTTAAATTTGATTTCTCACATTTTTTTGTAACTATACTGCATTAGTAAAGTGCTTCTCTCAAAGAGAAATCATATTTGGATAAAATGAGCTGAATATTTTCTCGCCTTATGAATAGTGATTGATTATCGTCTGTACGCGAATGACAATTAAATTGGAAAGTAGGTTAATATATGAAAGATGCCATCGACATTTTCCCAAGGGTCTTATGAATTAGAAACGCATAACAGTGCCAATTATCACCGTTGGTCGGCAATGTCGAAAGAGGACAATGTTTCATGTGCAAGTGGAGGGTAAAAAATTTAATTGATATCGCATGTTTTCGTCAACAGAAATAAGATGTACTGTCATGTAAAAATAAACATGGTTTGTCGGTGAGGATTTGATGTTTGGTTATTGTGCATATAGCTTTAAAAGTGGCGAAATAGAAGCGAAATAAATTTCATTGTAGAGTAATTGTTTTTTGTTCTGTTTTGTGGGTGATCTTCTTTCTGGGCCATCTGAACAGAGGGAATAAGCGTTCGACCTTTTTTTTTGTCTTTAACATCCGTCCTCGTATGGCCTTCACTCCTGCAGTAGCCTGAAGTTTATTAATGCCGCGCCGTCTCCCTAGTTTTCGCATTTCACGATCGAGCCTGGGTGCTGTTAACTGTTTCCTTTGGAATGTTAGAAGACAAGGGAATCTATCGTCTCCCGAATTCGTCACGCACGTACGGCCGAGGGTCGGCCTTCTTAAGTATCTCGCAGTTTCTCGACATCTTTTTAAAACCCCAAGTAGTACCAAACTTTTGTAATGCCAAAAACTACCATCAACTCTTGACATTGTCATCAGGTTGAAAATGACATTTTCCAATGGAAATGAAAGTAACATTGTATTTAATACAATAGTTGAGAGTCTACGCACAATATTTAACATTAATGTAACAATATATTAATGATGTCAGCAAGTTAAAGTACCACACTGCATGTTTCCCATACGCTGACAACACGGCTTTTTTTCATGTCCTCATTAGAATCGACACCATCACTAATCACTTTTAAAAGCCCTAAAAATGTTTTAAATATTTCAGCAAATGGAAAATAAACCCAACATTAGCAAAACTCAGGTAATATTATTCAAAGGAGGCCCGCAGTGTCATATAACGAACACGTCGATAATTTTCGAATACCATGGAAAAGATCCAAAAAATATTTAGGGATGCAGCTGGACTCCAAGCTGACTTACACCACACTCACCTTTTCTGTGACAAAACCATTGGAGTACTTCATGATTATTTCGTTTACTAAATAAAAAAATACATTGAATGTACTAAAATCCCATACCATCACCGCACTTTCGTTAATATTCCCCATCACCAAATGAACAAAAACAAAAATATTTTATGAGCTTACTGGCTCTTTTTCTAAAATATCGTGTTTCTGATTCTGAGACAGATCCGACCTATGTGCAGTATCGCATACACCTGGCATGTACAGCCTTTTCCCCACATTATTTACCTCGACGACACTGGGGGCGGAGAACCAGCCACGAACGTGTCGCTCCTGGTGTGACAATAAGATCCGTTATAACTTACGCCTGCCCCGTTTAGTCAAAATACATGTAAAACCAATTATGACAAACTCCAAATTGCAACAGAAAAAATGTCTGAGAAAGATGGGTGCATTTCGCAGATGGACTGCTATAGTGCTATTGGTTATATGCACTCTGCCCTTAGCGTGCCAAGCAAATCCACATACAACTTCTTGGGTGATACAAAATTTTGTGATATCATGAGAGAACAACCCTCTTCAGCATATAAATGAGATTGTTAATTATAATAATAGCTCACTCTATTATAAAAATATAAACATGAGAGAATGAAACATATCCTATTATAATTTAACCTTTCAGTTCGTACTACTCGATACTCCAGTGAGTCTTCAATTTTGACTCTTTAATTAAGACTAGTGTCACTACCATTGTCACTGACACTGGATTGGAAATGGAAAATTGGAAGAAATTCGTCAGGAAGAGATTTTGTAGATTTGAGTATTTATGGAGGTCCGAAGTCGTCGAATGTAATGTACAATATGCTGCAAGTGCCTTTAATCAGTTCTCTAGGAATATAAGTGACGATAGTTTGTAGAAATCATGTTTTCTTTCATAGTAGTAGAGTATTTATGGTGGTTAGGAGGGTTTTATGAAGCTTGCGGTGCCTAACTGGAGCAGAATACATTTTAAACAAATGAATTATTTATGGGTAATTTCGTTAGACAAATAGAATGAAACATCAAGGATTTTTCTGAGGACTATAGGTTGAGAAGTTGTGATGCGACGAATATCGGAATGTTGACGGCGGATGTTGGTGAATAACCCACACCCATCAACGGAAATTTATGTATCATAACATAGAAGGCGAGCCTTTTCAAAATAATATAACATGACAAGTGAAGTATAATGATGATTATTTCGCGAAAAACTCTTTTTATGACGTTATGTACGGTGGAAAAGCAAGTGCTATTAAGAATATTTCTTGCTAAAGAAGGTTTATGAAGATTCTATTTCTATTCACTATTCAGTGATGCTTTTCCTCGATAGCAATAGCCTGGTCGAATAGCAACATTTGATAAAATTAACCGACCAGGAATCAATTCGAAATAAACAGTGTATAAATCTAAAATTGCTCACCTTGCTAAGAACACGGCAATGACATCTAAGTCTTCAATTAGAGATGCGTAAGGTACTTTGCAGGAGATTATCAGCAACTTTGAAGAATCGTGTAATATTTGGAGGAGTAAGGTCAACGCGTCTCAACAAAACCTAGTGCAGTATACGTGCAGAAAAATAATCTTTCCGTCAGTAATTTTTCATAGGTGAGAACCTCAACTGGGATGCTCATATAGGCTGTAATAGATCTTACTTTAAAACCTACTGTTGATTCGACTCTTACGACAGATGGATTGTTTTTTGGCCACAATGACACTGATCATACTGCTGTGCACAATCGCATACGGACATTAGGAACAGGAGTTTCTCAGTATGTGAGAAATAATACCATTCACCGAGACTTTAACATACGCGAAGTGAAGTTCTAATCACATTCACGTCTGGACGTCATCACCAACAAATATGCTCACACTACTTGCAACGAGAAAAAATTGGTGACATGACACCACCATAGGAGTGAAAAGACACATAACTTCAAAGTGATAAAGCTAAAAGTTCTAATTAGTGATAGTGATATGTAACAAATCCGCAAATTTAGTACATAAACAATTTAATTTAATGTATATGTAATCAACATATACGTATATATATAAATAATGCAATTTGTTGTTGTTGTAGATAAGGATCATAGATGACACCTCCAGGAGGCGCCACTTCCTGGCACACAATAGATCACAGAATAAATTTCAACATAAAACCTTGTATCAGTTGTTAAACACAAGTATATTGATTTATATATCAATATATATAAATAGAGAAAAGATTTTAAAAAAAGACCCTCAACAGCTGATTTTTTCTTCCTCTAGTGAATCCATATTAATCCCAACAAAAACCTAATTATGAAAAAATGGCCAAGTTTTAGACCCCCTCCAAAAAATAAGCCTATCAATGTAATGATATCTACCCTCTGGCCAAGTCCGTTCTTTTCTCAGCAGACCCTGAGACAACAAGAAAAAAGTTCCAGACTTCCTCAAGAAAAGTTAAAAAAATCAGCCTGTCAAAATAGTGATATATACAATGTGGTCAACTTATTTCACTGCTACTTTTATGAGTAACACATTTCTTTTAATTTTATTAGTTAACTCTTGGCTAGTTTCTGAATGGGGATTAAAATATCAGAACCATGTTTGCTCACACCGGAGAAGTGGGTGAAGGGAAAATAGAGAACTTAGAAGAAAAGAAAAAAAATTCCAGACTCCTCATTGCTCATTCAGACTTTGACGTTTCTATCTCTTCGGGAAGTACCTTATAATTTTGATGATCAGTGAGTCAGTCAGTAACAAAAATGTAAATAATTTGTTGAAGCCGTTAGGAGCGGTCAAGAATGAGGTAGTTTAGAAAAACACCTTTTTCATTTTTTTGCTGACGATTTGACTTTTATTCGGATCTTCTTCAGGGCATAAAGTGTGGTGCTATTCTTGTGGTGTCATATTGGTGTTATGTAAGTGTTGTGAAAATGCAAATTTTGAAATTCTCCCCTTTAGAAATGACTTAATATTAAGTGTTCAAATTTTTACAAGTACTAAGTGACCTAGGCTTAATTTATGTTTCAAATTTAAAAAGCCCATTCTAAGAGGAAGCAGAGATATGAGGGTGAGAAAAACCGGGTGGATTGGTTCATGTAAACCACATATACACATGGAGATTTTACATCATATACACATACACATGGCGGCTTGCCGACTCTCGGTTAGCACACTATGTTGTTAATTATTATCCAACATGTTGAAGTTAATTCCTAAAACTATTTACTAACATACCGCTATGAATGTTTAAAGTTATGTATATTTATAACTAATTTTCACAACTAAAATATTTCATATTGCTAATAAAGTTATGAATAAATAAATATAAAAAAATGGACTCACTGTTGCAGACTGCGGTTCAGACTTTCGAGTGTACCTGACAACGTGCAAACAAGCGAGACGGAGCGGACGGTTTATTTCACCACCATAGAATAATTTCTGTTTATTATGTTTGCAATCAGCATTCGTGGGATTATCCATAAGAGCGGTTGAGATGAGAGAAAAAAATTTGAAATCCCCCTCCCGCTGTGCCACCAACGGTTCAAGGACAAGAGCCCAACTCGACAAATACTCAAATTTATCAAAAAGCCAAGGCGAAAGCGGTTTATTTTACGGAAACATATAAATAAACGCGTCGTGCTTTTTTATCTTGAGCTTTTTTTTATAATCGTTTAAGAGTAGGAGGGAAAAAACACTGCGTCCGCTCCGTCGCCTGGGGCCGATCCAGTCTGCCTTGTAGCGCCATTTCTTATTAAACGGGTGAAAGTCAAGTTGGTTAGCTCTCATACGTTCAGAATGAGGTGATAAATTGTTTTAATTCGTTTAAAATCCCCAGGTTTAGATTTATAATGGCCAATGGAAGCAACAATGGTAAAACGAGGAAATCGCACAGTTATAAACCCTACGACACGTCGAACGTAAGTAATACGCACAAATTATCTACTCGGCGCCAAACATTGTGTAAGAACCTATTAGGCCCGTATAACGGATATTTTTATTATTTCTCCCCTCTCGCTATTCGGGACCGTCTATTTGTGAAAAAGTTATTTTATCCGCGGAAATAGCCCTGCTATTCGTTTTAGTCGGTCCGTTCGATTATTGTTAATATTTGGGTCGGTGTCTGTAGGAGGTGAACCCATGCTTTTATGATTTCTAACCTAAAGCCCCCTCCATGTTCCACTTGTCATTAAACCTTTCCTTTTTCCTGAAGTTTATTTATACTTCTTAAACGCTTTTCTACTTAACGATGATTTCTACTTTTAACCGCCCGCTCTTGTTAGAGATGCGAGTTTTTGCGAAACGTAAATCGCCCCCGCCCGGGTTCCCCGTGCTCCGTACCGTCGAAACTGACGTTCATTAAATATCCACCTGTTCACTTTGTTAATTCTCGTGAATCTTCGTTGGCGAAATTGCAATTTGTAAATCGTTCATTTCGAACTTTTGAAAAAGCGAAAATTCGTTCAAAAGCTGACGAGACGAGTTGAAGGCCTATCCTATATTTATCGCGTCCTCACAACCTCGCTTTGGCGGAATGGTCGCACTTTCCTGTTTAACATTTCATAGTCTGTCCACAACGAATATCCTCTTAGAAAACGTAATTGACGCATTCGTCATTCCTAGATGAGAATCATTCATTAGTAATTAGGTCATTGACTGAGTCTGAGCTTGACATCATACAGGCCTAATGTACACTCAGTCTGCATGGATCCATATCGGAAGAATAATTTGAACTATTAACTGAACCGATAGCCACAGTTCAGGTTTTTCATTTTTTCCATCAGTTGTCACTTTTCATAGATTGTCTGTGGGTAGATGATGCTGCAAATGTGTATGGCAATGGATGACATTGAAGTTGACATTTTTCCTTTTGGTAGCTGCTTCGGATTAAAAACAGTTGCGAATTAACCTTCGTACAAGTGCACAGGTAGTCTGCTGCCCTCGTCTTGAAAACGTTAGGGACTTTGTTCTACAGTTGTGCAGAGGGCTGTGTGTAGATTGTGTTCTTGGCTTGCAATATTTTAAACTAAATTGTGAAGTAGTCATTCATCAACATTTGCAGTCTTTAGTTTACCTCCTTGCGCCTGGTTAAGTTTCATTCTTTCATCGACCGTTACAGCAAAATGTAATAAATAATTTCATGTTTTTGTTTGTTTATTGTATGTACGAGTATTGGCAATAATTTATTAAGTTTTTCAGTGCACTGTTTACTATTATCTAAAGAATCTTAATTATGTTCTATTATGATTTTTTTCTTATAAATCCTAATTATTATCAATTTTTTCTTATAGGTAAGATTGTTTTGTTCTCTTCATTATTATTTGCTATCTCTCTCGTTCTCATATTACCATTATGTACTAATCATAAAATAATTATATTATTATAGGTAGGTACCTTCCAAATGTACCTACCTACAATGTGTAAATTTATTTTCTTCTCTTAAGGAATTGGGTGTTTTTCACCTTTTTTTGCGTTTCTCTAACCCTGAGGACATCCGTCAAATCAAAATGTTTGAGACGTTTATGAATAATAATTTACCGTTTTCATTTTTTCATGCATTCTTTTTCTATACATTTACTTCAAAAGACTGATATTTCTTGTGATTCATTGTTTTGTAAATTTTGAATAATACAAATAGCATGCCTATGTATACACACATATAGGGTTCAAACAACAAGCCAGTTTGTGCGGAAACAGCAAATATGTATTTGCCAAGTGTCGTGCAAGTCCTCAACTTACTACCAATCATGAAGGACGACAATGAAAATGTCATCGTTGCATCTGTGGTTATTGTTTTGTGTAGTGACTACAAACTCAGTCACAGAGTACTTTTGCCCCATCTTGCATTAGATCCATTTCTATGTTGTACCTAGTTCTGATTTTTGTGATTAGGAAGAGAAGCGTTCCAAATTATTGGCTCAGCTTTTGGTACAGATCAAGGAACTCCAAAACTGTTATGGGCTAATCCATTCCTAACCAACAGAAAAAATGTTATGTTGTACTTTCATATACATATATACTAGTTAAGAATCTTTTATTATTGAAAAATTAATAGAAGTATATACTTATTGCTGATTAATGATTATAGTTGATTCCTGAATGTGAGGATGCTTTGAGTTTGGCTACTTCAGGAATATTTGTAGGTTTTGAAGCAGACCAGGAAATCGACAATTAGCCGGGTAAGACAATCACTGAATATTGTTGCTCGGTGAATAATCAACCACCTGTCCACTCTAGTCAGGATTCGGTGAATCCAGGATGTCTGCTGCCACCTTAATACAATGCGCTTTTGAGAGCTATTCTGTCCCTTATTCTGAACCTGTAACACACTGATGAGCCCTAGTTCAACAAGTTATTTGATTGGCAGGCCAGTAAGCCAGTTTTAGTGGTTCCAAAGACATTTCCTCCTGCAGGCAAGTGTAATGCCACAGTTTGTTAGTAAGTAGAATCAGTACCTTGTAGGATTTTACCAACTTCCTCAAATACCCATTCAATCAGCACAGCTGGTTACGATTCGACACTTTTTCCTGCTTCCTTTAATGCATTCTGTTCTTTCTTTCTGAAACTCGCAAGGAGGATCTTGAATCGTCTGTGTGCAATGAGAAAATTACACTGTTTCCACATTTTCAACCCATCTTTTTGTCTTTAAGATACTCATTGATAGAGTTAATTCCTATGCCTCAGAAGGGTTAAGGAAGTATTAGCAGTGTAGCAGCCCCTTTTCTTGCAAGAGCTTCTTTGTTTCCCTCTACTCCTTTGTGTATATACCCAGCAAGGAATACCTTTATTTTGCTTATTTAACTTAAGTTTTGCAATTCAGGACCAACATTATCCAATGTTTAGGTTTAATGCTCTGATGGCTGAATTGCATTGTACTCTATTAAAGACACAATTAGTGTATAAATTTCATTTTTCTACAAATTAACAATTCATCATGTAAATGTCTTCTGGTACATAATGCTGAAAACTTCTTGGGATTTGTTAGGATGTGTGGGTAGGGGTACTTCTACTACTGTTACTACATTTTTTCCAACAGTCGGCTAGTTTTTATCTTCCCGTCTGTAGATCAGTGAGCAGTTAGCTTGCTGTAAAGATCAGTTGGTAACTTAAGAAAGAACTTTTGGTACTACATGATGAACAATCCTCCCTGCATTGAAAGCCAATTTAATAATAGTACTACCTCAAAAATGAACTGCTTGAGAGATATGAATAAGTGATGATATTTGGAGATAATAGAGATATTTGGAGATTGTGAGATGCGCTCTATGATCTCCAAATATTCATTAACTGTCACTAAACACCACACATTAATAAGTGATTTTGTTTAGGTATGTACATACTATGCAACTTGATACCTGTATTGAAATAAATAAGTAGAAAAAGTAAAAAATCCCCCCTGATAATAATAATAAGTTATCGATGAACACTTCATGAAGTTATCCTTCAGACATGAATATCGGTGCTGATCCAGTAGAATGCGCCAAACATGGGGTGAGACCAAAGTGTGAATTGTTTTAGTTCAAAAACGGGTCAACTTTTCATTTCATGATATCTTTGTTTGGGTTTTAGTTGATATTACTTTCTGAGGTCATAAATTTTCACTGTTAGTAAATATATTTATTTCTATTTTAGTCATCATTTGTAAGACGGATCACGACGCGAGTGACTGAGATTCTCCCACAGCCTTCGACGTGGATCAGCCGCTGGCTTTCTCCAGCTACAAAGCCAGACTTGAGGAATGACAGCGACGAAGAAGATGAAGATGAAGACCAGAGGCAACCGGCGAAAAAACGACCGTGTTTAAATACATCTGTAGATTTCCCACAAAATCATATCTATAGGATTGGATTAGGTAATTGCAAATTTTAAATTATGGATAGCAGGATTAAATTGTTATTAATGAAAATAAAAATTAAATTATAATAATCAATTATACTTTTACCTAAGTCTTGATTGAGAAAAAATGTTAGTGTCATGTTCGGGATTCAAAAATTCGGAACATTCCAATTATAACTCGCTTGATAATTCAAACTTTAGTCTTTTTTTTTTTTTTCTTCTTCTTTTTTTTTAATAGTTTGTTTTTGTTTACCTGTTTCTCCTTGTCTGTGAAACATCATTTTAAGACGTTAAACTTGGAGGACAAACATAAGATTATTAAGGTGGTATGTGGTTTATGAAAGCATTAAGTAAGAAAAAGGGCGACATCGCCAAACACCTTATCTGCAATTTAAAAAAAAAAAAAATTAGGGGGATAATTATCACTCAGCGAGTGAATGGCTGGCTCAATACCTTGATCCTAAATTAGTCGGAAAGTTCAAATACTAGAATTTTTTGATTTCCCCCTGAGATTTGTGTTATCAAGTCAACTGCAGTATCAAAACTGTACCTTATAAATTGATTTTACAAAAATATGAAATGCATAAGGATAAATTAGATGTCACTTATTGTAAAGGAGGACGGTATGAGTAGAAACATCCTGTACAAAAATTGAATCTACATACTTATGTGTAGAGATTAGTGACCGTTAAGCGATAGTTATTCAGATATTGTGAGATGCGGTCGGGTGTGATGTAGGTTTCAGAAAAACATTTTCTTTATCGTGCCAACGTTTCGATCTTTTATTGAGATCATCTTCAGGGCCTGGGATTTANTTGTTAAATGTAAACATTGTTTGTAAATCCCAGGCCCTGAAGATGATCTCAATAAAAGATCGAAATGTTGGCACGATAAAGAAAATGTTTTTCTGAAACGTACATCACACCCGACCGCATCTCACGATATCTGAATAACTATATACTTATCTTTATTATTTCTATAAATTGGGTGCTTCTATTTACTATGTGTCTTGTGTTTTTAGGCGGTGAAGCAGGTGATATTAGCCCTATACTAAGTAACAGGATAGATAATGATAAAGCGATACCTGGGCCCAGTGGGCTTCATTTGTCAAAGAAAACAAACTTTGTCTTTTCTACACCAGCTCCAGCACAAACACAGCATGATGTCATTCCTAAAATCAATGGCAAGCAAATAATAAACCATATCACCTGTTATTTTCTTCCAATAGGGCTTGTAAATTATTTAATTGTTTTGAAGGTGATGAGGGAAGTGATGGTGAATCTACAAGTGGCTGTTCATCTGTAGGCCCACAAGGGGAAAAAGCACCATCCTCCACTTATGCAAAAATTGTGCCCAAGAGTAGACCACCACTCCATTCAACAGCCACAAATGTTCCCACTCCATCCTCTTCACCATCCCCAAGCCTAGGTGATTTACTTATATTACTGGCAGTTCAAAATATTTATATTTTTATCATATATATGTTAATGTTTTCCTTTTGTTTACATTAGCGTCAAATTTACAAAGGTCTCCTGTTACGTCAAGACCCACGACATTTTCTAAATTGGACTTTAATGTTTCAAAAAGGCCAAGTTTTGATTCATTTGTTTTTAATAACCCTCTAAACAAGGTATGTTAGACAATATCAAATAAAATTTCCAATGTCTTCTCTACGTTATGCTTATATACTTTTGAATATAAGCTGAGTTTAATACAATGAAAAATCCTCCACAATAACGTTTAGTAGATGTTATAGTGTAATTTTTGTTTTTGCAGAGTTTGACATTAAATTCAAGTCGAAATTCTTCTCTAAATGATTCATCTGCATCACCGTTTTACAAAGGAAGAACAATGTATGGAGGGTCGTCGAGTTGTAGGGAAGCTTTAAACTCCAAACTACTCTCACCCAGAGTGAGTGGTCCCAAGGTCGTCAGTGTGAAACCCTCTGCAACTCCAGAAGCTTCTAAAGAAAGGATCGGCGCATCTGCTATGAGGATCCTCAAAGCTCTAGAGCAGTTTTCAACTCCAGTAAGAAAAATCACCGTTAGCTGTATTTATTCTGAAATTTTTTGAGCTAAGGAATCAATTTTTACTTTCGACAGATGCCAGATCCTAGAAAAACTGTTGGGAAGAGTGAAGGTGAAAAAAGAAAAAGGAAATCACTTCCTCCTTATGAAGAACTAATACTACCTCAGATGCCTGATCTTTTGAGGATAAAGAGGAAAGAGAGACCTGCACCGCCAAAACCACCCCAGGCAACAATTGACAGTGTTGATTCAACTTATACCACGAACAAAGATTTAACTTCATCAGATAGATTGAGGTTTGTGCCATTGTCTACTAAAACGTTAATGTTTCTCTTATTTGTTGTAACTTTATGCTGGGCATGTATTGAAATGATTGTACATCCTCGGTTAACGTCGTCTCACTTTCATTGCTTTGTTACTGTGTCACCGAGTCGCTCTTATCCCGACAGTTGGCAGATTGTTTCTTGTTAACCTGGTTCTCAGAACCCCCTCTGATAAATTTTCTTTTCATTTTTAAAATTATTTTAATCCATTTGTTTTTTTAGTTGATCCTACTTTACAAAAGACTAGCTAATATTCACAATATATTTAGCTAATATTAATATATTTATCACAATGTAGATCGGGGATTTGGTCCAATGAATGTTGTGTGTTGAAAATTCGCCAAGCTTTAGGTGTTTTATTTCACCTTCCTCTGTCTAGATTCTCAGTTATTATTTAAAATAATTTTCTTTTAACATGTATAAAACTTTTTTTGTCTCTTTTTACCATCTCTTATATTTTTTTCTAAATATAATGGTTTTTTAATAAATAAATAGCACTTTTCTTACAACTATATATTTATTAAAAGCCTATTATATTTAGACTCTATATTTATTTAGTAGTCANTAAATAAATAAATAGCCCTTTTGACTATTTCAACTAGATCTCCGATACCTATCGCTCCAGAATTGTGCCAAATATATGAAATACCTTTTTGAAAGTAGTGAAACATCTAATATATCAAAAAAGTTTGTAAAAGTATGTTTTTACCGGTTTTTAAATTTTCACCTACCAGTTGAGGTGTAATCGCGAGTTGGAGGTAAAGAGGACTCCTTGAGTTAAAAAACATATTTAGTAAAAAGTAAGAAATGGTAAAATGATATATAGATAAAAAATTAGTTTCATATATGGTGATAGAAGAAAATTTTATTTATTCATGTTTTTAAATTAATTTATTTATTTTTTAATTTTAATTATTGATTGAGAATCTACCCCTTAGGAAGGTGAAATAAAACACGAAAACTTGGCATAGTTTTAACAGACAATATTCAATGGACCATATCCCCGATCCCACCAATAAATTGTAAAGTGGTTAGAGCACTTAGGTATAGAGCTGGAAGTTGTGAGTTCGAGTCCCACTCATGACACAATTTATGATTACTTTTAGAATTGGGAAAAACTACTTTTTAATTGGATTTTTGAAGTATTGAATCAAAATCACTCACTCAGTGAAATGAATCAGCTCTTTTTCATAGCTCGCCGCTCATGCTCACCAAATTGATCTTACCCATAATTCCATGGATGGAAAATTAATTAATAATAATTCCATTTGGTGGGTTTGTTGAATATCGGTGTGCTAGAGCTAAAACCAATTGTAAATGTTGATGGTCTGAATTACAGGGTTTGAGTTTATTTAATGCATATTATATTTCATACATAAATGTGTAAAAAGTAGGTTCAAGGGAAAATGGCTAGAGCCATTATACATCCTAGAGTCAAAGGATTTTAAATATATTAAGCAAATATTTATTTAGAAATCGTGAGATGCGGTCTGGTGTGATGTAGGTTTCAGAAAAACATTTTTTTTTTATCGTGCCAACGTTTCGTTCTTTATTGAGATCATCTTCAGGGCCTGGGATTACAAACATTGTTTACATATAACAATTACATTTTGGATGTGGAAAAATGAATTTATACAATGCAAAATATATTTTTTTATATATTTAATCAAAGTATTCTACTCACTCAAAGTGTTTGTCTTCTGTGTAATTGTGCCATTCTTGCGTATGACGTGTTGAGAGTGCCAGGAGACGACACGACATGTCACACACAACACTGTGTGAGTAGAAATACTTTGATTGAATATAAAAAATATATTTTGCATTGTATAAATTCACTTTTTTCCATATCGTACATGTGTTTGTTAAATGTAAATAATGTTTGAAAATCCCAGACCCTGAAAATGATCTCAATAAACATCGAAACGTTGGCACGATAAAGAAAATGTTTTTCTGAAACCTACATCACACCAGACTGCATCTCACAATTTCTAAATAATATTGATTAACGGTCACTAATCACCACACATATTAAGCAAAACTAAATTGCATTAAATAAACAGAATTACAAGGTTGTTAATAAAAGAAATTATGAACTCTTCAAATTGTTTTTTATTACTGCCAATAATGAATTTTTTTTTAAAGAAAAAAGGTCATTTTATTCACGTAATCATTAACAACCATGTAAATTTATTCCTTTTTCTTATGAGGAAAACAAAAATCCAACTACATGAATAAAAATTCATACATGGTGGAAATAATTTTTTTGTTAAATAAATTTATACATATTTCTTGAAAATCACAGTGCTTATCTGTATTTGTGAAAACATGTCATTTCTTATAACTGGATATAACTAGTAAATAAATAAGAGCCAAAGTGGGAAGTGGGTTTGCAATTCGTTGAACTTGAATGGGCAAGTACTAAAAGGCGGACTCCAAAGTCTTAACGTTTTGTGCCTGAAGTTGAGAATCAAGGGAGCGGAAAGTGGCTGGATGGGAAATCAGGGTGAAGTCACTTTTACTGAGTGGTGGTAAAGATTTTTTTTTCCTCCAGAACATTTCATTACTTGCTCAGTAAGGTGGGTTAACACTTGATCTGCGAGCCCCATCTCTACTTGGAAAATGTTCCATTATAGTGATCATTTCTGTTTTTCTTCAGATGTGTATTTACTCAGATAATCTTCACTTAACACGACGTTAATCGAGGTTAATCATCCAATAAATAAACTTAAGTTATACTTGAATCTAATTATTACTTTGTAATTTCAACTGAAATAATTTGTTCCTAGAATTCCCAATCCTGAGGAAAGGAATTTTATCGGGTGTATCAGAGGAAGGAAGATGGAAAACTTGGAGTTGGAGAGGGCAAAGCCAATCAACCTGCCCAATGTGAAATTACCTATTACAACCTTGCCAAACTTTACATTTCAGAGTCTTCCAAAAGCTGACAACCCATCAGAAAAAAGGCCTCAAACTGTGTTTCCTAATTTAACAGAAGTTCCTTTAAGTAAATCATCATCAAGTAAATACAAATTTTCCAAACCTATTATCGAAAGTTCTGATGGCCATTCGGTAATAAGCATAAAGCCTACTATAAAATTCAGTGAACCATTGAATGCAGATGCTAATGAGAAAATTTCAAACAAAACTAACATTTCCAGCAATGTTACAATTTCATCATCCAGTACATCCAAAGATTCTATTGGCCTATTGCCTAGTATGAAAACTCCTAGTCCGACTAAGAAAAGTAAAGAAGTGATGTTTGATTATAAACCTATGGCTAAACTAAAAGAGAAGAAAGTGAAAGAAACAGAAGTTTCTGTGGAAGTCAAGCCTTCTGCTGAATTTAAAAATGGAAGTGTTATGGATTTTTTCAAAAGTAATACTAGTACCAGTTTCGGAGATAAATTCAAAGCCCCCAAAGGAAGTTGGGCATGTGATACATGTCTTGTAAATAATAGTGCCGATAAGTCAAAATGTGCCGCCTGCGAAACCCCAAAACCTTGTAAAAAAGAACAAATCATTAGTAGTAGTACTTCAAGTGATAATAAATGGGAGTGCAAAAATTGTAAATTAGAAAATAGTGAGACTGAAGAAAAGTGTAAATCGTGTGGTGCTGAGAAAAATGGTTACATCAAAACACCTTTGGCTAAAGGATTACAAGCATTCATAAAAGACAAGGACACTTGGGAGTGTAAAGAATGTTTTGTAAAGAACAAAATGACAGATAACAGTTGTGTAGCTTGTACTTCATCAAAACCAGGATCTTCCAATGTCTCAGAAAGCTCAGCGACAGTAACAACAACGGTTTCATCTTCGGCTCCAAGCCTGAGCTCAATGTTCAAAAAGCCTGAAGGCAACTGGGAATGTGACGTCTGTTTAGTATCTAACAAAGCCGGTGTTGACGCCTGTGTCTCATGTAGCACACCTAAACCTGGTGCAAAACCTGCTGAGTCAAAGCCAGCTGCCACATTTCAGTTCGGCATTCCTCCAGCAACTACTGCAGGAGCTGGAAGTACGTCCAGCAGTGCATTTTCTTTAGGAAACACTTCGACTATAGAAACATCAAAGCCTGCAACCTCTGGTTTCACTTTTGGGATTCCATGTACTGAAAACTCTAAGAAAATTGAATTTAAATTTGGAATTCCTCCGCCGGTTAATAAAGATAAAGAAGAGTCTTCTACTTCAAAAGAGGTAAAAGAGGAGACATCGAAGGAAACACCGCCAATTGAAAAAGAGAAACCACAAATATCTTTGTCCAGTACATCAAGCACGCCTACTTCTAATCTCTTTTCATTTGGAAGTAATTCGACAACTGATGCAAAGAAAGATCCTTCAGAAGTAACTGAAGAGGGAGCTAAGCTGAAAAAACGAGTCAGGTTCGGGGATCCTCTCGTAGAGCAAAAAACAATAAGCAGTGATACCGATAAATCGCCATTTTCATTTGGAAAAGTTTCTACTAAAAACGATAAAAAGGGTAATGTCTTTGGGTTTTCCCAACAGCCACCGATGTTTGGAAACACTTCAATTAAAACCAGTTTGAATTCGTCAGAAGTGCCTAATACAAACTCTTTGTTTAAATTCAGTAGCGATACATCTTCAGTCAGTTCAACGACAGAAACGACTAACACACCTCCAAACGCTACAAACTCTGAAGCCGGCACAACCAACACTAATATTTTTGGAGCTGTTTTAAATAATGCTACAACAAATGAAACTAGCAACAAAAATCCTCCTTCCTTCAGCTCTGATAATAAAAATCTTTTTGGAGGGTCATCGTTGTCATCTGCTAGCGAGGTGAAAAAACCTTTGTTTACAGATGGGTTTGGATCTATGTCAAATAAAAATATATTCCCTTCTTCTGACAATATGACAAAAGATAACAAATTAATCTTTGGATCGAATGCAAAACCGATATTCGGTGCCTCAAACGAAACAGGCGCAAATGCAATTTTCTGCTCAAAACAAGAAGAAAAAACCCCGTTGATATTTGGAAATACAGTTGAAACTCCCAGTACAATGTTTGGTGCGGATGATTCAAAAAAAGATGACAAAAATACGATAGCTTTCGGCTCAAAAAGCTTAGAGTCTATCTTTGGCAAGGCTTCAGTTCCTGAAGAAAAGAAGTTAGAACAGCAAAGCATGTTCACTTCTAAACCAGGAAATTCTTTGTCCACCCAAGCTCAAGAGAATAATTTATTCACTTCTAAAATCAAAGCTTTTCCCCAGGCGACACAACAAGAGGAAAACAAAAATACTTTTATGAGATTTAACACAGGAACAAATTTCTTCAACAATAACAACATGTTTGCCAGCAAAATTGAAGGGACTGCATTTGATGTAAAACCTGCAACCACGTCATCAGTGCCCAGCTTTGGTAATCCGATACAGACTGTCGGTAACAGTACAGAAAACAAACCCACTTTCTCTTTCAACTCTATGTCAAACCAGCCAAGTTCTACTGGTTTCGGAATGTTCAACAAAGAGCCAGAAAACAAGCCTTTAACTGGTGGATTTAGTTTCAACATGGCGGCAAAACAACAACCACAACAGCAGCCGCCTCAGTCGACAAACAACTTTGGATTTGGATCGTCTTCTTTCGAACCCACACCGGTTTTCAATAATCAAAATCCACCACAGACTTCTAATGCAGTTTTCACATTTGGCTCATCACACCAAGAGCCTCAGCAGCCAATGTTTGCATTTCAGCAAGGACAGCAGGTGAATTTTTTTTCTTATACTTATGCAAAAGTGGTAATAGGTCATTCAACCACCTTTGATTACTTAGAAGTCTTATGCTATACAATTTTATTTCATGGGCTTAAAAATTAATTTAGCAAGGTTTCAACTCAGTGTATTTATTGAACTTCGTTTGGCTGTTAATTTGAACTTTAGTTTCAAAAATATGTGCTTAATATAATACGTAGAGATGACTTTTCTTGTAAGCACATTTTTCTCTAAATTATCATTTCTGATATTAATTTTCTAAGACAGCGTTAAAAACCCTCTTTTAGTTGTAATCCACATTCTTCCAAAATTGATTTGAACAACAGATGTTCTAGTTATATATGTTGTGCAGTCAGTAAGTTGGAATTAGTCAAATGTCAAATTGAATGGGGAAAACTCAGCACTGGCAAACTAGTTAATTTCATTCAGTCATATTTTACTACATGAAATTCACTATTTAAGAAAAAATATGTTCTCTGTTTTCCTAGCAATACAAATATAAACAATTGCCAACAGATTTTGCCCAGAATTTTGATATTTGGGTGTGAGCTTTAGTGTAGCATTGGTAGGTTTAAATTGACAGTCTTACGATCAATTTACAATTAGCCCATTCAGGATGGTCAGTTTTCTTCGTTCCTCAAGTGAGGTACTGAAAATGTGGCAAAGCGCGCTACTTTCTTTTATACTGAAGTTCATAGAAGTGGTGTGCTATTTAAGATATTCTTTTTAGCATAAGAGTGGATAATTGAGAAACTTTAATGCTTCCCCCCATTTTAAGCAACGCACTTCTTTGAACTAGTCTAAAAGTAAAGAGACTAGAGCACATTTCACTCGCAGAACTTGGGTACAGGTAGGGGTGATGGTAGGTTCTCAGTACCTCACTGGGGGAAGCAGTCTCACTTTCCTTACTTCAAGCTTTTACTCTTCACTGCATTAAAAAAAAATTCACATTTTAGTAATAAATGCCTTATTCTGTCAATTTTTAATTGACGATGATTGCATATTTTCATTGTCTGTTTTCTATAATTCTTAGGCAAATACAATGGCATCGCCATTTGCATTCGGCTCGCAGAATTCGGTTGCTAGCCAGCCCCAGCAACAACCCGTACAACCTCCTATGTTCGATCCCAACATAAAACCCAATTTCAACTTTAGTGGTGGTTCAACGCCTACGTTTTCGTAAGTTCCTTTTTTAAGATAGTAAGAAAATTATTGACTCGAGCGTTCCTTCTGTTTTCAGCGCTCCTACAGCCAACCCCGATGAATTAGATCGAAGGAAAATAAGGAAAGCTTTTAGAAGGACTAGGTAAGGTGAAGTGATAAGAAATGAAACTAGACAAAACACTCGCTCATAGACCCGTGAGCACCCTTCAGACTGACGAAAAATTATTACCTCATTTTGTCACAAAAGCTTCTTCGTTGTTTTTCAAAATCGTTCTATAAATTTTATTTTTCTTAACAAAACATTTTTTATTTGTAATTATATTTATTGATTTTGTTATTGTGAAGAAGATTTTGTGTGCGGGTCTTGTTTATCGCTAAGCACAAATGTGTGCGTTATAAAGATAAACAAATACTTTCTTACAAGTGAGAAGGGGCCGAATAAAAAATTAAATTTTCAAAATTATTAGTACTTTCAGATGAAGGTTCGATACTGGTTTTAAAGTTGTAAATTTCTTTTCACAATGATAAAAACCTGTATGATATAAATATTGTGTACATTACATTTAAAAAATATATAAATATTTAATTATATACACATTGTCAGCTTATAATTAATTTCAATGTTACTTAATTTATATTAAGGTTGCATTGTATATAGTCTAAAATAATAAATTGTATAAATTAGTGGCCCGTTCTATAATAACACTATCTTATATTTGTATTCTTCTTAACTTGGTATCTCCATCCACCATTGTGAACATTCTCCGATAATTTAAATACATACGTATATATAAAAGTATATAAAGGTGTAAAGCAAATTAGTTAATAAATATATATATGACTATATACGTAACTGTTACAAATAAGAATGGTAAATACTTTTTTTTAAATAACTATTACTATTATTAAAGGGGATGCGACGGGGAAAATATGGCCTTAATAAGTAGTGCCATTCTGGAGAGAATATTCACAATGATATCGAGAAAAATAATGTTACTATTTATAGGCTGTATCTATCAGATTCTGCTATTTGGGATTATGTTATAATGCTGTAGTTTGTTCAATTAGGTTGTAGAAGCATACAGAAAGTATATGGCCTGGCCCATGGAATTCATGTGTGCATATTTTATAATTTAGAGGAAAAAAATTCAAAAAAAAATTTTTTTGAATTTTTAAATATTTAATATTTTTGTATACATGTTGAATTGATGAGTTTTTTTAAATGGAGAAGATGCATAGATAAAATGCAAAACAAGCCCCTGTGATATTCGAGTGGGCCAGGCACCGAGGCAGGCTCACTCCTACTTTTTTGTAAATAAACGAATCGGTCAAGGATTTGCTGTAAATAATCTGAGACTCGTGAAAATATGAATTTTTTTAATATGAAAAAGGAGTTAGACTGCTTAGTGTGTGTAAATATAGACTTAACGTTAGATAAGAGATTTAGGACTCCTATTTGTGAATGTTTGTGCGTGAACGTATGTTTAAACTCTGGTTCAGTTTAATTTAAAAATTCGCCGTGTTCGAAAGGTTTAAACTGGAATGCAAAAGAAGACAGACATTTTTATATGAAATAAAATCAACACGATGCAGAATCATCTAGTCACAACTAGGAAAACATGAGACAACTATTGTGCCCAGCACCGCATTTAGTTTATCCTCAAAATGTTAAACAATTTTTTCCTTATTATTTTTTTGTAATTGTGCTCCTAATCTTATCAAAAGTGAAAGGCATTCATTTAACTCGATTATATAATCCATTTGATAAAATAGAAAGACTGTTTACAAGTTATATTCATGTATAATTTTAATTATTGAAAAATTTTGTTTGATACTGTACAATACTGAATCGGGGGAGAAAACGAAACAGGTGATCATTTTCTTTTGATTAGTTTTTATTGTCTTCAACCCTCATAATTTCAAACATCCACTGTCAATTTTTTATGCTACAACAACAGTGTATTATTCATATATTTTATAGTTTTTTTTTTTTTTTTTTAAACAGGCTGTTAATCCTTACAGCAGTCGATTTGTAAATTGTTTCACTTGTTAGTTTTATAAAAAACAAAATCATTTTTATCTTCAAACAGTATATTGTCATAACTGCATCTGTTAATTTCTTACACTCAGAACCAAAATTTCCACGATGAAATGTGAAGATATTTGAAAAACTGTACAGTTGATTGTACCTGTAAATAATAAATTTTTCAATACTGTACCCAATGTTATGTTTTTTATGGGTTGTTTTTAACAAAGATAAAAATGTGTAATACATATTTGAATCTCATTTTATTGACTTCATTGACAACCTCGAGTTCAGAATCAACCTGGAGCATAAGCAAAACTTATTTCCACTTGAGAAAATCCCTCGTCCATCCTTACGCTAACCATAAATCTGGCAGATAGTATCAGGACTGCTTATGTTCATGAATAAAATAATTCAAAGGCAGTCCTCTTCGGGCGTCAGCAGACTTTTGAATGGCTTTCTCACTAATGCATCCTGCACACCTTTGAAAATCATCAGTTTTGCGTTCTAAGGTTTTGGTTACTCACTTCCATCCTCCTGTATTATATTTTAAACGGTTTGTAAGTTTTTATGTATCCTGTCAAACGCCATGGAGCCAGATAGTTTTGTACTTGATTGTAAATTGTTAAGATTAATAGCCTGGGGATGTAGGTTGGTTACAACAAAATATCTGTATTCTGCTACGTAGGCCTATTATTCCATTCAGGATGGTGTCCTTGATATAAAGTTCTTGCTTCCCAATAAGGTACTGAGAACTTGATGGCATTGACACCCTTTCTCAGGTGAGAACGTGTGATCGGACCTTTACCTCTCAGGCCCTGAGGAGCATGATCGCGCTCTACTCTTACCTTTAGATTGAAGTACAAATAAGCAGTGTGTATCTTAAAAAAGAAAATAATGGTTTTTTTCTAAATTTCTCACTTTCACTAAGACAAAATAACTTGAATAGCACACTGCTTGCATGAACTTGAATCTACAAGAGAAATGATGTGCTCTCAGTACTTCACCTGGGGAACGAAGTACGTCACGCACTTTTTAGATGGTTTAAGGAATCCACTTAAATAGTGTTTTTCCTCAAAAAATAGCATTTCTTCAACGCCTCTGCACACTTCTCTTGGAGGTTCTACGTCGGGCCCCCACCAGTTAAAATGACGGTAAGAAGGCCATTTTCTTCTCTTGCTGGCTGAGAGTTGTTTCTTCTCCCTTCCTCAAACCAGGTGGTTTTTTTTTTTTTCTCAAGCCGTTTTTCCAGCTTTAACTTTTAACACGCTCTTTGATGTGGTTTTGGTCCCATCAGTGAGAAAGAATCTTTGGCTAGTTAGTCTGTTTGTTCCCTTCTATACCTCTTCATGTCCCAGAACCCAACTCAAGATAACTTTGTTGTTTTCCTAGGTCCATTTTAAGCCTTTACAGATAAAGGTGATTTGGGTGAACACGTCAGCAGTGTAAACAGTACAGATTAGACCTAGGATATTCCCTTGCATAATACGATCCTTGATGTCTGAAAAACCAGTGGTCTCACCCAGCGATACAAGGACTCTTCAGGATGGAGTATTTTATTTGGAAAAGTGACCGTGTGCCAAACTTTATCAAATGCCTCCTTGACATACAGAAAAAACTGCTGATGCTTGTTTTCTACATCAGGGTATCATGTCGATCGTCAACCCTGCATGAGAGTTATAACAAATACAGCGTGGCGCCGGCCCGAAAAGAGAGGGAGAGAGCGAAGAGACAAGGAGAGAGGGAAAGACCACGTGGAGAGAGTTATGACCAGTACCGACGTGAAGACATCATTTTTTTTGGAAAGCTGGTTACTCTTGGCTTCCAGGATCATACAAAGAGGACTACGCTTCACAGATCAGAGACCAATATCGAAAATAGCGTTTCCTCGACTTCGAAACCATTTCTCTACAGGATCAGCAATAACGAGGCAAGATTATCCTTCAACTTTAATTTGTCATCTTTCCCAAATTTAATTAACCCAAGATATTCAAAAAGGATAGTAATATAATACATATACATAATATTTTGTGTGCACACATTAACTCCCTTTCTTTGTATTTAGTGTTTTTTTTTTGTTAANAAAGATGACAAATTAAAGTTGAAGGATAATCTTGCCTCGTTATTGCTGATCCTGTAGAGAGAGAGAGAGAGAGAGAGAGAGAGAGAGAGAGAGAAAATGGTTTCGAAGTCGAGGAAACGCTATGTTAGATATTAGTCTCTGATCTGTGAAACATAGTCCTCTTTGTATGATCCTGGAAGCCAAGGATGTCAGAAGAAGAGTAATCAGCTTTCCAAAAAATGATGTCTTCACGCTGGTACCGGTCATAACTCTCTCCTCGTTGTTTTTCCCTCTCCTTGTCTCTTCGCTCTCACCCTCTCTCTTCGGGCCAGCGCCACGTTGTATTTGTTATAGAGTAGAATGGAGAGGGTCTAAAATCAAATTTATGAGAAAGGTTGGTGTGAGAGTTGAATAGGAGGTTTAGTCTTTTGAGGCGTTAGAAAATTTCAGCTATAATTGGCCTTTACGAGGATGAGCCGCTGGGGTGTTTGTGAAATTATGGACATGGATACAATCTAAAAAAAAAAATTAAATTTGTAGACAATAATTCAACTCAAAACAAGGAAATATTGAAACATTGAACACAATATAATAATTTTTTTAATATTTGATAATCATATATAATACATATTGTGTAAAAAGCCTCAGATAAATGCAGCTAATTATTCAGAAATCGTGAGATGCGGTCAGACCGCATCTCACGATTTCTGAATAATTATCGATTAACGGTCACTAATCACCACACACTGTAGCTAACATAATTAATTAAATTAAATAAAATCCAACATTATCGTTTCCCAAGCCAGAGACAATTGTCAAAAAAAAAAAAAACTTATCTAGTTTAAGAAAAACTTTTGTGACTAGATTTTATTTAATAAGGAAATAATAAACTGCTGATGAAACAATAAGAAAAAAACAAGCAAAGATGGAGAACTTATATTGGGAAATAAAACTGGGTTTTGAATCATCCTGAAAATCCCTTCTTCGAGTCCTTTGTTTTTTTCCACCGTGAAGTCTCTTTTCATACATTTCCAGTTCTTTTTGGTTCCTCAACCTCTCTGCAAGGGATTCTTCTTCTAATTCTTTGAGCTTTTTCTAATTTAAACAATTACAAAAAAAAAATTGAAATCAAATGGTTTTTAAATTGACTTAAACACTTGGAATAAATTGGAACTTACGAGTTCCTTTTCTTTTTTTAAGGCCTCGCATGTCTCATCACAGTTGATTTCAGTTTCATTTTTCAAATGGCAAATGACATCTTTCTTGATCCTCTTACATTTGCAATTGACTTTGACTTTTTTTCTACATCGGTCCGCATTCGGGCACTCGCCCTTGTGACAGTTGGAGGCGCACCTGTGCCCACAAGGATACTGAAACAAACCGGTTCAATTGAACGACCAGTTGTTTTTTGCCACTGACAATTCACTCACGAGCTTCGGGCACTGGTCGCCGCAGGAGAGTTTTTCGTCTTTTTTGCTTTCGGGTAGCCTGCACCATTCGTAGCACTTTGTGTAGACGAAATTAAGGCTGCAGTGGCACCGCAACTTGAGCTGAACTTTGCAATTCGGACACGGAGGAGGATGGCATCCAATCGTGCACGGATGCGAGCACACCCGCTCTGCTACGCATTCCTCCTCGCACACTTCACAATTGTCCCCAGCATCCTTTATAACACATAAAAACTATTAATTTAATACAATAAAATAGTTTATTCTCTTAAATTAACTTGAGTAAATTAATAGTACTTAGATTTAGAGAGAAAACAAATGTGAGAATTTGAGAAAAAGTGAGTAAGTTTGTTTGTGTGCGTGTGTGTGTGCGAGAGAGAGAGAGAGAGGAGAGAAAGAGAGAGAGTGAGAGAGAGCAAGGAGGTTAGTGAAGGAGCAATAAAGCATGTGGATTGATTAGTTATTGGCGATTTAGTTTATTTGTGACCATGCAGATTTGTGAGAGTGAGTAAATGTGTAAATGTGAGAGAATATTAATTAGTGGTTAGTAAGTGAGTGGATGAGTGGGTGAGAGGTTAGTAAAACAACCGAGCATGTGGAATGGTGAATGATAGCTGTTGAGAGGTTAATGAGCAACCTTGTGTGTGTGAGCGAGCTTTTGATTTTTGTATGAGTGAGCCTGATTTGTGAGTTAGTAGATGAAGAGTTAGTGAGTAAGAAAGTTAGTGAAAGATCTATTGAACACGTGGATTTGTGAATGAGTGAATGGCTAGGTTAGCTGGTAAGAGGTTAGTGAGTGGTCTTGTGGATTTGTGATTGAGTGCATATGTTTGTATGGTGTGTGTGAGGGAGAGAATAGTTAAATTTTCTAGTATTAATTGATTCTTTTTAATTATAATACAAACCAAGTATGATCAACAAAAAACCTCACAATTATACATTTCAAAGAATAATTTTCTATTTGTTATAATTAACAATGAACAATTTATTTATATTCAAGAGTAGTTTACAATGTTAAATTCTCTTCACATGTTAATTGTTTATAAATATGAAATATGTAAATATACACCTTTTCGTTTGGGCTGTTGACGACTGAGTGACAAAGGAATGAACATTCATGATTTTTGCAGGGAAGCAACCTGCTGCAAGGATTGCCACAAGACTGAGCCACTGCCCTGAAACAAGGGAGCCGCAGTTTCTCGTGTCCCCCTAGACACGGTACTTCGACAATGGCAATGCACTCTGGGCATTCCAGTGACTTCACTTCTAACGGGGCCTGCAAAACATTTTAAAACATTGATCGATATCAAGGATTAATTTTATTAGAAACTTACAACGTCCAACGGTGTAGCGGGTTTGAAGTTCGGTATCGAACAGACGACGACTTTGGAATGGCAGATCTTAGGACAACGGTGGCCACAGGGCTTCAATTTATTGCATACTTGCTTACAAGGCGGACAAGGACCGTAATGACAATTGTGTTTATTTTCATGGTCACAATCTTTAGGCGCACTAGGAAGAGTATAATTATAACGTACAAAATAATTCAGTAAATATAACCACTGGATAAGTACATGCAAAGTTGATTGCACTTGAATTTTCTTTTTTTTACACCACACGGGACAGTTGTCAGCGGATGAGCACAGTTCGAACACGTTAAAAGTACAGTTTGCTGACATGGGTAGCACGGCCCTCTGTGACATACCGATTCACATTTGTGATTTCCACAGTTGAGTGTCTTTTTACAAATGGCATAACAAGGTGGGCATTGACCATCACAACACTGGAATAAGTTTTTTTTTAAAATTTAATGCAAGCAAACTCTAAACTTTAATTTAAACTTTGGCTCAGATTAAATGCAGTAAACAGAAACAATAAATTATATAATTTAATCAAGCGCAAGCTAGACACAATCCTACTCATAAATAGTACAATATTTTCCCTTGTAGTGGTTTTAAACTTTTTTCCACTATATTTAAACCTGTAACTAAAAATAAATTATTTACTTGCATTTCATGTTTTATTATGAAGTGATATATGCTAGTAATAGTCATAAAAATTGTGTTTTATTTGCATAGATATTGTGTCAATAAATACTTTAAACTACTACTACTACTAAGCCTTCATTAGAAAATAAAGTGAAAATATAGCTGTAAAAGCTCACTTTTCTACTGCAGTTATGAACCCCGCAGTCTTTTTTCAATTTGCATTTCTTTTCACAAAGGTACTCCTTTTCGCACTGAACCTCCTTAAAATGCGATCCACAACGACAAGGCTTTTGTATTATTTCCATACACTGCAATTCAATGGCAAACATTAACAATATTTTGTATTCTAAAAAAAAAACCACAAACAGATTTATTAAAAAGGAATGTTTCACTATCCCCTACAGGCCCGCAAGATGATTTGTGGCATCTTTGTGAACAGCGGTGAAGCCCACAGAGGAGGAGCTTAGAGCACGTGTCCCCGCAAGTGCTGACTTCTTTCGTACACGGGAGAACTGTCACTTCTTTTCCACACGGGCAGGATCTAGGAAGAGAAAGAGGGCATGGCCCGCATTCACCTTTGTGGCAGATGACTTCACACGTGTGCTCCCCACAGTCCAACAGTTTTCCACAGACCTAAAAAACAACTGATTAATTATCCTTGTTGATTTACTACTAGTTTTTCTTAATAATAATAATAATTGAAAAACTGTCCAAAAATCACCTTTTCGCAGTTCCAAGTCAGTTCGGCACAAGCGATGCGTTCCGTCTTGTCACCGCATTGACACTTCATCAGTGAAGTTTTGTTGCAAGGAGGGCATGCACCGGGATGGCAACGACTCTCGCATTTGTGCTTCCTGCAGGCCAACTCCTTTCCACAGGCTTTTTCGCAAGCCCATTCTTTCTCATAGCATCTTCTCGGAATAGAATCACTTTTTCCACAGTGGCATTTTGTTCTCACCATCTTGGGGCACTTCGGACAAGGCCCTGCAAAAAACATACAATTTTTCTAAATTTATTTAATTTAATTTAAAATATTAATTATATTCTACAGTGAAGGGGATCAGAAAACATGTTTTTATTAGTTATTTCAACGAGAGGATTTTACTTGTAAATAATTTTTCAGGGAAGATGCATAACTGAATAATCAATATTCAAATACTAGGCAAACTAATACACTTTCTCAAAGTATACCAGTGTATTAAAAAAATAAAAAAATAAATAAAAATAAACAAATAAAGTCAATAAATAAAAAATTAAAATTGTATCACTTCAACAAACCTGGATGGCAAAGGAGCAAGCAAGCATGTCCACATTCGGGCAGAAGTGGTTTATTGCAAATTTCACCGCAGGAATGTGGCACTAACCACGGCTGGAACACTGGGTCAGTTCTATTACCACAAAAGCATTCGTATTTTGTTGGAATGCTTGACAAATCATATTCTTCCCTACATTTTGGGCTGAAAAAAAAATGTACATAAGAACAAATGTGACAATTCAGCAAGTGCAATGATAACTTACCAAAACCAGCAGTAGCTTTTACTTTTATTTGACGGCATTTCTTCCTCTGCAACCTTTTGATGTGTAATACTGTCTTTACTCCACCTTTGTATGCAGTTTAAATGGAAAAATCCATAGCAAGATCTGCACGACCATATCTAACAGACAAAGAAAAAGTCTCTAATGTGCAATTTGATATTTTAGAATTTATTAATTTATGATAATAATTTATTAAATTTATGATATATAAATTATTCACAAAAGTTTTACAATGAAAATATCGCCTGGGGGAGTCCACCCCCTGCTTGCCAGCCCACGGGGGCCACTTTGCCAATCCCGTTTTCTATTACCCTTGCGCAAAAGCTAGCAGGTGCTAGCTGTCTTGGAGTGGTCTGAGGGTTGGTGAGCAGAGGCCTCGCTAGTTTTATATCATCATATTTTTTAAAAATAATTAAAAAAGAGCAAATAATAAATACACTTGAAAACTACCACACTTTTCGATTTTTGACAGGCATGCTAGAAAAAGTAACTCGTACAATTCATCGAAAACAATATTTTCTATGTGTTTTTCTTTTAATTTGCATTCTATTTTAATGCTCATCTTTGTTGTACACTTCGACAGGGCTATATATAATTGTCCATGTGTAAATATTGTTTCTTGAATTTATAATCAAACCTATTTTCTCAAAACTTTGACCTTGTGACTTAAGGTTATAGCAAACATTAGATGGACTATGAATTGCAACTGTTTCAAAACAAAGGGCATTTCAATATATCCTTGTGTGTCTAAACATTTTTAACGGGATGTACACAATATCTCCCTTTTTTATTCCCAGTTAACATTTCACAGTACTATTAATTTTTCTTGCTATCAAACGATTCCCATTATACAAACCATCTCCTAATAATTTTAATAAATTTCTCAATAGCATAACATCCTTCTTTTTAAGTGCAGTTCTGCAGAAGGCAAACCTGAAGGTGTCATTAATTGTAAATTTTCAATGGGATACTGTAAACTTATGTTTTCATTGTTGCCTTTGTCGCCAGCTCTCTAGCTCTACTCAGCATGATCTATGTACCAGACTGTACGCGCTCGGATCTGGTGAGGTCTAATCGAGCAGGGGGCGGTGGAACGGACTCTGACGGCACTGACCAAATACACTTAACAATTTTCCCTGGTAACTGTTTCACAATGATTGACTTTTTTCACTTCATTTTTTTCACTAGCTGCTAATATAGCTCTAATTTCTTCCTCAGATAAATCTAATGGATAAAACTCTGCAATTGGGGGCCGCGGTAGCCGAGTGGTTAAGGCATCAGACTCTCGGCTAATAAATCCTGCGGTCGTGGGTTCGATCCCCATTGTCGCCTCTGGACTTGTTCTGATGCCTAAGGGGACCGCAACTGAAAGAAATTGACACGGCACTGAATTTGGTCCCAACCCCCTTCAAAAATGAGTTTCTTCGATGGAAGAACACCGGCACAACGGGGGGCTCAAGTTCACATTTGGGTTGCCCCAAAAAAAAATATGGAGCCAGGGATAAAGTACAATAAGCTGTACAGCTCGGCTGCAGTGCTCAGGAGGGAACTCCTCCAGTCCCTGGTATCCATTGTAAAAAAAAAAATAAATAAATAATAATAATAAAATAAAATGGATAAAACTCTGCAATTAAATTATCATATAACATTTCATTGCATATTTAAAGTGTTTTTATGATATTATTGCCGATATCTAATAAGTAATCTGAGAATTCATTGGAATCTCCAATCCTTAGGCCTCTTTCAGACGGGGAGGCTAGTTGATTGAACTAGTTGCAGGTGTCAAGGAGTGTAACCTGGTAGGAAAATGTTTGGGAATCGCCTCAAACCCTTCACAAACTTGTCCACCCAGGCGGATGGCCAGCAGGCACAAGGGCTACTCACGTTCTCATCCCCACTGATTGACTCAACGCAATCGGCATTCGTCCTTCACCTCGCCTAGTTGAGTCAACTGAGTTCACCATGGAAAACATTGCAATCGCAAATTTGAATGTTGAGTTCATTGAAGAAATTCGTATTAGTCCCAGTATGGGACATGAGGTGTGAGTATAGCGACAAAATTAACAGAAGCGAAGCTTGGAGGGAAGTAGCACAACAGTATTTGCGAGAAAGCGCCCATTTCCCAATTTTATAACAACAGAAAAACCCACACTTTACTTTACTGGGTTTCCTCCTTTTTTGCTTCTCTTTTTGCAGAAAAACGAGCACAAGAAGTGCTCCTGCTTCCTAAGGTTCTAACACCGTACTGACCTCCCGTTGGGAAAAGAGGTTGATTCCACAAGTTGCTTAGTGTGAAACCAGTGAACAAAGAGTCTTTGCACGGCAGTAAACTAGCTGAGAATCAACTGGGCAACTTAGTTGAACAAACCACCTCGTCTGAAAGAGGATGTGCCCTCCACACACAGTAATGACATATCTACACAGAAAACAAACACTTTGAGCCCTGAAGATGAACTTAATAAAGATTGAAATGATGGCACGATAAAGCAAATGTTTTTCTAAACCTACATCATACCAGACAGCATCTCACGATCTGCAAATAATTATTAATTAACGATCATTAAATACCACACATGCTTCATAAATGTGTCTCCCACCTCCTGTTCTTTTTACAACTGGCAAAACCGTCGAAAATCATCACCCAGTGTAAATTTTTCATTACGCTTTATGTTTCATCCATGAAAATGTCTATTTCTTGCAGTACCTGTTTCATTTTACGTGACAAGTTCAGTTTGACGCAGTCTTCAACTAAATTCAATGGAAAGAAACTCGATATTCCTCGGAGTGGGGTTGAACCCACTCAATTTTCCCTAATAACTTACTTATACTCTCAGACGTAACTAATTCACCCCAGAGTACTCGATATTCCTCCGGGCATGGTTAAACCACCCCTTCCTTTCACGCTTATAAATTACATTCCTTCCTATAAATGAACATATACAAAACACTCGCTTAGGCGATATACTAAAGTTCACAAGACAAATAACAAAACGTTACAATGAGATGAACTTGCAGAAAGCCACTTGAAATTTCTTTATTTGTTAAACTTTAATCAGGAGGGATTTCACATTTTTAAAAAATAATAATAATAGAAAAAGAGGGAAAAACTTACAGAATCTGTCCTTTTGATGAGTGCTATACAAATGAGGCAGACTGCCGACCCAGACCGAAACGAATTCTCCAACACATTCTGCGTCCTCCCAAGATCCTCAGACTTGCCACCGAAGCTGTTGTAATTTTTAAGTACTGAAGCTGGAAAAGGGGCATAAAATGAGTGAAATGTAAACATGAGGAGAGGCCGTCGTTTAGTACCTAAGATGTTGTCCGATTCGAGTTCCTCTTCCTCCGAAGAGGACTCGTATTCTTGTCGCATGTATTTCTGCACGGATTTCTGCATTTTGAGATGAGCCTCTTGGAACTTGTTCTGGGCGGACATGGCATCCGGGACGGCGGGGCTCCGGGACGGGCCGTCCGTCCAGCCGTTCTCGACCCTCTTCTTCCTGTCGCCACCGGAGCGGTTCCAAGGGTTGCCCCTGCCTCCCGGGCGTGACATCTCGGGAAATAAAACACGGAAAGCCGGTTCGGGCGCCTGCCAATTATCTAGGGACGTGTGACATCCGCTAAACGGGAAACTGCTACCCTGTGGCCAGTAGTAGTACCCGTCAAACAAGACTCAGAACCTGCCCGGTGTGTCACCTACGTGTAACTCAGCGTTACCTCCATGAGGCCAACTCAACCGTACGTCCATGAAATCTCTTTGTGACGTCATTGACTTCATAATGAAAACTATCACTCATTCTTAATACGTTCCCTCTTTTTTTACACACCTTTCACTCAAGTAGGTTGCTTCCACCCTTTATGCATAAAGACAAAGAAAATTAGCATTTTGCCTATTGGTGCTCCTCTGGAGAAAGAAAGCAATGAAAAACAACATAAAAGGAACAGTATGGACCGAGGAATGGTTGGATAGGACTAGAATTCAATAAATGAAAAAGAGACCTTGTACAATGGACCATCGTGAACTTTGGAATAATGTGATATTTAACACGTAAAATCCACAAGAGGAGGGGGCCAAAATTAATTGGCCATCTGTATAGAGTAAAATACACATTCCAACTGATAGAATTAGCATGGTTAAGCCAATACATACAGATTGGAAGAATCTTTCCAAGATCCTTTATGTAAAAAGGGTTTGCAATATTATATTCATAGGTATGGAAGTAATAATCATAGGTATCATATCATAGGTATGGTCATGTGACGCATCATTTTCTATAAATAACTTGAATGAGTGGCCTTTGCTGTTTAAGTAAATTATAACAAAACTGCGTGTCAATTTCAGTGAAGAACTTCGTGAACAAGTCAGATCAACCTCGCGCTTTTTATTCTATAAGGAACTTTACCAAGATGATTTTAATATGTTTAACCTATCTAAGGACAGGCCTAAAGGTTTGTCATTGGTCGAGTTAAAGTGGTTATGCAAAATCAGAGGGGGACCTCCTTTATCTCAATGATGCACCTTTTCGGGCTAGAGAAAATGTCATTTGTTTATTATGCAATGACCAGGTAAAAGAAGACATAGTGCATTGTATTGCAAAATGAACTATCCTATCTGCATCTAAATTTTGCTAAATTGAATGTGACACAGGTTATTGACTTACTGCTTAATGATTACAAAAATTTAATCAAACATGCGCGCCACACCTTATGCGGCACGATTGCCAAGAGTTAATATTAGAATTGAATTTTTGAATATTTTAAAGCCTTGTCATTCTAAATTGCTGGCCCAAATAATTTATATATCTATACTTATTGTAAATTAAACGAAGAACAAAAATTATTGTTTATAATGTGTTAGTAATTAATGTACTATTAAAAATTAAATTATCAATTGTAATATACTGTGTCTGTGCTCATGGTTGCACAAAATATTGCACAAACTTCAATATTGCCTTCAAATTATTCAAGTTCATTGCACAAACAAAATTTTGTATAATATTATTGAACGTTAAGGGGCTATCGTCAAATTATTGTGCAATCTATATTGTACAATAATATTGAACGTCTATGGGCTGCTTAAGAACAACCTGTGCGACAAGGCCATACTTCTTCTAGATCCATCGAACTGTACATACACAGAACTCGTCGTAAACCGACAATCACCTGACTTGGATTCCTGAGCTCAAGCAGTATTTGGCTGTATTTCCTAATGAAGAACCTATTAGTATAAGCCGCCAGGATGGGACTATAGTAAAACGACTAAAAGGAGTATTTTTACTGAACCATCAACGGCAGTAAAGTGGTCTACAGGAACAGAGAATTGTACCACTCTTCCAAAACTTCTGGGCATGAAAAAATTATTAGTAACGTTAAGCTCGAATTGAGCAAGAATCAACAGTCAAAATTCTCAATTAACATTAAAAAATTGGGATTAGAGGACCTGAAATTCAGCCACGTTTCGCCAATCATCAGGACTTTCTACATTTCAACGTCCATGAGCATATGGACCATGCCAGACTACTGTTTACTGGTCATAGCCTCAGCTTATGGAGTCTTCACATGGTATCGCACACATAGACAACCCTTGGCCATTGCAACCCCTATCAATCAGCTGCCCCCAGGAGCTTCATTTGGGGATGGAGGAGTTACGCCTGCACGAAACCACCAATTCAGCAACAAATGATTCTTCCCCTACAATAATTCCGAGAATATATTATAAGCACAAAATGTAGATTGTATTGTAATACCCCCTCTTAGGCAGATCCACTTCAAACTCCGAACAGTATAGACACTTTAAATTAGAATCCTTGTGTAAAGTTGTAGTTTATATTGAATAAACGTTATTTTTTTAAAAATTAGTTACTTACATCGAAACCATAACTTTATATATATATATATATAAATAAAACATACATACATTTATATATTTGACAAAAATAGAAATAGAAAAATAGTATAAATACTCTTAAATGTATATCCAATGTAGATAAATATGTAAATAAATACATAAATCAATATCTAAATAAATACAAGTTATGTTCAATCATTGAGATACTTCCTTCTCAAAAACGTTATTTAAAACGGTTACAACTCCGTAGATGTGCCTTTGATGATGCATACAAAAAAATCTTATTATTGACCTCGGTCGAGTTTACATCATCTCAGATTAAGAGGGAGAAAAATGCAATTATGCTCAATCGGCATAAGATAATCCGAGTGATTTTGCCTGAGCAGATAAAGAAACTTTATTAATATTATTTATAATATATTTAACTTGCATAAATATAACTAAATGTAAATAAATTGATAAAATAAATAAAATGTTTATATGTTATTCATTACATTACTATTCGTACTTCGGCTTATAATTCTATTCTGTTTACAGAAATAAATCTATGCAGTTCCTGAATCACTTTTTTGTTTACATGAAAAGAATCTTTTGTACATTTGTTGGGAAGGCAATATTGTTTTCTATCAGTGTTTTTATTAACTGTTCCCTGTCTGTTTGGTGTTCACTGCATTGCATGACATGTTCCGCTGTCTGGATGGCATTTTATGAACGGTTTCAGTATGGGTCTTTTATAATGTTAATATTTGTAAGATGCGTTTTCAATCAATTTTATTTATTTTATTTTATTGTTATCAGTATAGTATATCATATTTTATATATTAAATCTGCTGCTGTCAAAAAGCTGAATAATTTGGCAATATTTTCTGGTTGTTTCCTAATATTTCATCCTGCGTATTCAGGAGAGAAGAAAATTTTCTTAAATCATGATATATGCCACAATAATAAAATATGTTTTGTTGTTATTATTTCATTGTATGCTCCGCATACAGGTGGAGGAGGGTCACAGGTCGTTAAGTGACCCTTGGTGATGCAGCAATATCCTATTCTCAACCTCCTCCTTTCTCTTCAACCTAAACGATGAAGTCCATGCCTGTGTGACTTGATTTCATAGGCTTGTTGTTTGTAACTGAATGCCAGGTTTTTTGTCATTATAAATATATCTCCAAAGGATGCAATGAAGTCCTCCTTGCTTACCTCCACGCAAGGTTTCCAACTCCAATTGCCTCCTTGGCAGTCATATCTGTTCTCATACCCTCATGCCAGGGATACTCGAATGACCAGGAATCCAGAGAAAAAAAATTCTTTTCCCTTGCTGCTCAAGACGTTTCAATGAGTACGATAGATCCTGTACCATAGGGGTTATTGCTGAAAGGATAATTAAATGTTTGCAGGGCAGCCAAGGAGTGAGAGTAAATAACCATTATTTGCATGTCTGCATGGATAATGTTGACGGATTTATTTATGGTTATAGTTGCTTGCAAGGGGATTTGGTGAAAATAAATATTTCCTTTTTCTACAGATACTTGCAGCACCAACACCCCTGATGTCCCTGGAACCATTGCATAAACATGTCGCTGAGGGCATTTTTTGAAACTCCTGTTTGTATATGTAGTCAGGAGTGGTGGCTTTATTATATTTCACCAGTGGTAGTAGAATTTTTGGGTCAGGTAAAAGGTGTGGGGATCATCGATTAGGTTTTGGACTGAGGAAGCAAATACAATCGGGCAAAGAAAGGTATACATTTGGTGTCCTGATAATTAGAATAAGAATCAGTGTTAGAAAAGAGATTATTTAGAGAGTGAGAAGGAATAGCTATAATCCTGGAATAGAATTTCAGGTCCAGTAAATTACGTCGAAGGCTTAGGGGAAGCAGACCAGCATAGACATGGAAGCTAGAGGCAGAACTGGACCGAAAAGCTCCAGTAATAATCCTTAATCCCATATTTTGAATTGGATTATTTTTTGTGGCAGAGTTATATAAATTGCATCCATAGTCCAAGCGTGATCGTACTAGAGTATTACTGATTATATTTAATAGTATTACCCCTCGTCTTCAGGACCTTGGAGTCTATACTTACTGATAGACGAATTTCTATATAGGCGAGTAAAATACAACCACAACTTGCTCTTTAGTGGCGACATAATCTTACATGAAATAACAATTCGGATTTCGAATTAACTTCACTGCCAAAAGCAACTCATAAACGCACAATAGACAATAGTCCAATATTAATATGACTTAAAAAGTTTGGTTTTGGATTGGTCCTGGGAAATTTTGCAATCATACGAAAATTAATTTTTAAGCAGTTATATTTAATATTTATTAAAATTTTTTTAAATCTCATTTATTTTTTTTTTTTTTACAATAACTTATTTCCTAAGGTGTCGTTGGTACCATGGTTTTCAGTTCAATACGCAAATAAAAAGACCAGTAAAATCATTTCCACACTTCGATCAAATCATGGCATATGTAAAAAATATTTAAAAAAGATAAACCTATCCATGGACGAGTTATGTGCATGCGGAACAGTGGAAACACTGGAACATATCATATTGGAATGTAAAAAATATAATCGAGCTCAAGAAGAAACGTTAAATGAGGTGATGAGCCACCTTCCAAAAATGCAGTAGCAAGTTACAAGGAAATAATAAAATCGGACCCCCCACCACGGCTCCCCAACGCCTTATACTCTCAGGATTCGTCTTAGACTAGTCAGTTGACGAGCGATTACTTTCAACTTGTACTCCAGCTCTACAAAGGTGATTATCCTTTACAGTATAGAATAGAATAATTTATTGTCGTATTGTACATTGCATGTAAACACGTCGAGTTACAAATAAATTAATACAATTAGACTTTTAAAAAATAATTTCAATTAATTATACTTTTTATCTAAGGTCTTGGCATGTTCAGCCTTAGTTCTTTGGTTCGAATCAATGAAATGAAACTTTTTCATCTCAACCAAGACCTTAGATAAAAAGTATAATGAATACGATCTGTAACCGGTGATGGGAATATTTAATAAAAAGGGATTGTGAAAATATTGTTTAAATGAATTTAACATTGTAAGTAGGATAAGAAACAGTGTCGGCAAAAGGGGGACCTAGGTGCTATGTCAGCAACCCGGCCTCGGATTGTCCTTTTTTCTGTTTATCTGTATGTTTTATAAACTCTAAATAAAAACTAATATAAATGGTTCGGCCTGATTATCCTTTCAGGATTATTTAGACGGGGATAATTAGGGAAAGGAAAGCCAAATCGTTGAAGAATTAGACTATGTAGGGACGTTTGATTTGTGGACTGTAACGATTGTTTTATAAGTTGTATTATTCGAATAGCTGCGACTGAGTTTACATGGGTTGAGTGAGTATGCTAAAAAAATAGTGCATCCTAGTTCCTCTTTTGATTGGTGTTCTGAAGGTCAACTGAACAGGAAAATGCATGTTGCCAGCCGGAAATTGATGTTCAATATAAGGGGGGGGGAGCTAAAAGGGTTTGAAATATTCTTTTGGAATTTTCTACAAGTTTTTGGACAACTAGAAAATTTTACTCCTGTTATTCGTCGAACGAACACTATTTGGCACTGCACCAGCTCATTTTTGCAATTTCGGAATGAATAGAACTCTTTTGGTAGTTTCTGAAAATCAATTTAGATAATGTAATCAACTCTAATCACAATGATTATTCGGAGATCGTGAGATGTGGTCTGGTGTGTCAATTTATATAATGATAGAAAATTTTAGATTTAAAAAAGAATGAATTTATACAATGCTAGAAAATTTTAGATTAAAAAAATGAATTTATATAATGATAGAAAATTTTTAGATTCAATCAAAGTATTTGTACTCACTCAGTGTTTGTTTTCCGTACATGTAGGGTGTGAAAAAAAAAATGAATTTATACAATGCTAGAAAATAATGCTAGAAGATAAAAAAAGAATTTATATAATGCTTAAAAATTTTAGATTTATAAAAGAATGAATTTATACAATGCTAGAAAATTGTAGATTAAAAAAATGAATTTATATAATGATAGGAAATTTTAGATTTAAAAAAGAATGAATTTATACAATGCTAGAACATTTTAGTTTTCCATGTAGATGTGTCATTCTTGTATGTCGTGTTGAGAGTGCCAGTGAGGTATTGCTGATTTATGTACATATATATACGTTGGATTTTGAAGGAAGTCGGGATAGAAAGACATTTTTATATAAGGAGTCGGCTTCTTTGAGGCGAAAGGAGCTGGCAACGGGAAAAAACGTGGGTATGGTTCGGCCTGATTATCCTTTCAGGACTGTATAAGTGGGGATAATTAGGGAAAGGAAAGCCAAATTGTTGAATAATTAGACAATGTAGAAATGTTTGATGTGTGGAATGTGATGATTGTTTTATGTGTTATATTATATGTATATAATTTTATTACAACATATAAAACAATCATCACATTCCACACATCAATCATTCATTCTGTTTTAAATCTAAAATTTTCTATCCTTATATAAATTCTTTTTTTTAATCTAAAATTTTCTAGCATTGTATAAATTCATTCTTTTTTAAATCTAAAATTTTCTCTCCTTATATAAATTCATTTTTTTTAATCTAAAATTTTCTAGCATTGTATAAATTCATTTGTAAAATTTAAACAATGTTTATAAACCCCAGGCCCTGAGGATGATCTCAATAAAGATCGAAACGGCACGATAAAGAAAATGTTTTTCTAAAACCTACATCAGACTGCATCACATGATCTCCGAATTGACTAACGTTCACTAGACACCACACATTTCTACTCATAATAATTACGAATGCTTCAACACAATAATGTACCTAACACCAACTTAGAACATTCATTTCTGCGTAGTAAAACAAAAATTCATGAAAAAAGAAAAACCTGTGTACTATAACAAAAATAAGAGCATTATTATTTACAAAAATAGAAATAAAATAAGGGTAGGAAATTATCTGGAAATGATTTTTTTTAAATCATGAAAAAATCACATTTGCCCACTCCCAAAACGTGCTCTTGCAAAAAATTAAGAATAATAAAAATGTGTTAACATTTGCTGCACAATTTATTTATCTTTAATATTTATTTGAATGAACTTTGGATTTGTCTATAAATTATTAAGTTTTGAGTAAGATATAAGTATATATAAGTTAGTATAATATAAGTATAGTGTATATAAGTAATAAGTAGTGTAATTGATTGTACATATTGAAGTATTGTTATTTATGTTTGTGAATATGTTTACTAAACTGAATTTAGAAGAGATTTAGTTTACTTTTAACAATAATTTAAAAAAAGATAAGTATACAACAAATTCTTTGTTTCAGAATGGGACTATTTTCCTACATTGTGGTTACAGTTGTCGGGGGGGCAGTGATGACAGTCTGCCCCCCGTTAGCGCCTGCTGTTGCCAGTGCAGTGGGTATTGGCTCCGTCGGCATTGGAGCTGGCACACTTGCTGCTTCAGCGCAAGCATATGTTGGCAACCTAGCTGCCGGAAGTGTAATTGCGGGATTACAATCAATTGCAATGGTTGCACCCATACCTTGAAGAATTTGTCATGAGAATAAAAATTACATGATTTATAAAAATGGTTGTTTTTATTTACATTAAGCTAGCGTCACAAGTCGGATTCAGATCCACGACCTTCGGCTCAATCCACCACTGCTGTAAACCACTTAAGCTATCATGACTTCCAAGTGACTCAACTGGTTAAAGCAATGGTGTATTGAGCAGAAGGTGGTGGGTTCGAATCCCACTCGTGACACTAGCTTTTTATCCCAGTCAATCCTTCGATAAAAAGTATAATCAATTGAGAAATAATTAATAGTCAATTATGACTACTATTATTATGTTAACTATTCAGCTTGATAATTGTTCATAAGAAATACTAGTTCAATTGCATTGATAATCAGATGACAGTGATTGAGCTAAGCCTGGACCCCACATAACCGTACCGACTTGCGGAAGGTGACGGAGCACCCCACTCTTGCGTGCCGTCTTGGACAACACTCAGTAGTTTAGTGGCTTCAATGCTACATCCTTCATAGCTTTTTTTGTTGAAAAAAATGTTTTGAAGTTTTAAAAATAATGAATTAAGGATGACAGCATTTGGTTTACAGGGAGGTGTTAATTGGCGAAGAAATCATCGCAGGAGGAGAAGAATGTGAGTTCACAGCGCATACAAAAAATATATGTTAAAAGGGAATTTATTAATTTAATTTAATTATTTTGTCTTTACATTCTGTATTTCTGTTTTTCATTGCACTGGTCATACAGCACAGGAAACTATCTTTTCTGACCTCCTCAATTAGTTTCTTTTGTCCTTTTACAAAATAAAATTGTATTAAGATTATAAAAAGACAATCGAGAATAAATAAATAAAATATTAAAAAATAAACTACACTGCACCTCAAACAATCCGTGCCCGTCAAAAACTAAACCAAACTAGTCGATGGGGACTAGCCGGCTTACTTCCATTGTCCCAATCACTCTCCGTGTGATGGCCAACAGTTGCAGTGTGGTCCGGCCTTTAGGAGGTAGGAAAACTAGTCATGAACAAAGCTGACAAGGTATGCAGGTTGAGCCCATCTTAACAGTTTGCAATGTACACATGAGGCTGAAACTACCATAAAATCATAGGCACATCTGTAAAACGACAAGGAGTTCAAACCCCCAGCGTTTCGGTGATTTAAAAAAAAATCCATTCATAAATATGTTGGGTTCGAATTATCTTACGGTGATGAGTCTCGTCATGTCAACCTTCACCTAACGTTAAACAGATGACGCTGTAGGTTCTTATTGTAAACATTGTCATATTTATTTATATTACCTACAAAAATACCCCCCCCAAAAAAAAATAAATAAATAAAATAACCCAAATAAATTTAAATAAAATCTTAATATTATTTATTTTATTTGCAACACAATAAAGGCACAGATAACGTTTCAAGTTTCTTATAAAAATTAATTTTTATTACATTAACTGGTCATTAATTGTCATGGTGCCATTTTTTTCTAATCTAACACTTAAGAACTACAATAAGCAAATTAATTTCTATTTAAATTACATGTATAGTTAATTTTGAACTATCCTTTGACATAATAGCTTTTGTCACATTCACAAAAAATTATAAAATCTTTGTACTTTTTTTCTTCTATAAAAGCAAATAGTTAAAATTAAAGGCACATTGTCAGTAGTAACCACCAGAAATAATTAACGATTAAGCTTAACTATTGTAATTTGTAAATTTATATTTGCCAAATTTTTACATGAATTACAGCAAAAATTTCAAGTAGATTCAAAAAGGAATACGTATACATACAAGTTAAAACAGACATCACTTTGATATGTACAATCGTATTTTTTTTAAATAATATAACTGCAATTATAACATGAATGAACAAAATACAGTTTTGTCATGGGAATGTATGACATCCGAGATTAAAAGTGCACCATATTACCTATAAAAAATAATTTTAAGGCACATTTACCATACAAGCCAAAAGTTAAAATATGCGAGGGTATTAAGTAGATCATTAGTTATCTCGTTTGATTATTGAATCAGGTAGGAAAAATTTATATCCTGTCCCTCAGAGCCTGTATCGTCCAAGATACGCATTGCAGTACGGACAAGTGTGATGAACATCCATACAACTGTCGATGCAGCAAGGTACCAGGCAGCACCCCCAAAAACAACTAAAAATTCAAAGTGCGAGACATAATAACTTTATAATAACACTTAATAATATAAAATCTCACCCAATAGCACATAATGCTATTCCTGATAGATAAGCAATAATCCCTGGTTTTCTCTTGGTGCTCGATTCAATTTCAACATGACAGTGAGGACATATCATATGAGTAGGTTGAGGGCCTAGCGGCACAACAGTTGTTACTATTGATGTAGGTTGTTTGTGGTGTACTGAAAAAAACAACAGGCAAGTGTAACTCTCAATTCCCATTATTATATTGAACAAAAATAATTAAATGATTCTTATGTCTCGCCTACTTTTAAAATACCTCTTTTTTTCTTCTTTTGTTTTTTCATTTGTATATTTTGTTAGAAGATTTGTAAAGAAAATTTCCTACTAGTCAATAGGCCCTCAAGGGACAATCCAACTTCGACAATAATTGTTAATGATACCTATTTAGAAATCAACGATATAAATAATTGAATAATTATTTTTTGTAAAAAATATTTAACTCTAATTACAGTAAATAAAGTTAATGAGTCATTTAAAAATACAGACCAATATTTTTTTTCAGAATTTTTATATTCAAAATTATCAAATATAAGAGCTATTTTAAACAAAACGGAAAAGTTCCTCCATCGATTTTTCAAAAATATCCTTTTAATTATTTTCAAACTGTTACATATTAATGATAATGTTTATGAGGATGGGTTGAGGAGCAAATTCATATCAGAGTAAGTCCCCAGATCTCCCTTTGGATGCAAGGCCCCATATTTAAGGGCTATAAAGGACGAGGCAAGATGACTCTAGAAAATGTAATCAATATGCCATCTATAACTCGGCAAACGTTCTTGCATTCTTGGATGAACGCAAATTCATCCAGCTTATGCGAACAACGTAGACTTCATAGCTCGCATGCTCTCAGAACTAAAAAGCACTTTTCTTTCTTTACAAGAAGCAGCCTTAATCATGATACCATTAATGAGAAGATCAAATTATTCTCATAGTAATAGATCAATGAGAGATGGAATACAAATGGGCTCTATCTTCTTTCACAGTCCACAATAAATGTTAATAAATAAAATTTAAAAAAAGAACTTTTTTTTTTCAAAAGAGGATTTTTTTTATCAACATCGAGTCCAGTTTATTTTTAAAATGATTCTCAGCAGTTATTATGTATTGTTGCAGATTTGACAATTTAATTAAATTTTATGTTTACAATAAACGTTAAAATATGCTCACTGTGCAAAAAGGCACAGTATGAAACCCATGCATTTTAAATCGGAGGGCCAGCCATCGTGTTGTTACAAACAGCATACCCCCCTCACCTGTCTTCCATCGGGCATAACTCAGAAACGGTCGATACTATCAAAATTTTCCTTTCTGTAAAAGTACCATAAAATAAGACATAGAATCGAACTGCACAATAAAAATAACAAAGTTAGTGTCATTTCCAGCTAGTTGAGAAAGTTATGTTAAATCTGTTACCATCACGCGATTCCTAGCCAAAATTAACTTGGGGTTTGTATAAGACCATTTTTTGCTAAAGTTAATCATTTCCAAATTAAATTGGTGTACTATAGAAGTTGTTAACCAAGTACATACTAAAATTGTAACTTGGCAGATAAGAAGTGAAAAATCAGAAAGAAGATAGGATTCAGAAGGGCAGGGGCAAGAGGTAGACGAAAAAGATGAAAAAATTACCAATGAGAGGTAGATATTGTGGCCGAATGGTTATCCAGAAAAAGGTATCTGTAACAATTTCGCAAAAATTTCAGAGAGTCCTAATTGTGAAAAGAAGGGAGAGAAAAAGAGTGGTTCGTTGATGAAGATGAGAAAGAAATGGCATGGGGGGGGGGTCTCGATTCACTATAGAGTCTGCTACACAAGATACAAACCTAGCCGAATAAATGCTATCAGGGTCCAACTAAGGCTTCTAAGCGGCAAAAAACCACAAGGACGAGATAACATAAGTATGGTCCACTTTTGAATGAAATTGGTATCCTCTCTTTGAACGATACAAGATTTCTCATTGACTTTCTGTTCCTCCATAACTTGTTACATTCTAAAGTGGATAGTCCCAAGCTGCTTGAATGTGTAATAATTCATGTACCCAATTTAATTCAAGGATAATTAAGACTTTTTGTCCTACTCCTAGTCAAACCAACTATATGAAATACATGGCAATAAACAGATTAATGCTGGGAAGGGAATGAACTTAATATTGATTGGTTTTTCTCTAGCTTACATCAAATTAAAAACACCGTAAGTGAGAAAATAAAGCTTTATGGCACAAATGTTAGCTACAAAAATATATTACTCTATGGGATTCTCCTGCAAATAAAATATGTAAAATAAAAATAATTTGACAAGGTTGTAGTCATTGCCACCGTGATGAATACATTTGCCAGCTGCACACTGCATAATTATGGGTAGCTTGTTTTTGTTGAGCTTTAGTCTACTATTTTGATGAACCATAGCCTAATATTAGTCATTTTGCATGTTGTTGAACTCACACTGGCTGTTGGGTTTGAATAAGTTCATTCGTTTTATTATTTTACGAAGTCATTTTAATTATTTAATAAATCATAGCAGTTCGTTTTAGTTTAAAAATGTTAAAAGATGGAAAAGCGGCCAGAATGCGATAAGAACGCTGTGTTTATGAACTGTTAATGCTCGGGCTGTAAACACGGATCCGAATTGAGAACGCACAAGCGATTGGGAATGGGATTGAGTTAGTTATGCATCACGCATCTTCTTGATTAATCAGGAAAGACTTTACAGTTTATTTTGCCTTGTTTTATTTATTTATTCTATTTTTTGATCAGAAAGTAACTGAAAGAGCTTTTTTGTTTTATTATATTTTAACTGAGAAGTAATATTGTTTATTTATTATTTTGTACACAAATCTTTTTTTTTCTTAATACACACTTTATTTGTGAACCAATGAAAACAATTTTTTTTTGTTTTTATAATTCATTAACAAAGGACATTCTGAATCTACAGTTCCAGCAACTGCCGAGGAAAGGTTTACCGCCCAAATTTCTTACAAAAAAATTGGAACCGGTCACCCAAACCCCAACACTGACAATACTACGCCTAAATATAACAATTACACACACACACACACACACACACACACGCGCGCGCGCGCGCACGCGTGCACAAGGATAGGATTAGATGGTTTAGATCAAAGATCTTTTGGTGTTGGTGATGCCCTGCCTTCGAATCATTTGGTGCCTCTGGAAATTTGGTTTGAAAGAGCTTTTACCAAAACTTCTTTTATATATATCGGCCCGGCAAAACCACAATTCCCTTTTTTTTTTTTACTTAAATTAAAATTAAACTCCTTTAGTTAATTTTAGTTAATAATCTTTATTTCTCTTCAATTCCCACTAATTTCTTCAGAAGGCGAGAGGTTATTAAAAGTAAATTTTCTTGTATTTTTTTCTTCTTTCATGCACGATATAGTGCGTCATATCGTCAAATCCCAAATATTGTTTTTTTATTCAAACATTGGTATCAAAATTATACTGTTGTCACTATTTTATTATTGTCAATGTTTAATATTTCAATGTTTTTCATGTTTTAAATATTCTTTGTATTTCATGTACATATTGTAATAATATGGGCTATTGCCTGTAAATAAATAAATAACTCGTCACGAGCTCCAAAAAGGATAAAGCAATATATGATTAATAATGTATTATCATATGATTGTTGTAATAATAATTATTTAATTTAACAAACAAGATGTTAAGCTAGAAATTGCGATAACAGTATCTTTTTCTCCTATATCAGTCAAAAAAAGAGATAAGAAAGTAGAATTTCCTTTCACATCAACACAGTAGTCTCATGAATCAAAGTTGTCAACAATTAACAATTACTTTTAAAGAGTTATTAGAGGTGACTGTCAACCCTTCAATGTCAAGACATTTAACAAAAAAGTGAGGGTTTATACTTTTATAAGGTAAAGATAATTAATACATGTCCTCTTGACATATTGCATAATTTTTGAACATTTTTCTGAGGTTTGATCGGCCCTCATTCATCAATTTATCCTCAATGGATATCTTTCCACATTTCACCATCTTTAGAATTTAATGCAAATCAATCTAAGAATATTTATACACACTTATATATAGATTCTCTTGATGTACAGTAATAATAAAAAGTAAACTATTTTAGAAGCTTCATGTAAATTAAAAATGATCTTACTTGGCTGTGGTTGGAATGGACTTGAAGGTGGTACACCTCCACTTGCCTCTGCATAGCTTGGAGGCGCTGCGGGGGGTGGGCCGAAGTATCCACCGTAGCTTGGATTGTAAGGCGGAGGTTGGTGATGACTCATGTCCCTTAACAATTCAACACAGATTATTTACAAAACCTCAACAAAACATTTAAATTACAATGTATAAAGTCCTTATAGAAATGTTTTAGAATGGAAACTCTTTTTAAAACAAATAATACAAAATTGTACATTGTAATACATGTCATATTGTTCATCAACGCATACATATATAAGTTGAACAAGAAAAACAGAAGCAACAAGTTTAAAGCATCTTGGAGAAACTCAAAATTAGTTATGTTTTGTCCATTTTAAGTGGTTCTGACAGAATTTTTTCCTAACATACAGGAGAAATCTTTCAACTACCCGACAAGGAAGTCAAAGCACCTTACAACATTTTTCAGATCATTATTGATTTAAAAAGAAAGCCATGGGCTCTGCCGGGATTCAAACTCGGAACTGCTAACATGGCAAATATGAGTCACTCGGCCACTGCGCTGTCAGAATATATGATTAGTCTGTTTTGATCCCAGCACTGAAGATGGCAAGAAGCCAGATCATGTTCATAAGTAGACCAAACTGATCGGGAACAAATCCTCCTAATTCCTGTTAGAATAAAACGAGAACAAATTACGGATTGAACGTCTATTCATGTTTAGCGTGAAACATTTTTTGTTTTTGTGGATTGTTTGAATTTATGGATATTGTTGCTGAAATTTTCAAATGGTTTTGTAATTTGTGCTTTGTTTTTGTCTTTTTTTTTTTTTTTTTGAATGNTATATATACCAAAAAGTTGGTCTGACAGACTGTATAATTTTTTAAGTCGAGAAGGAAACAATGTCTTTAGACATCTTCAAAAAGATAATCAACATTGCGATAGTTTTACTTACTTTTACCTATTTGTTTTAGCATTTGTTTTATTGGTAATGAGTGAATTATCACCTGTAAAAGATTTTTTTTTTAAATCACATTTTACCTGCCTAGCAAATTGAAGGTATATATGAGTAACAGCATAAGTTGGTGATATGATCATCAGCAAAAGGCTTAAATTTGTGTTAACAATTGGATAAGAATTGGTGCATACTGTGATAACTACTAAAACGCCAAGATATAATTAAATAAATTAAAAATCTATTTACTAATAACTACATTAAATTTGATACAATGTCATTCAAAAATTGGGGCCACAATAAATAGACAGGAGATTAACTCTGAAAAATGTAAAATTTTTCTAAAGATAGAGGTACAAATTACATGATGACACCCATATTTCATCAGTGAGGAAATAGATTAGATAACTGATCTCGGGATTATTTTTAATGCCAAATGTGATTTGTGGGATAATATAATCTATTGCATGGAAAGCATATAATAATCTGGTGTTTGTAAAAACGAATTACCGAAGATCTTACAAATCCTTTTGTCACATGTACTGTACCAATATCAGCGCAGAAGACATTTGGAGTATGCAAGCGTTGTTTCAATTTATAAGGTAATACTAGTGTCAAATCATCTGCTCTTTAATTTTTTGGTGGAGTCTTCAATGGAACGGCCGCTTCTCCCAAGCTAATGACATTTAAATTTAATGTTCTCAGTACATTAGTAGATACCAGAGAAGCAAAGAGAAGCATGTATTTATGTTTATGTGTATATATGTATATATATATAAATCATAGCTTACATAAATTTTAAATTAATTTAAGACAATAGGAGTAAAGTATAGACATTTATTTTAACCAACAATAAATATCGGAATATTGCAAGAATGAATGAAGAATACTAGAAGTCAAACATATTTTAAATTTTGAGGAAAAATTTCTTTTGTTGATTGCTTCTCTGGTATCTACGATTCTAATCACAATTAAGGATTAATTCTTGTTTACTCTTTCAGTATCAGACTTGGCGAATGTAAAAAGCATTATTATACAGAAAATAAGATCTCATTTCATATTTATAACAACAAACGTTTATCTAGGATTGGATGAACAGTCCAGTCTAGCCTAGGCATTGAGAAGGAAAAGGAAAAAATACAGCTTGGACAAAGCAAATAAGATTTGTATCCATATTAATTTATTATTTGTTTAAAAAATCCATTGTTAAAGCTATTTTATCTTAGTATTTTTATATTCAAAGATGATTCTTTTAGTTTATCCCATAAGGTACATATTTAATATTTCATATTTATAACAACAAAAGTTTATACAGGCTTTCCCCTCCATACTAGAGGCAGGAAAGTCTAGGGTGAACAGTCCAGTCTAGCCTAGGCATTAAAAAGGAAAAGAGAAAAAAAATCCAGCTTTACACACATGAGCAAATCAGATTTCAGAGATAATTTATTATTTGTTTAAAAACCAATTTTTTAGTTAGCCCATAAGGCATATATAGTTAATATTTTCTTATATCAAACGAAAAATTATTTGTTCAAGCTAGAAAGCAAAAGTCCAATTTTTATTTGATTTATCTCACATGTGCCATATTTTGTAATATATTTATTAATTCACTAGTTTTCGTGGTCAGCTTGACCAAATCTCTTTCAATTAATTAATCTTATTTAAGGTATTGGTTGAGATAAAAAAGGCAGCGTCACAAGCAGGATTCGAACCCACAACCTTTGGTTAAATGCGCCGCTGCTCTACCACTAGCAGCAACTAATAGCTCAAGGGCAGCGGCACATTTAGCCGAAGGTTGTGGGTTCAAATCCCGCTTGTGAAACTGACTTTATCTCAACCAATACCTTAGATACATATTTGTTAATTGAAAACAATATAGGAGTTCTCCCTGCAGTTTTTAATAGAGTTAGTCATAAAAAATGACCTTTTTTTCTTGCTAATTTAAAAATAATTTTATATTCGCAATTTTTTTTTTTTTTTAATATTCAAAATATATACTGTTCTATGGTTTGTTGCCATCTAGGGACCAGAAATTGAATTCCTGCACAACACCACTCTTTGGGGTTTGAACAGAAGAATTCTGAAACACCATCTTGAACCTCATCCAGATAATTACAAGTTTTCCCTTGAAGATAATGAGCTATGGACTGGAACAGATGGTAGTGTAAATGTGCTAAGTCTGGACTGTAAGCAGGGTGAGGGAGAAGCTCAATTCCATCTAATTCTGTTTGTTTTATGTAACGAAAAGTGTATGGTTGGACGTTATCTTGTCAAAACAAAACCCGATTTCTATTTACTAATCCTGGGTAATGCTGAGTCAAAACATCATATATTTTTATAACTCAATAAAGTTTTGAATCAATGGCTCGACCTTCTAGAATTATGCCTTCTTGGTTATAAAATACATACAAAATCTATACACTTTTCATTGCAAGTAATTATTCTTTTGATGAACTAAAGATCATTTGGGTTTGTCAAAAGATGTTGACAAATTTCTACTAGATGTCGTGCCTGCTCAATGGTCAACTTATGAGTAACAGTTGAACTCAGTAATAAGCGAATCACTTCCCCCAAGTTATGCAGACTACAATTTATGATGGATTGGGAAACTCCAGGCTCTCTTGCCAATTCCCGAGTACTTTTTGTTCTGTCTGTCTCAACAGTTTCCTCATCGAATGATGATTTTCATCCAGAACCCTCTTTCCTATTGGGGCTCATGTCACCGACTTCAAATTCAAAGGGAGCTTCCTTGTCTTCAAATTGCCTCACCAAACGGGTTGTTCCGGTGTACCGGAATATTACCAAAATTTCAAATTTTTCCATGTTGTTGTTTAACTAAACTCTAGGACAAAACTGAAGGCAAGACGAGATCATTTTTTTACAAATTAATTTAGTTTAGTCTATGGATTAATATGGTATCAAACCTAATTGGTTTGAAATACAAGTAAGCCATTTTTATGATTCACCCTACTGTTTAGTGATTTCCAAAAAAACAAAATACCTTTGATTTCAAGGCAAGTCACTTCCTCCCACATCTTGGGACATTTTAAGTACATAATTATTAGTAATGCTTTACTATCTCTCTATACTCTAATAATCTCAGTCCCATTAAATATTAAAGCTCGACAGTGAAAATTTCAAAGACTATTCGCAAGTCAATTGTTTCTAAATAGAGAATAGACAGAATTTTATAGTGCAAAATTAGAAATATTGTCTTCCAGATTGCTTCCATGGCTCAGCATGTTCTTGAGAGACACCATGAACTTTGGACAAATGATTCCATTCAGGACGACTTACGAAGTTGAACTGAATTAAAATGTCTTCGCTCTGTCCATGACGAACCTTCATCTGGTTCTGTAGAGCTTGCTGGTACGCTTTCAGAAGATTATAATACAGAGCATTGTAACAGACTCAGTTTTCGAAGGAATTGAAGTTAATTTGTTATGTGAAATTTTTTAAATGGCTTTTTCCTTCCTAAATGGCTTTCATAATTTTAGTAAATGTCAGTTTCCAGAACAATCCAAGCATTTAAAAAATAAATTAATTAATTAAATAAAAGCAGATATTTCTTTCTCTGGTTAACCATTTAATAAATGTTTATGTTTTTATGTGGTGTCTGAATATTTTAAAAACATAAAAATTAAAAATTTTCTGTCAACAAACTAATCGGCGCACGGTGAAATGTTTTATTACCGAGTGTAAATAAACGTTAAAAACTTTAAAATCGCAATCCTCAAAAGTTGGGGTTTTTAAATTATAAAATTTTACCCCAAGGGTGGAGAATTTTGTTTAATCAGTGATAATTTTAAATTACTTTTTTTTAAACGACCTTCCGTTTAAGGTACTACTTTTAGAAATGACAGCTATATACAAATATAAAACAGGTTTTTATTTATGTTTTAGTTGGACTATTATCACACAAACCTCTCACCTTTTAATGTTTTATGAGTCGAATGGACAAAAACAGTCAGAAATAACAGCCAAGAACTGATAAATTTATTTTTGTCTTATTTCTTTGTCACCTTGTACTACACCTACATCAGAAAACGGTCATCAAAGCATTCCTGCATAACTCTAGGTGGTCATTACACTATCATCGAGGTCATTTTAACAGAAGAAATAAATCAAAAATCTCTTATAACTTTTCTGTCAAAAAAAGGCGAAATTAGGTTAATCTATAATCAAGGATATGTTGAAACTTGAGAGAAAAGCCTTGGGTTATTTTTGGTTCAAATCATTCCTCTTAAAGTTTCTTTATTGAAAATTAACAATGAATAATAAAGAGTTAATGGAAGAAAACAAAAAAAATATGTCTTTTAGGCTTTTTTTTATTCTTAGCAGAACGTACTTGTCAAGGACTAGGAAAAAGATTTTGTTTTTAATTACCTGGAGTATAATTGAATCTATTAAGAGAAAATTGGCGTAGAGGGCGGAGAATTGGAACTGGAATTCACTCAGTACAGCAAGGAAATTGTTGAAAACCCAATGTTAAATGTTTATAGTTTGTACAAATGTGACCGTGAAAGAGAAACAGCGAGACTGGACGGGCGAAATTTCCCGCGGGTGAGCGCGAGCCTGGAGGGCCGTTCGAGCAGGGCGGAAGCCGGGACGCGAGACAAGGTCGGCTTCCCAGGGGCGGACGGACGACCCGCTTAAGGCCGAACTTCCGCGAGCCGAGGCAGTAAAAGCAAGAAAATCCCTCGGAAAATTTGGCACGGAGGGAAATTTGGCGCCACGCCCCTCGGAGGCAGTCACATTCTTGACAAGGTTCCTATTTATGACGTGACATTTTGTAATACATATATGTTAATTGTTTTGGACGAAACTGACAGAAATAAAAAACTTTATCGGCAATAGCCTAATTCCTAAGCCTCAGAAATGTATTCGCTAAGTGTTACATAATTAGCACTAGAGTTACTCATACCTCCGAAATTATGTAATAAGGATAATACCATCATACTGAATGGAGATAATATTTCAGAAAATACACCAATCAAATATCAATATTTGCTTCATTACAAACCACATGCGATAAGCACACAAAAGATACAAAAGTTTTGTTGTGTTAAGTAAACAAAATACAAGTTTTGTCATTACATTCGTCAAGATTTATCCCACTATTAATACATGAAAAAAATCAAAAGTCATAAAAGGTTCACGCAATCGAAAGATTTACTCAATTCAACTTGACTAAAGGGTACAAAAACAAGAACATAGCTGTCAGATCAGCAAAGCACTAATCTCAAATATCATTAGTTCAAAGATATTGAACTGCAAAACCAAATTAAACTTATTAAGTACGCAGAATAGTCAGCCTCTGCTGGGTCCCAAGACACACGGGAATAGAAGGCAATGAGAAAGCGGACACCCTTGCAAGGAAAGAGGCTGCTACACCGCTGATAGCACACACAGCTAAATGGACATTTAAAAAAGATTAGAATAATCCAAGACGACACATGCAGATTCTGCAAAGAGGCAGAGGAGACACCAACACACCTATGAACAAACTGTTGTGCTATACTTGCCCGCAGGAGGAAGTGCTTTGGGATGTACAATGTGACCATAGAAGAGATTCAACCACTGAAGTTCCTCGATGAAATAGGACTTACCAGTGTGCTTTAGGCAGAGAACAGGGGGATATAATAGCTTGTAAAGGGCGCAGTATACTACACCCCGACTAATACATCTACATTAGTATTTGTAGTAGTAGATTATGTACAGAATTAAATTTTTTAAAGTCTCACTTTCTTTGTAACAATACATTACACATTGTACGATATATAACCTGGGCAAAGTCATAATGTTTAATTTAGCAATTGCCACTCAATAGTTTTAGAATAAAATGCCCAAAAACATGATTTTCAATCTTTCTGCTGAGAGAACACCGATTACAAGACAAGAAAGCAGTCTACTAGCAAACTCCACCCAACTTTTCAATTTACTCTGTATCACACTTCAAAATCCTGATAGACCCTTTGATAGTACATAGTAAAACTAGACTCGTCTCAAATCTTTTTCTTTCATTTGGCATCCTACCTGACAAACTTGAATATGAACCATTACAGGCAGAACATTTTGACATTGTATTTATCACACAAACCCACTTTACTGACCAAAACATTCAACACCGCATTTGGACAACTTACGAAATGGCTAGTCACTGTTAGTTTTTACATGCTACTTATTATTATAATAGCCATCCTTGCTGGTTGGTAACATACTAAAATGTACAAGCGTAAAACATCCCGTTTACTACAAATTCTGTGCTAATTAATGGTTTCAACATGCTAAATTGGCTTATTACTGCCCATTTTTTATTTATGCGAATCTCCATTAAAATCATTTATTCAGTATTCAAAAGGGCAGGAATCTTTGTCTGTATCCATTCGTGCTGTTCCTTTTACAAGTCCATTTCCAAGCATTTTCTTTAAATAGTTGAAATACGGGTAGCACTGTCTGTCATCATGAGAAAGCATTTCATCAGTATAATTGATTATGTACTTTCTCGGTGGTATGATTGGTGTGACTCTCCTTGTTATCGACCTCCATCTAGGTTTTAAGTGAGTAATTATTGATTTTTTAGAGTAAACAGTTTCCTTCCGTTCTTTTTCTACTACTATAGATTCTTCTGACAATGTTTTAAGCTCTTTTTCCTTTATGGACTCTTCTTCTCCGACCGATTCATACACGACTAATGATTTTTCCTGCTTCTCAGCGATCACGACCTCTTTTGTAATGCCTTTGTCAGCCAGTTCGTACAAATTGAAAAAAGACGGCGCTTGGCGCAATGCAGATGGCAATTCTGTTTTAATACTTGAAGTGACCATGTTGTCACAAAGGTCCAATCTCTCTTCAATTTTTTCATCTTTTGATTCTTCTGTGTTTGAATCAGTGTCTTCTGTTTCATCGTCACTACTGCTCAGCTTGTTTTCCATATTAGACACTGTTAGTAAGTTGTAAATAAATGTAGGACGTTCAAAATAAAAACTTTCCTAATCAATTACCAAAACAAACAGTTATATTGAACAATCAATTTAAAGTTAATACTACTATCCTTTCCAGAAAATTTACTTTTAAACACATGTGTGTAAAATTTTATCATTTGAAAATAATTAGTTGATTGTAAAAAAGTTGTCATTAAGTTTAATTTATTAAGCATGTAATTTGGTCATATGTGACCATCCTCACTGACAAACCAAATCAGACCTGGACAATCAGGAAGAGCCAAAAGTTATTGCATACCCTAAACTTCTTTCCAGTTTTTTATTTGCCTATCTTGTATTTTTTCAACTTATTTTATTTTCCTTATTTACAAAAGGACTGCAATGCATTTCAGGGCATTGACCATCCCATTCATCAGACAAATTTTCTGATTTTATACAAACAAGTAACAAAAAGTCTACTCCACAGAGAATCTGCCTGATAAGGTGGAGGGACAGAGCCTCGAAATGGATTGCTGCTCTTTTGTAAACAAAAATTTTTTATAAACACAAGTTGTAAAAAATACAAGATAGATAAAAATAGGTACTATTTTTTATTTATAAAGAAAAGCCACAATAAAGAAAAACAACATAAAAAGTTATTAAGTCGTTTTTCTTCTTGGTATACTTGGTGATAAGTTAGATTTTTTTTACGCTCACAACTGTCATTATGCAAATTGTTCTGCACGATTCACACCATCACAAATAGATTTCTCAACAGGGGAAGAAACACAGACTGGTGTAAAGTGAACTGGTCTTAGGGTGCTTCCCTGGGGAACACCAGTCTTTATTACTAAAAGTTTGTACTATTTGTCCTCTCACTTTTTTTTTGGAATACATTTTCTGAGAGTACTACTGAATGCTAGTACAGGGAGTACTAGATATTTCTCCATCACGTTTATCACACATATAAGCAACATTATATATATAATACTTAGTCTAACGGAAGGCCGAAGGGTACTTGATATTCCACCAACGACGCTCTTGTACCATACACATAAATACATTCTAACAAAACAAGTTAAATTATTTACTATCAAATTTAGTATGTATACAATAATAAGATTACTTGCAATAAACAAAAAATTTATATATACAGAATTACCCTAGTTTCTTCCAAAATCAAGAGGCCCCAAAGATTTATTGCTCTGTGCCTTGCTGCTCATCTGTGCGGTTTGTTTGCTGATCCTTTGTGATATTCATCGCCTTTTTTCAGTACTCAGTCGAGAAATGGTGATCAAATTGAAGCAATAAAGTTTTTATGCTCTTATACTATTGCAACAACTTCTGCCAAAATTAACAGGTCTTAATTAATAAACAATGATTTCGTTGCTCAAAAAGATCCTTTAATCGATTGTTTTTACAGTGAATCCCTTTAGAGTGTCGAACGAAAAGACTTCATTTCTATAAGTGAGAAGATGGTTTTTTCTTTTTGCAGAAGCCCTTTCAAAAATGTCGAATATCACATCTGGTATCGGCTCGACTTTTCCCATTTCGGCCACCTCTTGAAAATATCGTCGTACATAATCTGCAATCATGTGGCACCTAATAGAAAACAAGTTATTTTAAAATTGTAATTTACGAACAGCTAAATTAATTACGAGGACATATTTAAAACAAGAATACTTCATATTGCTCCTGTCTTATTTGGTTTTTAATTTTTTGAAATGTTGGTGTACAACAATGAAAATGAATTTTACAAGTTATTTACAACAATAAGCTTGGATTAAGAGAATATTTTCTTAAGCTGTTGATTGAGTCGTTGACTCTGAAACCTTTTCAGTAAATTTCACTAAGAAGATCTCAAAGCAACTTTCGCATTAATTGTCTTAGAGAATTTTCTGGTAGGGTAGAAATTAATATATGTTGTACTGCGCATGATAAGTGATTGATGTAATTTTTTGACGGTTCATTTTAAGAGGTAAAATTAGGAACATATGCAGCATTTAAAATTGGACAGAGAATTTTGGACTGAATAGATTGGAGATATTGATAACTGAAATCCTTGGTTGAATCCCAGGCTACACAAGTGCTCAGAGAAGTCTTATTATTGTATTGTAAATTAAAAGTTTTTTTCAAAATTTTTCAAAGAGAAATTCTGATTGTGGGTCAAGTAATATTTTTGTCATTTATAACGGTTGGTTTCTTGTCTTGTGATGATTCCAAGTGAATGACCAATGAAAAGATTACTATAACGGACGAGGTCATGGAGTCCCATTTATTTCCACTGGAAGACAGATAAGGTAAAATTTTAGGTAGGAAGCTTTTATTTAGGTTTATTTTCAATTCCATTTTGTGAACCATACCTCCAATTCATTCATGTATTGTACGTGTTGTGCATTTACAAAGGACTCCAAATTACATGTAAGAATCACTGTATCATCCAAAGTCGTATGTGTATGAATGTCTATAGAGTAGATTGAAAAAAGGAGCCTACATATAGTGTAAAGAGGGCTGTTCTGAGTTTTTCAAAGTCAATGCTGGGGTTTGTCAGGGATGTGTTCTGAGTCCACTTCTATTTTCTCTTATGTGCTGACAGCATCATCGTTCTCGTAGATTCCCCTGTTCATTTACAATTGAACATTAAAATTATTACCATGTTGTATATTTTGGGCTTAAAAGATAACCTCGACAAGTTGAATATAATTCTAATATTTAGAAATGGAGGCAGAATGAGATAAATGGAAAGTGAACCTATAAAAGTAATCAAATTGAAGTAAAATTATAAATATCTAGGTATGATGAAGAGAACTCACTCAGTGAGACATAGATCATTCACTTTTTTGAAAGGATGCTGCCTCTGACTACTTACAAAACTTGTATTAATGGCTATCTGGGGGAGGGAAGACATCAGTAGGTGCAATGGTTTAGGCATTGACACAGTGCTCATCACTGTAAGGTAAAGGTCCCGGGTTCGAATGCAGCGGCCTTTCATCCAAACCTGATACACAATTTTTTTTTAAACACCGGCATCACAGTTGCTATGATCTTTGCTGTTGCGAATTCACATTTCATTTCAATAATGCGAATTCACATCAAAAAACGTGTTTGTATATTTCAGCCCCACAATGAACATTTAATGCTCGAAATCCTGTTAAAACTGTTTTGTGAGTAGAACCATCCTTTCCAAAAAGTGATACACTCACCCCATCTCAATTATTTATAGTCCATCCAAGTTAGCATATTTTTCTCGCCTTAGCAGAAACAATTTCGAACAAAACCTACACATCCCATAAGTTAAGGAAATTCCATCCACGTGGATTAGAAACATAGCAATCCCTAATGTTGGTGTTTGGTGTTGAAGTCACTTCCTGCAATTAAATGAGGACCAAATGACCAAAAGAGAAGAGCATTGTGACCAATCTAGGTTAGAAGCACACAACAGATATATTCAACTGGAAGGAAGAGATATTTGAGATAATGGAAAATGGCATAAGTGTGTGAAATGTGTAGAATGTGCTAAATTAATTAATCCAATTGATTTCTGAGTTCTTGCTTTTTCTAATAATTATTTGTTTTTAAATTGTCTCAAGTTAGATGGACGGCTCTTCTGATCTATTAGTAGGCGAACAACATGCAATAGATAATTTTTTCTATACTGTTTTATGAATAATTACATTTTTCTTTTTTCACATTCTTCAACAAAACTTAGTACATTGATTAAGTTTCATGGTCTGATTGACCAAATAAATTCTTTTCAATTATTTAATTTTCAAGTAAGGTATTCGTATATATTTTGTATTATGTTGAAAGCCGTTCTTCAATGAGTGGGATTCGAACCCATGACCTTCGGCTAAATACGCTCCTGCTCTACCACTTGAGCTATTGTGACTTCGATCCACTCGGACACAAACTTCCCAACCCCACCATTTGAATTTTCTCTTCTTTTTGCCATTTATTTGATGTAATCAATTTGATTCTTGGCCACAAATGAAATGGCCATGGAGAGCTTTAGTGAAGTATATTTAATTTCGCTTATTAAATCGATTAGAAAAATGAGGGAAAATTCAAAAGGTGGGGTTGAGATGGGAAGTTGGTGTCCGAGTAGATTGAAGTCACATTAGCTCAAGTGGTAGAGCAGCGGTGTATTTAGCCGAAGGTTGTCGGTTCGAATCTCACTCGTGACACTGACTTTTTTATCTCAACCAAGACCTTACATGGAAAGAATAATTAATTGAAAGATGTAACTTGGTCAATTGACCACTAAAACGAAAATGAATTAATATTTTGTATTATGTTGAAAGCCGTTCTTCAATGATAGGATGATTTCCCCACCAATGTTATTTGATATCTCGATTGATTTTCAAGGTAATAATTTTATGTTTTACCTTTTTTTAGGAAAGCCTTGATCTTCTATCGTTCTTTCTCTTTTTGCCATGTCTTGCAACATTTCATCTTTGGACGGGAAGTTATCATTTTTCAACATGTTTAAAAAACTCCTTATCTGAAAATGAAATAAAATATTAATTTAATGTTTAAGTGTTTTGTGTGAATAAAAATAATTTTCAAGTATGACAAAATTCAAACTACCCTTGTACTTTAAAACTGTAATTGTAAACTTTCTGGTTCAGTTGTAGTTTCAATTGATACGTACCTGAATTTCGAACATGGGGAAGATCACAGTTCTGTAAGGGATTCCAATGAAAACCATAGTCGGATGGTTTATGTTGATCATGTGCTTGTATAAAGGTGTAATATAATTGTCTTTGACTTTTACACCACAGGACTGGTGCAAGAAGGGGAAACTGTAATAATACCCTGAAAATTTAAAGAATTATGGCAATTTAAGTTAATTTAAGTTGGGTATGTGTCTTATGGAAATGTCAGTTTAATCATTTTTCTTGACCTGCCACTCTCCTTTTTTTTAAACATTACCTTCTAAGATTTCCCTATGAAGTATTATTTATTCTAGGTATATATTAAGTTAAGATTCTAAATCAAATGTTAATAAATAAATATAAATGCAAAAATATAAATTATGAACTGCGAAAACAAAAAATAAGTGAGTATATACCGGTACAATACATTATCACGTCAACTTCGACGTGAGTTCTGTCTTGAAATATTGCAGTGCTTCCATTGATTTCCTTTACTTCAAACTTCATTTCCACATTGGAAGGAAAAACATTTTTTAGATCAATCTCATGGTTACGCCGGCTAAGAATAACCTGAAATGCCATAAGCAATAAACATAGGTCTGGTCCAGTGGTTAACACTAGGCAAATACTAATAATACATATTTTTATGAGATGTAAAGTTCCCTTAAGTAATTAATTATCAAAACAAGTAGTTGGACATTAAGCCCTCCTGTGTGATAGGAATTACTTTATTTGCTTATAATATTAGGTCTTAGCATAAGTTAGGACTAGTTGCTAAAATAAGTTAAAAATAGTTGTAAGGAACGTCAAACAAATATTAGAAATAAGACTGTAAATCTGAGGATCCACCCAGAAGGGAGCAAAGAGACCATTCCCACAAATCTGGTGATCATAGACATGCGATAGTCGAAGTCTGTTTACTAAATAACGAAAGTCGAATAGTTATTCAGTGTGGGAAGGTTGTCGAAGACAAAATTCATCCAGCTGTGGGACATCATAAATTTAGGTTCACATCAGCCAGGTAGGCGATATATATCTTCGCCATGGGACCAGGAGGCTGCATAATAGAAACCCCCAGGTTGTATCTGACCCAACAGTTTATTATTTTTCCTTACCTCCACTACTCCAGTTGGAAAACCGGTGTAGAAGGAGATGATGTGGAAAACAGTCAACTCAAAGACTCATCCCTGTCTAGTCAAGGATCCAGAGCAGTAACCAGCACACTCCGTCTGGGGCTCAGAGGACTCATCCAGCAAGGACCAGCCATTGCGACAAGTCAAATAGAGTCAACTGTCGAGAACCCAGAAAGCTGCAGAAGGAAAATCCTGGATGATGTGGAAACTGTTATTGACGAGTATAATTTGGCGTAAGTCCTCTTGTGAGTAAGCTCATCCCAGAGTTAGAATTGTGGTTGACTAGCCTTGTTTGTTTATTACCACATTTATAACAGGCCAGTGTAACAATAAATAGAAATGATGAAGGTGGGGTGAGTATGTAGATTCATTTTTTGTAAATTATGGTTCTATTCACAGATTTATCTCTGAATGGATCTCTCTAAATCTGGGAGTAGAACTATCATTTACAAAAATGTAACAATAAATGTTTAAAAATATATCTCTCCAGTTCATTGCATTTTTGGAACCTTACCTTCCCATTTCAGCGAGTATGCTGAATGTTCTCTTATCGCTTAGCGTATGTATCATATTCATCCCTGCATTATATAATCACCTTGTCTGCAACGGTTGACAGATCCAAAGAAATATCTGTACCAGATGGCCCAGCTCCAATGACAAGGACTCGTTTTCCTAAAAAATGATCTGGCCGCCTATAATCATGGCTGTGCAACTGTTCTCCAGTGAACGATTTCATGCCTGGAATTTGTGGATACATCGGTGTATGGTAGTGCCTACATTGAAATAGAAAAAAGTTAAAAGACCTTGTTCTTGTTTTTGACATTAAAAAATGTGTGTATCCTCTATCCTTCTCAGTATTTGTTAATTGTGTATAAGCTGATTAGTAATCAAACATTATGTTTAAATTTAGTAGTGCTTACCCATTGCAAATGAACACAATGTCAAATATGTATTCTTCTTCCTTCTCCGCCGTCAAATCTTTGACAGAAACTTTCCATCCCGTGTCAAGTGGTCTGACCATCTGTACGACTTGCCTAAACTGCCAACCGATCTTTTTATCTTTTACAGCTACAGAAATAATAATAATACAAAGACTACCTTAACAAATCTCATCAAATCGAAACGGTCAACGTACGACTCAAGGAAGTTCAAGACCTCTTTCGACATAAGATAAGATCTGTCACTCCCGGGAACAGGGAAGTCCGTGTACCCCATGATTTCTTTTGGCAGGTTGGTCCTACCATTGGCACTTGTTAGTTGTACTTGGAAAACTACCAGAGAATGGTTTATGGCTTACTTGAGGTTTTTGTACATACTCGTAACAATTGGGAGACCGTATTCATCTCTGCCGACATCCTCGGTGTACACCCAAGTGCCTCCAAGCTTGTCCGTCTGTTCGAATACAGTACACTCATGTTCTACCGAGGCATATCTGGCAGCTGTTATACCTGCAGCGCCAAATCCAATTATACAGATTCTCATCTAAAAATCAATGAAAAACCTTAAAATGATGTACAACTCTGTCTTATATTTAACTTGTATAACATGGCCATTTTACAATAATTTTAAAGAAATGCTGAAAGGAAAAAGCTGCTGGACAAACTGCTCTAATGTATAAAGTATTATCATTGTCAACATTTCAAGATAGAAGAATTGTTATCTTCACGAATGTCTCATGAACGATTAATCTTGACCTAGATTGGAGCCATTCTATTTCTTAAGAATTGCAAATAGCTGTTTAACTTTTCTATGTAGGACATTTTCATTTTCCAACAATCTAATACTATGAGATATATTTTCTCAATAATGAACGACTATAAATTGGTCGTTACCAATTACATTGGTCTGCGTATCCTCACTGTGTTGACCTGTTAGACGCATTCCAGCATGTTTACTGTTGTGTCTGTGTGATTTCCATGAAGTCAAGTCTCTTTTATTACTTCACCTCTAGAAGATCACCCAGACATAACACTGAAAATGTCAAATATAATCCATAACACCTCTGACAGACTTTTTCTTAACTGTAAGTGGCCAGTTTTCTTGTTCATCACATCAAAATTTTATATTTCATTTTTATGAAGAATGACCTGATCCTTATATGAATGTTCTAACTTTCATTCCAAGGACAGTGTCCAACCACAACCTGAATTTTCTTACTTTTGGTACTCTCCAAACCGACCTCGAAGCTACTGACTGAAATATTTTCTCCTCCTCAATTGACTAAATGGTAGATCCCCTCACTGGTAATCTTACTCTCCTCAATTCTTATACCTCTCTCAAAACCTGTATTTTTCACCACCATCCTGCCCCTTGGATGAAATGCAAGAATTTGTTTAAAAACTCTTTGAGTGTAAAATCATTTTAAATTTACATATTTTCAATTTGAAACGAACATGATATTTCTGTAGGATAAACTGCCCTACAATTAAAGCACACTTCTCATTTTTCTATGAGAATCTACAAATTTTGAGTTTTCCAATGCATTCAGTTCCTTAAATCATAATTTGTTTATTTGGACACTGTCACATCTTTTTGGTTTTTCTTCTACTGTATCTCTGTCTGACAGAATGCGGAGAGATAAAGCTTCAACTCATCTCCTCTTCTCTTTCAATTTCAGCTGGTGTATCCCAAGGCTCTTTTCTTAGACCTTTACTCTTTTCCATGTTTCTAAATGATCTTCCATTAGTTCTCAATTTCTCCCAATTTCATCTTTATGCTGATGACACTTAGCTTTACATTCAGTGTCCTATAAGCAACATCTCTGAAGCTCTCTGCTCAACCGTGATCTTCATTCTCTCAACCAATACTAAGAAAATAATGGCATTCTTTTAAACCTTAACAAATCCCAGTCCTTATTAATTTCCAATAAATACATTCGTACAGATTGCCTCTCCCATCCTCATATCAACAGCTCCCCTATTAATTTTTGTCATAAAGTTAAAAATCTCGGCATTATTTTTAACGCCAAGCTTACATGGCATGACTATGTGGGCTCTATTATTAAAAAGAACTGTTTACAGTTCTGGTTATTAAATCCCTAATAATTTCTTTATTTTCTTACTGTAGTGCTATTTTTTCACTTTCCTTAGATTCTCAATCTGCTCATCGCCTTCAAATTGCTTATCATTCCTGCATTAGATACTGTTATTATCTTAACCCGATGGATCATATTTCATCTTATATTAATATCTTTAGCATTCTTCATTCACTATCCCAAGCCTTCGACACTCCTCTAAACCTTTAGTCTTTTCCTTCTAAACTATGGAATTTGCTTCCCCGGGAAGTATGTTCTGCTTCCTCGCTGGCTTGTTTCAGTTCCATGGCATCTGAGTTGTTAAAAAACGTCATGAATCATCTCCTTTTCATCCCTTTTTGTTTTCTTTTTCCAGTTTCCTTTTTTTCTCTTTCTGCTTTTCTTTCGTAATGTGGTTTCATCATTCGATTATGATTAATATTTTAAAGAATATATTATTGTATCTGTACATGTAAGGGGGCCTAAAGCCCTATGTACAGGTACCTTTAAAATAAATAATTGTACACCTTATTAAATCAAAGCTATTTCTAACATAAAAAATACATAAAAAAAGGCACGGTAAGATAAAAACAAATTTAATTTATAATTAAATGTTTGACATCTATAACATACAATACACATGTTAAAGCTCATTGCTTCACAAATAAACTCCATTTAAAAGATTTGCAACAGAAGCAGTTTTTCGTACCTCGGCCTTAATGGGTCTTGGGACTTGAGACTTAAAACTGCTGAAAGCTTTTGCCCGTGTCGGCTGCAACTGGTCACTACTCACTGGTGCGACGTGGGAGTGAGTACTCGAGGGTCAGAGTAGTCATAATTACTCCCTGCCCCACCAAAACCAAACCAAACATGCAGATAAAACGGGTCCCGCTTATCGTTACGACAATTATTCAGTCCAGTTGAAATTAGTCCAATTGACTTGATTATGGCCCGCCGCAAATTGAACCAACTCCACGGACAGAACAGGTGGGTTCTTCTGTGAAACAGTGATGCGGCGCGAATTGAACCCACTCCACTGCCAGGGCCAGCCCAGTTTGACTTCAACCAGTGGTTCGTTTGCGAGAACCACACAGATTTCGTGTGTCCTTCAGATCGTGTGTATGCAGAAATGATGGAACGTGACGAAACTTTAATTGAAATTGGGCGGGATTATCCTGTACTGTATGACACAAATCATTTTGATTACACGAAGATAAAGGATGAGGGGGAAAAATTGGTCAGACCTCGGTTCGAAAGATAAGCTTTATATCGAAACATTATCTTTATTTCTTAAATCATTACATCACACATGAACACAAACGCACAGGAAGATACACTATACAAGTCAGCACAACCAAAGGATGTCACAAGGAGAGGTACTATCACCTCTTCTACGGAGCCTAATAGTTAACGAACTGCTCAAAAGTCGAAACGATGGACCGTAAAGGGATAAGTGTCAGGGCTTTGGGGTTGATATAGTCCTGGCCGCCAGGGGAAAATTCGTGGAAATCCTCTGTGACATTTTATACGGAAAAGGAAATTTGATCACATGAGGCAAATAACATGCAATAATACTGTGTAAAAAATAGGCCAAATATCTAGGCGTCACACTAGATGAAAACTGTCATTTAAGGAACATAGTCTTCACCACGATGAAGGCAACATGAGCACTGATGGTGTGCAGAAGAATAATGGAAAAAATTAGGGATGCAGACCAGACCGGAAACCATGCATTGGATGTACACCATATGTAAGACCTATTCTTACAACGGAGCCATAGCCTGGGCCAATAAAGCAGAACAAAATAATAACAAAACGAAAAGAACTCACAAAACTACAGACTTGCATGCTTCGTATAACGGGAGCAATGAGAACATATCCCATAGTTGGTGTGGAGAAGATATTGGAATTAATCTCTCTACATCACGTAATAATGAGGATAAAGGGAAACCTCCAACAGGAATAAAACTAAAATGGAGATATAGCAACAACATAATGAATTTAAGGAACATAGGCTTCACCATGATGAAGGCGACATGAGCTCTGATGGTGTGCAGAAGAATAATGGGACAAAATTAGCGATGCAGAGACCGGAAACCCTGCATTGGGTGTAAACCGTATGTAAGACTTACAAACGGAGCCATAGCATGGGCAGAACAAAATAATAACAAAACGAAAAGAACTCACAAAACTACAGACTTGCATGCATCGTATAACGGGAGCAATGAGAACATATGCCATAGTTGGTGTGAAGATATTGGGATTAATCTCTCTACACCACGGGATAATGAGGATAAAGGGAAACCATCAACAGGAATAAAACTAAAATGGACATATAGCAACAACATAATGAATGACCGTCCAACACTCATGGTACCAAGAGACATCATGAACAGGATGTTTGAATTTAATCAAAACTTCCAAATAAACCTAGGTACCAAAAAAGAATGGGAAAGAGAGAAAACGGCACCTTCTTTAAGAACGGCACAGGGGTATCTATAACCCAAGAAGGAACAGGAGTAAGAGAGTATTGTCAGGAAGAAGAAGAAGAAACAGTGATCTATGTATTTTTTTGGCGCAATGACCTATGTAGACTATCTACAACCAAGAAGAAGATCAATGCTTGAACAATACTTAACAAAGCTTATTCGGAGATTGTGAGATGCGGTCTGGTGTTATGTAGGTTTTAGAAAAACATTTTCTTTATCGTGCCAATGTTTCGATCTTTATTGAAATCATCTTCAGGGCCTGGGATTTACAAACATTGTTTAAATTTAATGTCACACCATAAAAAGTCTGAAGATTAACGAAAAGCTCTAGATAATAATGGGCATTGCACAATAGACCAATATTGGTGATAGTGCTTAAGGTCATAAAGAGGCTAACTCCCTTTAACCTTAGCCTTATTACCAAAGATTCAGAAAAAAAAAACCATGGTCATAGAATGCCACCCATTAGAACTAACCATATTTGTGTATCGTACTCTTACAGAAACAAACAAAGACTATTGCCAAATTGTACAATTTTTTGATAGTCTTAGGGGCTCTGTGACGAAGCCATTCATGTAAGCTTGCCACTTTCAGAAGGTGCATAGACTAAAGATTGTAACATAAACGTAAGAGCCTAGTTTATTTCCTGGCTCTTTATTCATTTATGTATTTATATTTTTATATATATATTTTGAATGCTTATTGAAAATAGTTTATAGGAGCTAATGAGTCATGGGCCGGTTGCTTTTGGGACTCTGGTCATTCATAATTTTTCGTCTGCTTAGATTTAGCTTGACTGTATATCACTTATAAGGCCATTTAAAAAAAGTATATAAAATAAAAGTTGGTGAAGTAATGTAGATCGGAAAGAGTGTATCATTTTTAAATTAGAAACTTTGAGTAAATCCCCAGACTTCGTATGAAGTTGGACTTTAAAAAATGCATTTAATTTTATTTTTAATTTTTTTTTTAAATTTTATTTTTAATTTTATTTTATTAATCATGTATATCAATATGAAAACATTACAGCATATAGATGTTGAAAGTATGGTTTTATTGGTTTCTTTTAGTTTTTACTGTGAACGTTTCACTGTCTACAATGGTAAAAACTTCTTCTCGATAGGTTGCCAGGTTTTTGGATCTGCTTTGCAAATTTTGTTCGAAAATGGCGAATTTCACTTCAGGGATGGGTTCCACGTTGCCAATCCTTGCTATATCATTGAGATAAGAACGTACGTAGTTGATGACCATGTGATACCTTTATATAAAACACAAAGAATAACAGACTAAAGTTTGGACGTGGGTTGTTTATTATAGATTTGTAAAGCAGTTCAACTGATAAATTGAAAAATAAGATAAACATTTGTTTAAACGAGAAAACTTCTATTGCCTTTGTATAAATACATTCAAATCAAAACAATACTGGGAAAATTGTATCATATCATAACTTGCTAAAAAAAATGCATTCTTTACCTCCTCTTGGGCAAACCTTTTCCTTTAACCCTTTTTTCCCATTCTTCTAAATCTTCTTGCATTTTGTCTTTAGAAGGTAAACTCGCTTTTTCCGACAGAATACTCACGAAACTTTTGGCCTGCAAACATTTTGACTTTAAACTTAATTTCTTTGTTCTTGAACAGCTAGTAGTACTTCTTTTTTTCAAATATACCTGAAGTTCAAGCATCAAGAAGATCATTGCCCTGTGCGGGATGCCAATGAATGCCATCGTCGGATGGATAATATTAATCATGTGCTTGTACAAAGGATAAACATAATCATCATCAACCTGTATGCCACATGATTCATCCAAAAATGGAAATATATAACGATAGCCTGATAAAATATATTTTTATTTTTGAATTGCATACTTTACAGAATAATTGCGTGGATATGAAAAATTACCAGTACATAAAATTACAGCGTCTACTTCGAGCGATGAACCATCAACAAATACCGCTGAGTCCTCTGTGAAATGGTCAACATCCGGCCGATGTTCGGAATTAGAAGGGAAAGTGTTTTTCAAATATGACTTTAAATGATGACTCATGTACACCTTGTAAAAGTAAATAAATAATCTTTAAATTTCAACTAGAAAGAAATTTACCCAGTTATTGAAGAAGTGAATTTCAAAACCAAAATCTTCTAACATACAAATTTACCAAATCCAGTCTATTTCAAAATTGTAAGAAGTCAGACTCACAGAAAATATAAATTAAAGATTCGATTTCTATTCTTAGATTATTATGTGTAGAATATTAAAAAATATAAATAGTAATAGAAAAATGAGAAGCCTCTCAGCAAGCCAGGGCAGAGGAAAAGCTGTGAGCAACCATGTCTTCTCCTGGTTCTCATTCTGTTTTCTGAGTTATGTAATATATGAAATTTAGTTACAGGCTTATAGAAAAAAAACAATCATGACCTATTTGAAACGGTCGGAAACATGATTTAAGAAGATTTCCAAGATACACCATGAAGGCAAACTTGGTTAGGGTGTACACTTAGGGTATGTAATTTTAATATGTGTAATTCGGTCTAGTTATAGGAGAAAGACGCTCATTACTTCCTTGTCCAATGAGACCACACATGCTGATACTGCTCGCCAAACAGGAGTTTTCAGAGATAGGCGTGAAGGACTTACATGTTATGGATGATACAAGCATAGCCATGGTAATCAGGACAGACCATGGCTATCTCAGTTGCTGGTGGTGGAAACCAAGAACACGAACTCTTTGTGAAGATAACAGGAGTATAGAAGGATCGACTCCAGAAGCTTTCCAATGTACATCATGAAGGCCAAACTTGGCTCAGCTGACAAGAAAGGCAGGCCCGCCGTTTAGAGGCCCTCATCCATGCCCGCCTTGAAATCTAGAAACAAGCGTGAAAAATTCTCTGTACCCTAATCTTAGCGCTAGTTGTTAGCTAGTGCTTAGCAGTTCTTCTGTGGTGGACACAGAAACCAGTAAATGAAGGGATAAGAGCAGTCAAAGACAGGGAAAGATCTACACCTCTGTCAAAATGACCAATTACGGCCACAGGGAGATGTAAAGTGTAAGAAGCATTGGTGGATCTTGTGATGTACAATTGTATTCTCATAGGCCATTATTAGTGCAATTAGGATATATTGTATTCATGCAGTAAACAAACAAAAAATAAATAACAAATTCTGAAAAGTGGTGTGAACTGGTGTAGGTAATACAGATTAGTAGGAATTATTTAATTTTATAAAATTGTTAATAGCAGTGGAAAAAAAGGAAGGTGAAAACTGTCCTCTCAGCAAGCCAGGACAATCAGAAAAACAAGGGAGTTTTGTGCAAGCTGTCTGCGACAATACACCGTTTTCCCTCCGTTTTTATTCTATGGTTCTAGGGCATGTAATTCTATTGAGTCCCAGATAGATATCCTTGTCTCATCCTTACCCAAAAAAATCCATAAAAGAAATTGCATATTTTCTCATATAAAACATCGAGAATAAATTATTTATTTGAAATTGTGCATTACTTTTTTGGCCATTGTGCATAAATCGAAAACAATGTCCTGTCCAGACGGCCCCATCCCAATTGTCAAAATCGTTCGATGTGAAAATTCCGATGGGACCCTATATAAATGTGAATGAATTAATTTCCCTTTAAACGTAGAAATGCCTCTAATCTCTGGAATCACAGGCACTGAATAATGTCTGAAAATAAAAAAACAAAATTAATAATAAATAAAATCTACAATAATATTATGCATTTAACAAAAACTTGCCCGTTACAAATAAATATCGCATCATAAAATGATTCAGATTGTTTTCCAGTGTCAAGATTTTTCCATATAATCCTCCATTCTTGGAATAGTCTTGATACCCTTATTACTTTTGATTTAAACTAGAGGAAAGTAAAAGAGAATAAGTTTGTTGTGTAAAAAATATTAAAACAAGCCAAGAAGAACACATATATAATTTAAAAAACAATTTACTTTAATATGTTCCTTTAAATTAAATTTGTCTGCAAAATCATTCAGATATTTAAGCACCGTTCTAAAAGAAAAATAAGACACATCGTTTACATCATAATTCAATCCTTCGAAGGTCATAATTTCCTTGGGAAGATTGGTTCTGCAACATTGAAAAAATGTCAATGCATCATAAAAACGCTCACTGTTTAAAAAGGCATACATAAGATTCTTGTACATCGAGGAATGACAGTCTTCTTGAGGATTTTCATAATAATTCCAAGTGCCACCGATCACATCCGACTGTTCAAAAATGTCAACATCGTGTGCAGATTGTATAGCATGTTTGGCTGATACTAGACCAGAAGCCCCGGCTCCAAGTACAGCCACCCTCATTTTTCTAAAAAGTCACAACCTTCAGGAATAAATTTAAAATTTCAACAGGCTTTAATATTCAAGGCTGAAACCGCACTGAAAAAATTTTATCTGCGTTAGTTTTACAAAAGTATTTGACTTTTGATCAGATTCTGATAAAAGGCACAACAAAGATATAGGCTCTTCTACTCATTATTTTAATAATTAAGAATGTAATTAATTATTGTAATTAACAAGACATCTCATAGTATCAATATTTTTACTTGTACTTTTTTTAAAAATGTTTTAAAAGATATTTTATTCTACTGAAAATGAACTTATTTTATACTTTTTAGTAATTCTATGAGGGGTTTTCCAACAAACTGCTCACAAATTGGTGCAGACCAGTTACAAAATCTCAGATATTTTTATTTTCTATTTTATTTCTTATGTTATTTGATTTAGTCCTTTTTTAGATTAAAATAAACTACTTTGATAACTTCTTGACATTCTTATCTTTATGAGGATTAATGAATAAATAAATAAACAAAAACAAATTCAGCCCATGTCAGGTTCTACACAGAGAGCATCTTGTTAGTGATGCCCCAAACTGTAGCATCTCAGCATAACGTTGGTTGTCTTGGCCAAAGTCTAGAGAGTAACAAAAAGTGGACGAGGTGGTTGAAGACATCCCAATCTCATGATCTAATCACTGTGAGTAAAAATGCTGATGATTGAGGGAAAGTTGCAGCGTCTGTGGGCTAAATTGGCAGAGAAGCTCTCAATTGTCAATAAGTCGCACTCAGAAAATCTAAATCGAAGACGAGATGTCTAAGAATATAGACCATACTAGGATAACACATTTACTGTTGGGTGTGTGTGTCCAACATGTAAAGAAAGGTCCCACTTGATGACGTGTCTTTCCTCGGCTCCTTATAGAGAGCAAATAAGAATGCCAGTCGATATGAGAATTATCAATCAAAAAAAGGAAATTTTGTTTTTGAGTTGTTTTATGAAATTTAATTTCCTACAGAAATCATTATTCGTCTTTCATCGTCGTACTCATTAAGGCAGAACTAAAGAGATTCTTATTTCTGAAGGACTATTGCTCTTATATTTGCTTGATTGCACTCACACAGTTATTTTAAGAATACGAGAACAGGTACTGCTCAGTATGCTTATGGATGAGGCCAAGTTCCCATTAGAAGAAGAGTTTAACAGCTCAACTACAAGGCTCTTTTACGCATTTCAACTCAGTAACTGTCTCCATGGGACCGCAAGTAGTCGAGTGATTAAGGCATCGGATTCTTGGCTAATTGGTCATGATTTCAATTCCCACCGTCGCCTATGTACTTTTTTTCTGGTGGCCACAATGAAATTGACACAGCACTCGTAGATAAAAGGTCTGGGGCGAGATCATATCTCAGCGACCCTGACTTGTGCCCAGACCCCTGTCAAATAGTGGGTTTCTTTAATGGAAGAACTCCAGCGACTGGGGGCTCAATTTACACACATGTTGTGAACCCCAAAAAATGGAGTCCGGAAGGAGTACAACAAAGCTGTACACTCCTCTAATTCCTGTATTTGGAAAAAAAAAAAAAAAAAAAAAAAAAAAAAAGAGTACTGGGAAAGTTGTTTATTTACTGATGAATTAAAATTTTAAAATGAAGATTAGAATGTAGAGAGCAAAACCAGTGATTTAAAGCAGGCATGGCAGATTGGCTCTTATAGAGGGGGCACAAAAATAATGGTTTGAGATATTGAGTAATCGAAAAACTGCTGATCTCGTACAGGAATGAATATATACATGACTGCACAACGTTCAAATATCTGGACGTCATCATGTCTTTTATTGTTAATATAATTAAATTACATTAAAATGTAAAAAATAAAATATTTTATTTTAAAAAAAATTATAACAGTTTACGTACTCAATATATACAGTTTTAAATTTACATTTTGATTTAAAAAAGCATTACATCAAAAAGATGAATCAGAAAAAGTAGACAATGCCTTGTCTACCAAACTGATCCTTTGTTTAAGTTTGCTTTCCTCCTCTGAATCTGTGTTTTTCATGTTTTTCAGTAAAAAATGGTGAATGAACAGTCTTATACTCTCTCTAAACATGTGGAGTTTTTGCGGTTTAGCAATCCTCGAAAAGGTCTCGACGACTGCTTCCTGGTCATCATGAAGCAGCAGAGTTAAAAGTATCTGCCTTAATAGACGCACACAGAATTTGTCCATTTCGGTGAACTCTAGAACCTAAAAAACAAAACAAAAAATTGAAAAAAATGTTCTTGAGGCTTACAAAACAAAAAAGGTCTGCTTAGAAATTTTTTTATACGGTGAAAAAGCATTTGACACGGTCGTAATTTTGACAAGGTTTACTGTCAAAAGTAAAGAATCACTTCCCTATAATCATATCCCTATAATTTCTGGTCCGTAAATGTACATAATTTTTTATTTATTTATTAACTTACTTGGGACCTCAAAATTTATTTTGTCTATTCTTTTGGCTAAATGTGTGGTTTCCCCCTACTTTTCAAAAACCTTGCTATAACTATTTACCATGATTTAAACAATATGTAGTCAATCTAATTGTTCATGTCATTTTTTATACTCAAAATCTAGTTTTTGAAAATGCATCAAAATTGATTGGTCATTTGAAAAAATAAAGTTGATACTCAATATCTTATTACTGTCTTAAAAAAAGTTTAGACTACTTATTTTTGATCCTTGGGGTTCAAAGACCAACCCCGCTTCCAAGTAGTGAACCCCGGGAAACGTTCGTCGCCGTTCTGACGGGGGGATTCATATTGATCCCCACGGCATGGTACGGTGCGAAAAGGCTAAAGGGGCTCTGGTGTCCTATCCCCAAGTGAGGTACTCACTTTCCTAACCACTCCTCACTAAATAGACTCCTATCACCAACCCCTCTCCCTCTATCCTATCATTCCCCTAAGAAGAGTCTTGGGCTTGACAGAAAACAGCATCCGCCCCAATCAAAGGTGTCATGCATTCCGTGCCGAGTGATTCACTGGCAGCCGGGGTTAATGTGGCTGTCTTGAACGGAGCCTCTCTGACACCGGGCGACNCACTAGCCCGCAGGAGGAAGTGTTTTGGGATGTACAATGTGACCATAAAAGAACTACAACCACTGAAACCGGGCCTATTAATCAAGTTTCTTGATGAAATAGGACTCACCGATGTGCTTTAGGTAGAGCACAGGGGTTACAATAGCTCTTAAAGGGCGCAGTATACCATACCCTGAATTATTACATCTATCTATCTATCTATCTATTTTTGATCCTTAGAAAAAGCTGAGGTTACCATTGCATCCTTTTTCTATAAACCTCCATTTTTGAGGAAAAAAAAAAAGAAATAAGAGATCCTGTATATATAAAAAATAATAAAATGATCTTCAGTCAAATAAATAAGTTTTGAATACCTTTAGGACTGATAACGGAAGTGATTTTTCGAGGAAGAGATGTGCGAGAAATTTGGCAAAGTTTGCAATTTGATTTTTGGCCAAGGATTTCATCTCTTTAAACCTGTCCCAAACTGAATACTGGAGGGTCATCTACACAGAAAAAATAATATGACAAATTGTCATTAAAATAATCAATGAGTTCAAACCTTGTGCCTCCTATCTGACATGCAAAGCTGATCAGCAATATAAGAATAATAAGGATTGTACGTCGTTTCTTGAAGAAGACAATGGATCAAAACGTGTATTATTTCCTGTTCTGGCTGGCCTTTTAGCCCTAATCTCATAAGTTTTTCAAAAGCGTCCAAATAATCTTCAGCACTCATTAGAATGCAAAATATGTTTTTCCTATTTGCAGTGTTCATCCTCTGCTTTCTCGCCAGTTCTAAGGCTTCTTGTGAAAAACTATTTTCCTCAATATTTTTTTTCTGATCTTTCGCCTTTTCTGACTGTGGAGCAGGACCAGTCCAAGCAGACCCGACAATCCACCATCTCCCCCTTTCTTCAGCTAAACAAACATAAAAAAAATATATATTTTTTTTTGTAATTTTTGTTTACAACCTCTATTTACCTTTCAGCAAATCATCAAGTGTTATCTTCAATTCTGTTATGTAATTCCCTTTTCTCACCATAGTTTTGATAATTTTTTTCAAGTGCTCACTGTGCGAGGGGTCGTATTGTGGAAGCTTCGCCATGTTATTATTTTTTATTGTCAAAAGGACGTCCAGCATAAATTTAACACGTGCACTGGAAAAGTAATATTGTAACGACAATCTAAAGTTAAAATTAATATACTCATACTCTTCTTTCATCTCTTTAGCTTCATTGGCTAGTTTTTGCACTTTCAATATAAAATCTTTAAGCGCCAAAGCATTATCCTTTCTAAGAGTGAAGCCAACACTTCTTAAAACGACCAGTATTAAATCTACATCCTTGGGAGTAAAACTTTCACACATCATATTCAATAAGTCATAAACCAAAACATTATCAAAAATCTAAAAAAGTAAATAAGTAACATATCAATAATCTCAACTAGCATAAAAGAAAACTTTAAAAAAAAAATTACCTTAAAAGTATACATGTGGCAAATGAGCAAAAGTAGATTATCTATTTCTTTGTTTTCTATGTCATGATCAGTTTTATGCATTTCACAAAATTGTTTTCCCAAATACTGAAGCATATAAGCACCTAAACATTTACTAAATTGTAATTTTCAAATTGTCACAGTAACAAACAATAAATAAAATATCGTACCAACTTCAGATCCAACATTAGCATGCAATATGGCCAAAAGCATTGCATGCTCCATTACAAGACGTTCCGGAGTGTGCACACGGGTTACGAGGGACTCTAGATATAAATTTAAAATCATCCCATTCATATCACTCCTACTATTCTTCATGTATAATTCATCAATCTGTAAAATAGCATATGTTAGAAAGTTGTACCGATTCACCTCTGGTCGAAATCATACACCTACCTGATTGGCAATACCATGCATGTTATTTTCGGCAAGTCTGTTCAATAAACCTTTCAACTGTTTCTTGAGACGTACCAATTCTTCCTTCTTTTTACCATCTTCATTCGATTTCTCTCTTAAATGAGGCGGAATATATTTGGCAGGTTTATTATCTTTAATTATATTTCCTTTTTTATCACGTAGTCTTCCGTAAATGTCCTCCCAAATTTCTTCTTTTTTCATGTTTTCTTCTACATCTTGATTATCAATTTGATTTTCTTCTTCTTTATCAACTCCCTCCTCGATCATATCAGTACTATCATCCATTTCATCAAAATCATTCTCGTCATCATCTTCTTCAAATTCATTATCAATATCATCATCATCTTCATCATCATCAAAATTATCACTGCCCTCATCAAATCCTAAACTGCTTTCCATATCACTAGATTCACTATCAGATTCATCATCTACTTTTGCTTCTTTATGTTTTTTTGTGCTTTTTATTTTCTTCGATTTTGTTTTGGCCTCCCCTTTGCCGGTGATCAAAGCCAAATCCTCTTCAAAATCAGACTCTCCGTCCTGAAGGGTTAATTCAGCGTTCACAGCATCCTGAATTTTTTCTGAATCGCACACATCAAGAATATCTAAATTGTACAAGTCAAGAGAAATATTTTAACATAAATTGAAGGAAGTTCAAATAACAACAAACAATTACTATCCAGTTAAGTTATTTAATTCCTGTTATACAGGAGGGTTTAATGTCCAACTACCTGTTGAGTGTTGTGGCTAAGGGGACAAAACACTTTACTTAGGTGCAATAAATTTTACATATTATTACTAATTAAAATGCCAAAAATCAAACCCAGAACCACTAGCATAGAAATGCAAGTCAGTTGCCTTATGAATCTCGCTACAGCCCTAGACTGGCCTGGGTATCCTCAAGAATAAAAAATACTCTCTTCTCTTCTCCAATTTCCATCTCTCCTCTTACTCCCAACTTACTAACGTACGACTACTTCCACCATGTCATTTAAGCCTTCCTGGTCTTCCCATTATCTTCTTTGGCAGTATGGTATCTGGCATCCTTTGAACATGGCTTAGCCTAGTCTGCCATTTTTTTTAAATGGGCTCGCCAAACAGCTCTCAGAGTTAATAAAGAACAATATGAAAGGTGCACAGATATACTCTCAAACAGCCAAGCAGCCATGAAGACATTAAATGCGTATGCTTTCAACTCCAAACTTGTCTGGGAACTGGCCTAAACTGCCTAATGACTCTGAGAAAACAAACAAGATTACCTTAAAATGTATTGCTGGACAAGTAGGCATAGAAGGAAATGAACAGGCAGATCAACCAGCCAAAAAGAAGCAAGCCTTTCACCCACAGGACAGAACCACAACTAAGTACTCCGAAGTGTGTGCTAAGTCGGAACTGAAAAAATGGATTGAAAAAGAAAAACTCAAGCACTGTACAAACACACCAGGTAAAAGGTAAGCTAAGAGATTTATAAACATCTCAAAATGGAAAGTGAAAGAACTCCTCTCTCAATTGGCAGGATTTGAGAATAATTATAGGCCTCAACACTGGCCATTGCCCTCTTATATATTACCTTAAGAAGATGGGCAAGGCTGAGATGGAAACATGTTGGCTCTAACGGGAGGAACCAGAGACATCAGCACATATCCTTTGTGAATGTAAAGCATTAGCCCATTTATGGACAGCTACTTCAGTATGACAATTCTTATATCCAAGGAGATCCATGAAGAGGCACCAAGGAAGGTGCTTAGTTTTATAAGGACTAGTCCACTTTCAAGGCATGGCTATAAGCTATAGGGGTTCCGCAATAGACCTGTTAGGATGAAGGAAAGAATTGTATTCTGCATCAACCCCCCCCCAAAAAAAAACCTAATTAAAAAAATAAAAAATAAATAAATAACATAAAAAACAGCTCTCAGCTCTGAATTTTTATGAATTCACCTAATACCATTTTTGTAGACTAGGCCAAATATCTTCCTGAGGGCCTTCCTTACCCTTACACCTAGACATTTCGCTTCCCTTTGGTAATACCCAGCTTTCAGTTTCATATATAACTAATAATTGTTTAGTAGACATTGACCTTTGGTGCCCAAAATCTTTTAAATTTAAAAATCTTATTTAGAGCAAAAAGACACTCACTTTTTGTAATTATGAACACACTGGATCAATGTGTGGTCTTGAAGAAGAAAGTAAATTCAGTTGCTACTTCCATTTTCACACTCTGCTTTCTTCTTCAAGACCATACCTTGATCCAATGTTTGTAAGTGAAAAATGGATCCTAATACTGAAAACAGAACGTTTATGCCACCTCAGCTTTTATGTGATTGCCTTCGTCACCAATGTATCCAAGTATTTAAAACTTTGACAGCATCTGAAGACATGCTTTTTTATCTGCCTACCTTCCTTACTTCCTTGAGTTCTTGCTGTTTTCATATACCTGACAAGCACTTGGGGGGACCGCGGTAGACGAACGAATGGAAGGTCTCGGGCGGGACCGGATCTCAGCGACCCTGAATTTAATCCACTGGCACACCACGGGCTCAAATTCACACGCGTACTCAGGGATACTCCTCCAGTACCTGGTATCCATTATTTAAAAAAAAAAGTTGTCATTTCAATGTCATGTAGGGCCCCTGATAGAGTGAGTGAAGCTGTTATAACCACATTTGCATATCCATACGATGAGTCTACCTATTATAGATTGTTCCATCTTTATAGAGAGTAAACATTAGTGTTTACCCTAGGATAATCAAACCAAAACCATTTAAGCCTAGGCAACCATTTAAGCCTAGGCAACCATTACAAAAGCTGATAGGATCTTTTGTACAACCTAATATTTCAAAACTTAAAAAATGTTTATAATAGTGTCATTTTAAAGGATACAATCTAAACCAGAAGCAGCAAACGATCGAGGTGTGGTTTTGCTTTTCCGCTTGTTCAGGTTGAGCTGTTTCTCCAACTGTTTGATGTTCCTTTCCTCTGCTTCGTTGGCCTTGGCCAACTGCTTCCTTCTCTGCTTCTTCATCTCCTCTTCCAGTTTGAATTTTTCCAACCTGTCCATTTCAATGTCTTTATTTATAGCTGTCAGTTGTTTACGCGGTCTTTTTGGTTCTTTTTCAACCTCGGCAGGATGTTCATCAGGGTTTTTCCTCTTTTCTACGTCCTCTCGTTCCCTTGGCACCGGCTTCTTTTGGAATCGACTTTTCCTGTTCATGAAATGCTCGGTTTTCTTCTGTTTCTTCGCTTTCCTCTCCTGCTTACGCCGTTCCTTACGCGATAGAACTTCCTTACCCTTCGATTTCTTCATTTTCGTCGGCCTCGACTTGTTCATACTTTTTGAATACATGTCGTGATATTTTTCGGCTTTGGACGAATTCCTTGGAAATGCTCTCAGGAAATGTAATACACGTGAGTCAAGAAGGTTATAAACACAAGGAGGTTAAAGCAAGGTTTTAAACTAATAATATCGATAAAGCCATGTATAATGTCTGTACAATAATTCTAAAAAACTTAAAGCCAGATTTAATCCAATAAAAAGGGCATATATGAGCAATTTATTTGATTATAAACCAAAAAATATAAAAACTACTCACAATAACAAAAAAAATTATTACTTTTGTTCTGTTATTGTAAATAGTCGAAAAATAACATTTTAAAAGATGTCTGGCCGACCAAATTGTTCTATGATATCTTGTCGGTTTCAATTAACATAACAAAGTTTTAAACATTGGCGCATCATTAACATTGGTGGCAAGTGAAAGTTATGTGCGTGCGCGCAGGCGTCCTGGCCTTCTCTCCTCTCTTCCATTAAACAGCATGACTTTGCAGTTTCGCTCTACTCTAAAAACCAAAAGGGATCTACCGTTTTTCGCTTCGATCCCGACCAAAACCGTTTCTGCTTTATTTCAAAGTGAAAATGGCACCAGAAAACGGTCGCCGAGGCGAGAGGCATCGAGGAAACATGGTATGAATTTCATTTCGATAGGTTACTGTGCTGTTACAATGTCAAATGTCATGAACATTGAAATGTTTACAATGTTGTTCAACAAACATAAAAAATTTCTTGTCTTTTGTATGCCGTAAAAACGTTTCATTGTCCTGTTTTACTGTTTTATTAGAACACTTGGAAAACAAACAAAAATATATGTTCAATTTAGCTTTTTAATCATTACCAAGCACAGAGCTCTCCTATTAAGCTTAATATATTTAATGGTACTTAAATTATCCAGATAAAGTTCTAAAAGTAAATTGGTTTCAATTAAATTGGAAGAATGGCGAGATTTTGCTCCTGTGGTTTGCAGTGTGATGACCTTTTGGTCGTTACCAATGATCCTGGTATGCCCTTCGGCATCTTCAGTGTGTCTGTGAAGAACTGAAAAGCCTGCACTGCAGATGGTGAAATGCCAAAAATGGTTCTATTCACAGTTTTTGGCAGCTATCCATATTTCAAGTAATAAATACACATCTTAATGATAGCTGCCTAAAACTTATGTGAGTTGGACTATCTTTTCCCAAAAATGAATTGCCAGACCCCACCTTAAATAATTTTTATGCCAAAACTGTGTCTGACCAACCCAGCGAGGGACAGACTAAATGGCCAGTAAGGATCAAATTGTTATTTTAAAATTTAAATTGCAAATTAAAAAGTTAAACAATAATAGCATATTATTTATAAAGACAATAATTTAATTATGTACTGATTTTTTATTTCCAATTCCCACCCTAAGATGCCTCTTTCTCCTGGGCCGATACTTGACATAAGTGACGACGAACTTGTCAGCATATCAGTTAGGGATTTGAATCGTCAATTGAAACTGCGAGGTTTAACCAGGGAAGACATTGTCAAGATGAAGCAACGTAGGAGAACATTAAAAAACCGGGGATACGCCGCAAGGTAATGCATTTTCATATTTTCATAAATATTCACTACATGTTACAATTCGGTTTACAGCTGTCGGATCAAACGTATTGAACAGAAAGATGAACTCGAGACGGAAAAATCTCAGGAATACAGAGACATGGAGGTAATGCAGGAGAATAACAACACTATGAGGGAGGAGCTCGACAACCTTTACCTCAAATACGAAGCCTTGAAGAAATTCGCCGTATCAAAGAAAATACCCATCCCTCATGAACTGGAATCTGTTAACTAATCTATCAACTATAGTTTTATTTTATTTTTTATTTTTTTGTATTTTCATCGAAGAAGACAGCCTTACATACACCACTAGTATTATTTTTGTTATGCAGAAAATATATTTTAATGTTTTTAAATAATAATTATTGTTGATAGATTGTAACTTTATTTTCATACATAGGGGTACACGCTTTATTATAAATGGCATACTAACATTAAGTGTGAATTTATTTTTACTTTAAGACTTTATATTTTATTTTATTATTATTATTTTTGGAAAGGTGACCAAATATTTTACATTTGTTTGCAAAACAAATAAATAACTAAAAAGTAAAGCGTGAAGTATGTCATTTTAATCTCTTAGTTATAAATCTCATTCCTAGGTACACATCAGTTCATAGAAAACCTTAGTACTGAAATTGGGTTAAACGCATTCAAATATTGATTGTCTAACTTTTTTTTAGTTTTATTAATTTCATATGGGAATTACTGGAAAAATAGATTTGTAAAAAGGTCTTACCCCCTCGTCCCCAAAACAAACGGATAGTATCTGTTATGTTCTGTTATAATTAATATCTTGTTTGCTAGCTCTTACTACCTAGTTACCTCAAATTGAATCATATATTTGCACATTTGGTCAAAAGGAACCCCAACCAAAAACCAAGATTAGTCAAGAAGACCCACAATAACATACAGAGACGGTGTTTCGGTATTTCACCATTTTCAATGATTTCTGTGTTGTGTTTTACGGACCCATGTGAGACATTTTTATTTTCTTTGTTACTTATTTACTATTGCATCATCTGGTTACTTACTTACTTTGTGAACTTTGGCCGTTGTTTGTGATTTTTATTGAGAATAAATTATATTGTAATTTAGTTGTTTCCTATCATTTCAGCCTCACTATCCTAGATGTTTTGGTCTGTCAGCTCACTTTCCATCTTCAAGTGTATCTTCTGACATCTTGAAGTCTGCAGAGTGATGAACCACTACCATTAAGCCAAAACACATCTGACAGCCCAAAACAGTGGGAAAGCAGAAGGCAAAATGTTCAGAAATGATTAAATTACATTAAAATTTCCCAATAAAAAATGTAGCTGGATTTGCTGGATACTTAATAGAGAACATTGGTCATCTAATGGAGGATTTTAAACTACAATGATTGAATTGTTTTACTTAAGTACAGGTAGTTGAAGTCTTGTGCATTAACAAGTTGTCATTGAAAGTTCATTTTATTAAGACTGTGATTATTTGGAGGAAAACCAGCAAGGCTAGGCAGACCAAATTACAGATTTATCATCCCGTAGATCATGAGAGGCAATCATTTAAAAAAACTTCTCCTTCAATCTCACCTGTTAGTTTTAGAGGCTAGGCATCTTTGCAGCAACCCCTAAAACGGTGCCAGAGATGACAGGCAATGAAAACAATCTGGCTACTATCCTTTCCAATAAATAACATAATACAAGACAATATGCTATGTAAAGTTAAAAAATTCTACAGTGATCCATGATAAAAGATTAGAAATTGTCTGTCAATATCAGAAAGGCATTTACTTTAATAAATTGTGAATTACACGAGAAAATTACAAATTGCATGTGACTGTTGTAAGGTTTTATTATCAAAATAATGAGGACAGGCAGTCATTTACATTTTTAATGTAAACTTCAATAATGTAAAACCACACAAAAAAACATTCAATCAAACTGCAAATATATTCATTTTACTAGAAATTAAAAATTTAAAAAAAATATGTAAAGTAATTCCTGTCGTACAGAATAATTTAACATCCAACTATTCATTTGGTATCAAGGATAAGAGATCAAACATTTACTATACTTTTTTCAGTTTATGCTCACTTACAATCCCATGGGCTATGCTGGTTTTTGAAACCAGAACCTCTAGCATGGCAAACAATAGCCGGACACTTTAACAACTTGACCACTGCAGCCCCTCCACCATGCTTAATAAAAATTGAATAATTTTATACAACCCTTGAAATGATTAAAAATTACACACAAAAATGCAAATTTACGACTGCATTGAATAGTTTTAAACCTGATTTAGAGTTCCTAGATGATTTGTGTCAACTTGAATAAAGGAAAATAATTAAACCAAACAACTATTTATAAACGTATAAATACTGCATCGTAGTTTAATTGCATTGATGAAGATTTCAATTATTTGCATTATACTAGTAATTTTTATTAGGTTTCAAGTAATAATAACATAACGTTGTGTAAGGTTCCATCACTGTTCTAGACGAATCAAAAATGACCATGAAAAAAAGATACACTACAAAACAACAAATGTATTGACATTTTCACATCATGACTACAAAGACGTATAAAGCTGACTAGGAAGACTGCTAATTGGGCGCTTCAATACCAGAGGCCTACATGTAGACTCAAAGGCGTGAGAAATAGGTGCAGATATTGCCAGTGAGAAGAAACCATGGAAATATGTTTTCTGTAAAGACAGCCTACTCCTGGGAGAGGAATAGACAAGGCATGAAACATACACACACCCTTAACATTTGGGATCTGATAACACCCCAACTGACTCTTTTTAACTTTAACTGTTAACCTTCACATCATTACTACAAAACTTATTGACGCAGAGTAGACTGCTGACTGGACACTGCAGGCTCCGAAGTTCAGTCAGCCTCTTTATGACCTTGCTCACCAATATTAGTCTATTGTGCAGTGCCCATTACCATCTAGAACTCCATCAGATTCTAAAGTACCTATGCATATCCTTCAGGCTTTGGTTATGCCTCCCCCTGGAGTAGGAATCTCTGCCTGCATAGTACTTGACACCAACTGAACTGGACTTTAGCTGTTTCTTCTTCTACCTGGCAATATCTTTACAGACTTGTTTCTACAGATCGAAGTATATATTCCAACAAATACTGCAGTCAGCGTTCCTCTTATATTTCTAGTCCTAATATGTTTTAGTAGTTGATATAATGGTTTAGTAATTCTGCTATTAGTCAATTTTGGTCCTTTATTGAACTGTTTTGCATACCTCTGCCCAGCATTACAGTCTCATTGAACAGAAGACTTATCCTTAACCCATAATTATAACATAAATAAAGGATGTTAAAGTTTGTAACTTTACAGTACTTGCTTAAAACTAAATTTTAAACTTCAAGAGTATTAGTTGATGTTGAAAGTAATGATTTTATGTTTTATTTTATTATAATTTTTAATTGCAACAGGTGTATATGTAATTAAACTAGTTATGATAATTTTACTTATTAAGACTTTCTTTTTAAATTTTAGCGGACTTAGTGGAAAGGACAAACGGAATTACCTTCGAAGGCAGGTTCAGTGAGGTTTCATGTTTACAGGCGTTGGAATTTTGTTCTTAAAAATAAAAAATAAAGTGGCTATTAATTAATAATTAATTCTGTGAATCTTGAATCGGGATGACTGACACGTCTGACGACCGAATACGGTTCCAGGTAGAGTTGGAGTTCGTCCAGTGCCTGGGGAACCCCAACTATCTCAACTTTCTTGCTCAAAGGGGCTATTTCAAAGACCAGGCTTTTATAAATTACCTCAAGTACTTGCTCTACTGGAAAGAGCCCCAGTACGCCCACTGTCTCAAGTATCCCATGTGCCTCTATTTCCTCGATCAGCTTCAGTACGAGCATTTCCGCAAAGAGCTGGCCAACGCGCAGTGCACCAAGTTCATAGACGATCAACAAGTCCTCCTCTGGCAGCACTACACGAGGAGAAGGACTAAACTCTTGCAGGAACAGGCAGAAGCGTGTGCAAACAGAATGGCGCAGACCAACGGTCAAGTGAATCCATCACAGACCTAACAGTTGAGTTATGGACTGTTCATACAGCGACATGTCAACAGACTATCTCTAATTGATTGTACAATTGACGCGTTCAAGTGATTCCAGATCTCTGATTTTAACTAATTTAGTTTTTTAATATTTTTTTATATTTATTCAATAAAAGAATGATTAGAAGACTAGTGTTATCTTCCTTACATCCTTGGAAATGTTAAAACGTTTACGCTTGAATTCTAATAAATATTGATTTTGAACATATTAGGACGTGAACATTCTTACCCATAGCATTCTGGGTTAAATCAAGCTTTTATCTGATGAAGAATATATTTTATTGAAGAAATTTTTGCATGTGAACAATCTATGATGTGACTAGCGTTGCTCAAGTTTTAATATGTAGACAATTAAGTTCATAATTATATCAACATTAACAAAATGAATCAGTTTACTTCAAAAGACAAGATTTCTCAGACTTTTATGGAATACGAAGAAGAAAAAAAAAATTCAAATATATGGTATACAGTTGGAGCTCCAGGGAAGGGATCCCAGTAGGAACATTATCTCCTAATATGTTCAATACAATATTTAAAATAGAACAAATTCCCACAGTCTAAGTAATTCTGACTTTACTGTTCAAAAAAGATGACCGAAAAGAGCCAAACAATTACCATAGGACTGTTGTGTTTTTTTGCAAATTGTTTATGTCTGTACGAGAACAAATTTAAGATCTGAGAACATACTAGAACATAACATATACCAGATGAATAAGCTGGTTTCCAGCATGGTAAAAGCTGCTCAGGTAATTTATTTATTTTGAATAATTTAATTATACAATAAACCCAGATTTAAAAAGTTTCTTTTTTGTAATGTTTTGATTTCGAAAAAGGACTAGATTGACACACTCACTTCGGCTCAAGCTAAATGAGGTAGGAGTAAGTAATAAAATAAGATTTATGAAATTTCTCTACAAGGCTCACTTTCGAAATTGAATTGAAATTAAATGGGGAATATATATTATTTAGGAGATGAAAAAATGTATATACATATATCCAAAGGAGTCTTACAAGGAGAATCTTTGTCACCAACACGGTTTTCTTTATTCTTATCTGTTTTTATAATTATTTTATTGAACAAGAGATAATTAGAATAAGATTTGAATTTGGCTACTTGACTATTGTTTGCAGATGACATTGTTTTATTTGCTCTCGAGCAATGAAGCCTATTAGTTTTTAAATGTATTGCATCAGTATTTTATAAAAAATTGTGTGAAAAAAATCTCAATGTCAAAAAGACAAAAGTAATGGTTAAATCATATTAAATTTGTAAATAATTATGTTTATCTATGTTCTCTTACTTTACCTGTGTACACTTGCAAGTTTTGATGTTACACCAATGTAATTCAATTTTGAACCATCTTCAGTGAGATACTGATTTGCAAGACCTTCAACTTTAACCTGATAATATCTTTTGAGTACCAGGGCTCACAGGAATTCTGGGTAATTAACAAACATACACTCCTCCAACAAAGAATAGGGCCACATAAAACATAAAGAGAGATAGAAAAACTCCTAAGGTGCCACACAGAAAACTCGTGATTATAAAAGCATGAAAAACTAGGTTAACAATTGTAGTTTAATTATCCTGATCCAAAACCTGGGAAAACAGTGTGGCAAGACACATCAAACCCAAACCACTCAGACACTATGTCTATATTAATAAAGAGGTGCCAGGTGTATTTAAATTGTGATTTAAGCCCTCTCCAAGACTGGCACTGGTAAAACTCAGGGAAATAAGGCTATTCACTAGTCACTGACATGAGAAAACACCTTCACAATATGTGCATATTCAATGTAGCTTATGCAGTAAGGAAGAAGAAATTACAATTCATCTTTGAATGTTAATAACTCAATTTATTATACACGATTTTTTTCAAAATGAAAAATTTTTGTCACAAGAGGGATTCAAACCCACGACTTTCGGCTAAATACGCCGCTGCTCTACCTCTTGAGCTACCTTGATTATATAATTAAGAACAAGCTGATAAAAATAATTAAAAAGTTAGTATTAATCTAGAATCACACCTGTGAAACGCACACAGCCCCACTAATGTAGTACAATCGTTAATAAAAGTGTTTCTATATGAAGCCGCAATTTGCTTACAATTGGAATAAACGGTGTTGAAATGGGAAGTTTGTGGCATGGGCGATTGAAGTCACGATAGGTCAAGTGGTAGAGCAGCGGCGTATTCAGCTGAAAAGTCATGGATTTGAATCCCGTCTGCGACACAAATTTTTCATTTAAAAAAAATTGTGTATAATTAATTAATAACCACTTAAATAAACTGAAAAAAAAATACTGCGTCCTTTAAGAGCTATTGTATCCCCCGTTCTCTGCCTAAAGCACATTGGTGAGTCCTATTTCATCAAGAAATTTGATTAATAGGCCCGGTTTCAGTGGTTGAAGCTCTTCTTCTATGGTCACATTATACATCCCAAAACATTTCCTCCTGCGGGCNAGTGTGGATTCCTATGTCACAGAAGGGTTCAGGTCCTATCAGCGGTGTGGCAGCCCCTTTCCTTGCAAGGGTGTCCGCTTTCTACCCAGCAGAGGCTTTCTTTCTGCATACCTAGTATGTTTAGTTTGGTTTTGCAGTCCAGCACTATCCTTGAACTAATGATACTTGAGCTTAGTACTTTGAGGCGGCTTGGCTATCTCACATGATAGCTATATGCTTGTACCCTTTACTTAGATTGAATTGGGTACATCTTTCAATTGCATGAATCTCAGCTTGGAAGATACTGGTGTTTTCCCATGGGTTCTGAGTATTTGGTTCCGGGTCCACATATTCCTGCCCCCGTACCTACTTGTGTTCTAGATCCATCTGTGTACCAGAGGATGGTGCCATTTTTAAAGGAGTTATTTTCCTCTCTTTCCCATTCTTTTTTTGGTACCTAGGTTTATTCAGAATTTTTGGTTAAATTCAAACATCCTGTTCATGTCGTCTCTTGGAGCCATGAGTGACGGATGGTCTTTCCATAGTTTATTGCTCTCTCCATTTCAGTTTTATTCCTGTTGGAGGTTTCTCTTCGATAAAGTTAATGATGGTTTTCTGCGCTGTCCTTTCTACCATATGATGTAGGGGGATTAATCCTAGTATTTTTTCCATGCTAATTGTAGGACATGTTCTTACTGCTCTCGTTATGCAGATGCATGCTAGTCTCTGTATTTTTGTGAGTTCTTTCCTTTTTTTTATTTGTTCTACTTTATCAGCGCAGGCTATAGCTCCGTAGTAAGTAAAGGTCTTACTATCATGGTGTATATTTTCTAGGTATCTACAATGTCGATTTTTTTCTTCAAATAACTCTATTGTACTGTTATTTTTATATTTATTGAAGTCAAATAAAATTTTGTTTTTACAAATTTATTTAAAAATTTAAAATAATCTTTTTTTATATTAAAACATAGTCATCATTTAATAAACATAAATTTCAAATATAGGTTTTATTTAGTAAACATATGCCAGTAAAAAGAAAAAAGTTTAACATGCAATAATATAACAACATCAGTGCATAAGAAATAACAACTAATAAGGATAACTATATGCAAGGAAATAGTGTTTTAATAGGTATGAAGCCGTCTACCAACAAACACTTATTAAAACTCTGGGTTAATATTAAAATATTTTAATCGAAACTAATAAGTTCTGCTGTATTCTCTTCTTTTTCTTGTTTGATATCTGGGACTGTTGTAGGCTGGGCTAAAATATGGGAAGGAAGTTGAGGCTGCACTTGGGAAATCGGAACGGTCTGACCTAAGGGCGGAGCCTGGCTTGCTGAGGGTGGCTGGTTCATTTGTGGTACAGGTGGACCTTGTCCCATTGGAGGCATGCCCATTGGGGGACCACCTCGCATCTGGGGAACATGATTCAATGAGTTCGCCTGGCTCAATGGTGCCTGGCCCATAGGCGGCATATGGCCCATCGGAGGAGGTCCGTGTTCTAACTGAGGAACCATCTGAGGCCTCTGGGAATCCATCGGAACCATATGCGGCGGTGGAGGGGCCATAGGCATATGTGGTGGAGCGCTCATGTGAGGAGGCGGCCCTGGCATCGTTGCAGCTGGAGGGACCTGGGGATGTCCCGGGGGCATCATTACACGGGGCAATGAAGTTGTATCAGATACCATCATATTAGGGCCCATCATCGGTGGCACACCGTGAACACCCATATGCTGTGCCATTATTGGATCAACTGGCCTTCCTAAATATTCAAATCGACAATTTAAAATTTCAAAAAATTGTATTAGAATCAATACAAGGTGATGTACACACCTGGATTGAATTGAGGATAATTATGTGGTGGAGGTGGTGCCCCAGGATTAGGAAATCTACCTGGCATAATAGGACCATTGTCAAATCCTGAAAAAAAAAGCAAAATAAATTAATACGAAAAACAGAAAACAAACCAAACAAACCTTGTGGCATATACGGTGGTGGTACTGGACCATAAGGAGGCCCCATTATATATTGTTGTTTCTGTTGTTCTTGCCTCATTTGCATCTCCCTTTCTTGTTCCTGTATGCGTTGGAGTGCCAGCTGCCTTTGATACTAAAAACAAATACAAGAAAACAATTATCATCTTGAATATTCAATTATACAAAACTTACTTGTAAATATTCCTGTTTTTTCTTCCTCATTATATCCAATTTTTGAGCCATTTGCATTTGCCTTTGCCTCTCGGCTATTTCTGCCTCTCGCCTCAGCCTTTCTTTGTGCTCCTCTCTCAGGGCGTCTAAAGCCTCTCTAGCATCCTTGACCTGTACGAGTTTGTCTTGCAACCCCTCAAAAAACACTTAAACAAAATATATTTTAAAAATTATCTACTGGCTTTCAACTTTTATATAAATCTCTACCTCGACTGTCATCTTGTTGCTGAATATATTTGAGAAGTCTAGAATGCATTGCTGTTATGCTGAGGAAGAGAGACTGAACGGATGAATCATTGGCTATTGGCCTCCCTCTGCTAGAATTACTTTTCATCCGGTTTACCAACATTTCAATCTGAGATTTAAGAATGGTGACAAACTCTTCCATTTCACCTTCTTCTACGCCGTTCTGAGTAGGCATATTCGTTGGTGGAGTAAAAGCAGGCTGAAAAGAAAATTGCTTTTAAACTAATACACTATTTTTTAAAAATTATTTTTTAATAAACATACTTGAGCAGGTGCAGATGCATTTGTATGCTCTGTGTTCTGGTGTTGCCAATAACTTCTATTTAAATATTTAGCCAATTCAGGATCACTTTCTGGTGAAATGCTCAGCTAAGGATTGACCAATTGATCAGTGTTTATTGAAACAAGAAAAGAACAATATATTGACAATTTTAAGATCGTCTTACTTTCGGTGGTGGTGAATATGATTTAGGTCTTGAAGTAGAAACTGTGGCACTTCTTGCTTTCTACAAAAAAACAAATTTGGTTAGAAAAATATAATGTTAGATGAAAAACAATAAAAAAATACATTTTTAACTTCAGCTTCTGACTGAGAAAGAGCAATTGCTAAATTAAAATCTTCTTCTTCTTTTAGTTCTTCTTCGGTTTTCCTTGAAGGAGGTGCCTGTAGAGAAAATTGTTCCGAATAATTTGGAAGCCTTGTTATGAAAATATTAAAATGTTAAATGATAAAAGAAGACAAACATGGAATAAAATGGCTGAGGGATGAAATTAATGAGGTTCAAGAGGTATTATGTCACATTAGTAAGCAAACTTTAAAAACCAGACTTTTTTCCGACCTAAGGACTAATTTAGCTTAATTAGAGAAAATGAGCTTTATATTAGTGTTATTAAGAAGTAAATGAATTCATTATCCTACCACTATTTTTTTTTTAAATTAAACAAATGGAAAACACTTGCACAAATGTCACTTGATGTCAATTTGATATATTAGTATTTAATGTTAGTAAGTAAATAAGCTCAAACAGATGGTATATTAGAAAGCCCTAAATTGCACAACTTTTAAAGTATAATTCTAATTTAACCATATCTATGTGCATAATTACACTCAAAGACAAAACAGACACCGGACATATTTAGTTGTTTATTTCAAACTATATGTATTTTTATCCTTATATTAATTATAACATATGTTAATATAAACCAAAACGAGATCAGAAATTTATGAGTTTATATAACTAATAATAAAATATTTAAATTACGATAGTTTGAAAGAAAATTCACAAAATCACGGAAAATCATTTAGTGAGAGATTAAAATTTAACTAACAATTTTTTATCTAGCTGTTAGTTAAATTTATTCTATCACTTTTTATGTGTTTTGATTATTTTTTTCCGAACCATCATAATTATTTATATAATTTTTTAAAATTAAAATTCATGAATTTTTCATCTTGTTTAATGTGGTTTACCTTAATGTAAGTACGTTGTAATTAACATGATAAAAATACATATAGTTTAAAATACACATCACAAAATATGAGTGTCCAGTTTTTTTGTGTCTGAGTATATTTAAAGCAATACTTATAAAATTTAAAAGGTCAGCAACATTTGTGTTGATGAATCTTTGAATTTAAAAAAAGAAAAAGAAAAGAAATTAAAAACTGTTAATGCCTTAAAAGAGTATTTAAGAATCTTTTACTTTGGCTTGAGCTAGAGAAAGAGCAATGGCCATCTTAAGGTCCTCTTCTCCTTTTATTTCGGCAGCTGACTTCCTAGGTGGTGCCTGGCAAGACAATGAAATGTAAGAGAGAATCTTTCTGTCTTATAAATTTAAACCACTACTGAATAAATTATTTTGATGTATTAATTGCTGATTTTTAAAACGTTGAGACGGAAATTTGTGAACAAACTAGGATAAGAAAAAGGTTAGGATAGAAGATTACATTTAGAAATAATAACAAGAATATATCAAAAATAAATCATGATTTTACCTGGCTCTGCTGCGATAATGGGCTTGACAAGTATTCAGCAGGTAAATCCTCTGACTTTCCCGAAGTCTCGAGTCTAATGTTAAATAAATTAAATAATATATTTAAATAAAAAGGTTAAGTTAAAAATGTTAAATACACACTTGTGATTGACTTTTTCAAAGCATCTAACGCAAACACGGACCTCCTTTTCTATCCCAAATTTAGGGAGGGTGCAACTTTGAGAAGTACATTTGCTACAGAATACATAACCACAATTTCTACAGTGGTGCTGAAAAACAATACAAAAAAAAAAAGAAGACAAATAATTTATTGCAGATTTAAAAATAACAGTGTATGTAAAACTTACTTTTCTTTCAAACAAACCAAAGATCACACGACACCTACAACAAGTATCTCCTTCTTTCCATTCTGGGGCTGTATCTGCTAAAAACATTGTATCATTTTCTTTCAACGCAGGGAATTTGAATCCATCGGCTTTTAAAATGTTTACTGTGTCCTTAAACAAAAACAAAAGAAATATTTTAACAGCCTTGCACTGATTTTGAATTGTTAATATTTAACGTTAAAATAAGGCAATAAGAAGAAAAGCGCACACTTTTGGACCAAAGTTCGCGTATGTATCTAACATATAGAGAAAGGTCGCTTAAAGTGTCCCACAAAGTTGATGTTGTGTCATTCCTTGGGTCTATATAGAAAGCAGAAAAATATTGACCCAAATTTACATTAATTATTTGCAATTTCTTCATTGTTAAGGACATCTTTCACAGCATTAATGCAGATTCTGGACAAAGCCTATATCCAGTATGAAAAATGAAAACAATATGGAGATAAAGGATACCCCTTGCAAAACCCCTGGGTGAACTTTTTGAGAGTTTCGCATGTTTGTTAAAACTAAATTCTGCTTGTGACAATGATGGAAAGGTTCTAGTTGTTAATAGCCTAGGAGCTATCGGCTTTGGTGGGAAGGATAATGAGAATACCAACCAGACTAGACTAATTTCCAATAAGATTTAGCAAAAATAAAATTTCTGCAACCTTTCTTCTTACACGATATTTAAAGTAATAAGTAATAATAACAAAACAGTTGTGTACATACTGATATTACCTGCACTGAGCGATATTTTGGTGAATTTCTAAAAACATGTGCCCAGGTCTGAAGTAATTCCAACAGTTTATTAATAACATTCTCATTTTGAGATGTTTTTATGAGTTCTTTGAACGTTTCCATATATGCTTTAGTTCCTATTTCATCATGAATCGGAGAACCACAGTTTTTCACTACTGACTCTAAAACCTAATAAAAATATATTACTATATAACAGAACAGACGATAAACTTGGCTAATTTCAACCAATTCATACGCCTTACATTCAACGAGAACATAATAACATGTGGGTTGGCGTGTGTCATTCTCTTCTTGATAGAAGCCAATGCAGTTTTGGGCCTTCACATAAATTTTCAAAAAATTAAAATTAAAACCATATAAAATAAACTATGGCTAAAAAAATAATAGTAAAATATCAATGGTTAATTACAACTATAGTACATACGCAACATCTCCCTGTCGAATTAGATCACATATTTGTATTATTGATGGCCAATCTACTTCGATGTTCAGATGGCTGGTTGCCTTATCTGAAAAACAAGACATTTATTTTTATAATCCAAAAATTATGTAGGATTTGTTATTGGTACTATGGCAGAATAATGGCATGCCTAAGTGTTTTTTACCTTCAAATTACAAGTTAATTGTTTTACTTCTTTCAGTAAAACAATAAGAGGTGCTAATGAAAAGTCAGAGTAAAACATACAAGTGTTTATTTAATTCAAACCAAAGGAAGGGTCCAGTGGAAAAATGATGAAGTTCCATCTTTTCAACAGTTGAGAAACACTAAATTTAAAGTTTCATGACTACTGGAGAAAGTTTCTTTTTTTGATGTTTGATTCAATAATTATAATAACATGTAGAGTTCTTTCTGATGATTCTCATGATCCAAAAACCATTAAACCCTCATTTCGAACCCAGGAACGAATAAGAAATGATTTCAAAATTTTATTATTAATTTCAAAGATGAACAGACAAAGTGAAACGAAAATTCTGAAATGATATCTATGGTCATAATTTTGGATTAATTATTGTAAAAACAAAACTGAAAAAAGTTAAAAAGCTCTAAGCTAAAAAGTTGTATGCTACTCATTGTCTACCTCATAATCAAAATAAACATCATCCTGAGTTTCTGTGGCAGTTCTATGTGTGACCAAATTATTGTAAAACCTCCTAGCATCTTTGTTGGTGAGAAACTTTCTCAGATGTTGCAAGTCATTATATGTTTCCAAATTAATAGGAAGGGGCCCATCGTAGGAGTTACAAAGCTGCTGTTTTGGTGGGGGGTTCTTCCCCTTTTTTTGCCTTTGTGGTGCCCACAACACGTTGTGCTTAAGCTCCACAGAATGAAGAGATATCTTCAAACATCGAATCGTTCTTGCGGGGATGGGACATTTCAGTTTGTACATCAGAACTAAGTAATTCATCCATGATTTGAAAAATTCCCTCTTACAATTGATAACAGTGAATGGTTATGGTTTGCATCTGCTCGGACCAATCACATCCCTCCATCCTTGAGGCATATCTACATAGGATCTTTGATTAATCATGCTCATATCTCTATCGCACTCTACACAGCTATGGCCACGGATGGGAAAGAAAACTTTTACACAATATATTCTCCCTTTTTCTGTGGCGAGATGGTGAAGGAATCGCAAAACTGTATAATTTTTATTTTGCCCTACACATGAGTCACAAAAAATTATAAGCATTCTGACTGCTTGTGGAAAAATTTTTAAATGCCGGAGAGATGGTTCCTCATCGTTCTTCCACTGTGCCACCCATTTTCAAACGTGATTTTTAGTGGAATCTAATTGGTTTTCCCTAGCTACATTTGGCGGGTTAATAGTTAATGGCACAAGCTAACAGATGCCAGTGAAATCTCGATTCTGATAAAAAATGGACCCTCATCGTTTTTCCACTGTGCCCTTCAAATGCTAGTGATACAAGTCATCAACCTGTGACCTGGTTGTTACTGATCATTTTGTTCTGCCAATCCTGAGTAGCAGAGCACAAAATATTTTGAGTAGTTGTAAATTTGATTTTTGTTTGTTTGCTTGTTAAACTACGACTCCTTGGTTAGTGAGAGGAATGTTGCACTTTTGCCTGACTATTCAAATTTTCCCCACCAAAGCAAATAATACATTTTTAGCTGATCTAGACAATCTATGTGGAACAGCTTATCGCATATTTACGGATGAAGGCTGTGGTAGGTCAATAGGTGGGCTGTGCAACGTATGTAATTAAAATTTGGAAAAAAAAATTATAGCCCCTTCAAAAATGGCTATAAATTCAGCAGAACTAGTAATATTCTAAAATCAGTGCAATGCTATTAAGAAGTAACTGTGTATTTTATTGGACTTCAGAAGCGTGCTGGAAAGTGTTAGAAACTTCGGGATAAAGTCAGAGAGCAACTGTATTGTAGGACAAATTTACAACGATTTAGAGGTTCTATCAAAAGAGAAAGGTGTGATGACTTATTTCTATTAGGTTCAAGAATAAAAAATAATGATATAGCTAATAGTCTTGCAAAGAGTGGCACAAAAGAGGGAACTGTCAGACATGCCTACCCCACTTGGAGATGCGTGGACATTTTTTCACATCAGAATATGAAGCAATTGGCAGAAAGATTGAATCCGATCAAGAGCTTGCTTTCAGACAGTGAAACCCCAAATCTTTAAAACTCCTTGGTTTCGTTACTCAGACATGACAAAAAAAGAGTGCACTATAATCAACAGGCTAAGAAGTAACCGGAGTTTGCATTTTTGTTTCTTGCATTGCATTGGAGTTAGGGAAACTCCGTTATGTCTGACATGTCACATCCTCGAGGACTTAGAAACATGATAATGACAACAAATATTATTCTCACAGGACTATAACTTTCAATGAGCTATTTAGAATGCAAGACGTATTGAACCGAATGAATTACAAATAACTGATGACTTACAATTAATTAAGGTTTTTAGTTGAGATAAAAAAGTCAATGGCACGAGCGGGATTCGAACCCACAATCTTCGACTAGATACGCCACTGCTCTACCACTTGAGCTATCGTGACCTCGATCCACTCGGACACCAACTTCCCATCTCAACTCCACCTTTTGAATTTTCCCCCTTTTTTGCCATTTTTCAAATGTCGTGTAATTAATTAATTGTAATATTGTTGACAGTGGAGAACAAAAACATTTACAAAGCCCTCCTGAAATATATGTATGATGTGAACATGTCAACTTAAATTGAGGAGTGTAATTGTTAAATAAAAAAAAGTAAAAAAAATATTTGTTTAAAAATCCCAGGCCCCGAAGATGATCTCCGTAAAGATTGAAACATTGGCCTGATAAAGAAAATGTTTTTCTAAACCTACATCATACCAGACCACATCTCATGATCTCTAAATAATCATGAATTAACTGTCACTAAATACTGCACATAAATAAATAAGGAAGAAATTAAGAAAAAAAGAAATCAAAAAGACGGAGCCCTGGCTAATCCCTAATAGAGTTATGGTCAACTGGTAATAACAAAGAAAAAACACTCATCTATCTCATCATCTAGCAGATCCCAACAAAATATCTATCATTTATATTTGATCCGTACCAAATAATGAAGATAGACCATGATAATCAATAAGGATCAAATTGACCTTGAAGACCAGATATATACATGTTTTGTTTCATACCCATACATTTTTTCATTAAAGTCATTTTGATTTTTTCAAGTTATTTGATTAATATGTAATAAATTTAAATAGAGTGTTATTATGCATATTAGTAAGAGATGACAAAACCTCCAAACTCATCATCTGCCAGATCACAACAAATATTTCAGTTATATTTTATCCATTTCTCAAAATGATCTGACAGGAGTAGGGCACGATTCACACAGAGGCGATCGGTATTGATGAAACCGATGTAATGTAAGGACAGATTCATTCAGACAGGGAGACTGGCAGGCGACCAGTATGAGATACTGATTTTTAATTGATTGGAATGTTAGGTCACTTGATACTTTTTCTGTACAAAGACGACTGACTGGACATTACGCAGCATGGTGTCATTCACACAGTTCATACTATATTGAGCAGATCGCTCCATCTGACACGCCTTCTTTGAAACTTAAAAAAATGGAAAGAAGTGACATTTTTGATGATGACAAACGAATTTCATTAGTTCAAACGTATCCCACAGTTTGGAACAACAGTGACCAAAATTATGTGCATAAAAAGAAAATATGTGAACCCACATTACTCTACTTTCACTTGCTTTTTTGTCTAATTAAATGCCAAAGAGCTACAGCTTCTACCTTGTCCATTATAAAACTATGACAGAATCAAACATCTAGATCTTTAAACCGCTTGGAGAGGATCGAGAAGAAATGGAGGAAAGGCAGTTGAATCTAGCCGCTTGAATACTTTTTCATATCAACTATGAGTGAACCGGGCCTAACCACATTCATTACCTCGCAGACCGTAAGGAAGGAATCTCCTGATAACAATAATGATCGTTAAATTTCCTGCAGATTAATAAGCCTGTAATTTTATCGTTTCCATTTAATGTTGTCATTTCCTATCATCATTCAGTGTTATTTTCAGTCAGAGGCGACAAAACTAGGGATCAGTTTGCAGATCTCAACAAAATATCTCATGTAGGCAGGATCAAATTATAGGTTCATCACGCCATAAACCACAGGAGGAAATTTCCATGTCTTTTGTTTTATCTGTTTTATAGAAAGTCATTTTGATTCTTTCAATTATATTTATCAGCGTTTATCTAATCATCATAGATAATATTTACATAATTATCTATAATGAAGTTAAAAATTATTTGCATCCTATGTCAAAAGTATTTCATAATCATTTTGTGGTTTTTACAGTCGATTCGATTAATATTTGATGTCGTATTTGATCAAAATGCTTAATCACCAGCCACTGAATTGTTACCTAAGGACTTTTACTTTCTAAACAATCGTTTATTTCAACGAGAAAATAAATATTTGGAAATTTACGAATGGGTCTGATTTTTTTTTGTGAAGTTACAAAACGTCATCGAAACGAAATGTTTTTTTTTTTTTTTAATTATTTTCCCCCGTACGACGCTTATGCAAAGTGGATGTGTCATCGTTGTAAATAACATAGAAAAAAAAATAGGAAAACAACAAAAATAAAAACAAATAGAGTGTCAGGAGAAGGGTTCGACGGGCAGATCTTTGACTCACCCATGAGTTTCTCGAAAGAAGCGCCTTTTCCGAACATTTTCCCAGTCTGGTCAAATCACGCTGAAGGCCAGAAGAAACAGAAGATCGTCTATTTGCGTGCAGATTGTCCCAGACAGACCTACGAAGTGAAGTAGAAAACTGGTCCGATCGTCGAACTTCGAAGATATCCCAGCGGTTCTGGCAGGATCCCTCCGGCCCTCCCTTAGTCGTGGCCAGAGGATAAGAAAATATGTCAAAAATATCGAGTTTCACTATCGACACAGTCAGACTGTAAAAATAAAGAAAATATTCAAAATTTGATCGTGTATCTTTTAAATATTTATAAAAGTTTTTAAAATAAAAAGTTGATTTAGTGTTTTTGTTTTTGTTTAGTACAGTAAAAGATGTTAAATTGTTAATTTTTATTGTGTTTTTTTGACTCGATGAGATGAAGAGAATCGATAGATCGAACACTATCATCACAGCTGATGAGTCAGTAAGAATGTGGAACATGGCCGTCTGATAGTGTGTTAACTGTTAAGTGCGATTTATCATTGGAATCCTGCAGAAAGTCGACTCTGCTGTCCGTCGTAGATCTGAGTATATTAAATTCGATTTTGACCGTTTTTCCACCCGGGTCGTGTCATTTCTAAACGTTCGACCTATGATTTTGGTCATAAGACGAAACTTGTTGCGCTCCCGTTTCCCTCTTTATTTTCAAAACAGTTTTATCCCGAATTCCATCCGGTTTTCTTCCTTTCGCGAGTCCTTGAGGATGCCCTTGCCAAAGTCGTCGGCCGATTGACTCCGCGTCCTGGCTTTCACCACTACCGTAGATGGCAAGACATGAACATGACACGAGCTACAGTTTCAAGAAGCTGGAAGCCGTCGATACGATCAAAATCGGCCTCGTTCCGGAGAAAAAAGGCCTTTTCCTCAAACACGTTGAGTACGTCGTCACCAGTAAAGTGAGTTTGGTCTGCCCTAAATCCTTAAAGAAATAAAACCCTATAACAGACTCGACATGCATTTGCATGCGTTTTTGTAAAAATTTCAATTAATAAAATTAAAAAACATAAAATCTAACGATTATTTGGAGATCGTGAGATGCGGTCTTGTGTGATGTATTTTTAGAAAAACATTTTCTTTATTGTCCCAACGTTTCGATCTTTATTGAGATCATCTTCAGGGCCTGAAATTTACAAACATTGTTTAGATTATACAAATACGTGTAAGATGTGAAAAATGAATTTATAATATTTTTTTGCCAATTATATAATATTTAATGTTGTGTCTATTGGAATGCTGATGAATAATTATGAAACCTCTAGGTATATAAGAGAGTTGTGTGAAGGGAATTTTATTAATTTTGTTAATGAAATGAAATGAGTTTTTTGAGTTGAGTATATTGGTTAAGTATTTTGTCATGTTGTCATATATTATGCAGGGTGGGTGACCAAGACCCGAGGGATTAAATGCCAGGAGACTCGTACGCCATCCCTGAAAGGTCCGGGGCTTGGTCGGCTCACGTACCCTGCATAAACCTGTTCGACCTGTTCACAAACCCCAATATTTTGGACCATTTAATCTCGGGGAGTGCCATACCACATGCATAAAATTGGGTTAGCCGATAATAACATCTGTCCTTGTGATGATGTAACTGTAGCCGATGCCGACCACATTTTTCTAACATGCCCAGCCTATACACGAGGAAGAAGAAAACTGAGATGGTGGCCAAATATGGGGTGCCATTGCCTACAAAAAAATCCATTCTTCTGAAAAGAACGACGAACTTGGACCTGCTGGATGCCATTGTGGGGATGACGTGCAAAAGTGACGTGCCTGTATGATACGAAAAAAAAAAGAAGATATATGTGTGTATTTATGTATATGTATGTACCTGTGTGTCAAGTAGTGTGGTAGGTGCTGAAATGGCAAAGCCAAAAATATTTTTAAAAAAAATCTCGGGGAGTGATTTGGTGATGTCCTCTCCATCAAAGATTTCAAACCTAGACCTAGCATACCTATCAAACACAGCGAGTGCCTTGCCGTTTCTTCTTTTATTTCGCAAAAATGGCAAAAGGGATCTGGTAGAATACCCATTACGGAGAGGTGTTTTCTCAGTGGGCAGTGGCCTTTCAGAATACCTACCAGCCTCCTAACTCCCTTCCTTGAGTTAGAGAATAGCCATTTCGATTCTGCTGGTTCAGTTTCTTGGTTCCAACCTTAACAAACTCCGTCGATTGCCTGTGTCCGGGGGGGATAGATTCCATTCCTTAAGGAATTGTTTCATACACAAGTTTTTAATACACTCTGTCATGTTGTATGTAGGGAAATTTACAAGTGAAATTATTAGTCTTAGAGGATGTTGACTGTTGAGGTTTATGAGTTTTGTCGTATCCGTTTAGTTTCAGAGGCGTTGGAAAATTGTTTTTGGATTTTTTTTTCATTTTCACATCTTACTTGTATTTGTATAATCTAAACAATTCATTAGATTTCGTGGTCCGATTGATGGATTTGAAGCTGAAGGACGTGGGTTCGAATCCCACTCGTGACACTGACTTTTTTATCTCAACCTTTACCTACAGTATGTAAAAAAAAAAAAAAATGAAAATTCAATGCGATAAAAATATAGGTCACTTCTTTATTTTTAAGCGTATTTATTATTAAGCATTTTTATTTTAATTCTATTCAAAATTCAAGCAATTTTTGAAACTGTAATTTTTTTTTCCAGTAATGCATTAATAACAGCCTTCTCTGATCATGCTTTCCCTCTTGGCATTGTAAAAATTAAAAAAAAAAAAAAAGTGAACNAATATAATATATATTATTTAATATAAAGCACTTAAAACTAAATTAGAGATGATTTTTGCAAGAGATTTCGATAAAGACTGAGAGTGGCCTATACTTTCGTTGCATATAAATATTATATTACCAAATATTCTTAACAAAGAGCCATTTAGAATGAAAGGATACAGTACTTTTGTAATTAACATTTTATATGTTTTGGTCAAAATTTAATATTTCATACAACTAATAACGAACAAAATGAATGGTGGTTTATAATTTTGTTGGGGAGTAACATGCCTGTGACATGACACAACTCAGATCATTTTCTAATAAATAAACAAACAAAAAACAAGACAGGAATGAAAACAAAAACATCCAATACACTTTTATAACAATTAAAAAAAAATTATTTTGTCAATTGAATTAAAATTAAAATGTACTATCTCTAAAAATGGTGAAATACTTAAATACACTAAAACAACAAAGACAATAAACCAAAAATGATCATAAATGACCATGTTACAAGTTTGATACAACGAAACATTTTTTTTTTCATTTATCTTACTAGCAGAAGTAGATAAAGAAAAAATGCCGTGCCCTCAACCATTATCTTTTTGACGTTCATTATGTTTTTTTTATTTTTTATTACTGTACAATGTAAATTTTTTTTTGTGAAATTCTTTATCATTTAATAAAAACCATTTTGATTTAATTTGATCTTGGAAAAAGCCAGGGCTGTGGTTGGTCACTTTATCTATTATTGTCTATTTAAAAAAAATAAAAAATTCAACATATGTGTTAAAATTGTTTCAGCGGTTCGGCACTGAGGTGAACAGGAGATATAATGATTTTGTGGCGTTTTACGAACTTCTGCTGAACCGGTTTCCTTATCGGCTTATTCCCAAATTGCCACCAAAGAAAATTGTCGGAGGTCAGTTAAAAAACTTATTCCTCTCTATCGCATATTCTGTTGAATGTATTTGAAAGTAGGATAATTTATAACAATGTAAAGTCTTCACACATTGAAACAGATCTGATAATAAAAATGTGTTTTAATGGATAAAAACATAAAAACTTTATGCTGATGACTTCCACATTTACCTGTCCTTCCCATCTCTTGACTTGCAAGTTGCAATTGCAAAAAATTATTAGGACTTGGCTTAACATGAGCGTAGACAAGTCCCAGGCTATTGTGCTTGGATCCACTTCCTTCCTCCTAACCCTGTTTCTGTCTTACCATGAAGACTGTCCAGGAAGACTCATATATCCCGAATTTCTCACCACTGCTTTTCCATCCACCATCGTTGCCAACTGTAACTCCACGTTTGTTCTTTTGTTCTCCACTTTGATTATGGATGTGTTGTTTAAGGGGAATCTCTGGAGAGCTTTAAGGTATGCTTAAATGTCTAATGAATGTTTTTGTAGGTTTATCTTCAACTCTCTCAAAGAGGTCCTACATAACTTGTCCGTACACTGAATATAAGTCGTTATAACCATTCCTAGCTCATGCAATTATTCTTTGGCATCTTCCTCTCTGATATCTTCCCCCTACATATATGGTCTAACTCCTGTCCTAATCTCTGTCCATTAAACATGAACTACTTTCAGCCATTCATTCCTAATCTGTGCCTCTAACTTATGGAATTCCAATCCACACTATCCGCCTTTCCCACATCTTCTCTGATTACCTTTAATCCTTACAACTTGCCACTGAAAATATTTAATTGTCCCTTTTTAGTTTTATTTCTGTTATTATTATTAGTGTAGAGAATTTTTATTTATTTTTGTAAATAGCATTTTTGTAAGCATTGTTTTTGCCTTAACAAGCTTAAATTTTTTGTAAATTGTGTTCATAATTAGTTTATTCAAGGGGAGGTTTAAGTCCCAGTATAAAGTTCACAAAAACAAGTTTATCGACTTGTGTCAATACACTTAGGATCTACTAAAAGTTAAAAGTGATAATGAAAAAAAATTATCTTTGCTAAATTTAACCCAATTTGTCTATTTTTATGGGTATGACTTTAAATGAAAAGAGCTCCATAATGCTTGGGTGCAACAAAATCTATTTTTTAAATTTTTTCACTGGTATGCTGTAGGTACAGAACTGTCAAAGGGCGCAGTATTTTAACACCCCGATTGTACAGATCTAATAAGCAAATGTAATGAAAATTCACGAACTTAATTATGTTGCTATTGAGTCAGTCAAACAGCCATCAAAACACTGACTTTCAACATTAGCTTGAAGATTTTGATCTTTTTAACCAAACTGAACATTATTTACGCAAAATAGACTAACAGGGGACACAGGAATTGAGTGAAAAGTACAAAGTAAAAAGCTACGATAACCATGACATATAAAAAACATTTTTAGAAAAGATGGTCTAAAAAATTCTCACAAATTTAATCTGTGGGAAAAGAATTAAGTTTAAGGGTCGATTGGCAAAAAGTATCTGTAAATCTCAAGAGAATAGTTATAAAACTATTTTTACTTTGTTCATTTAGTATGTAGTATGAAAAATAATTTCAATGTTAATTTTCCACAATAAATTTTCTAAGTTTGAATTGTTTTCGACAGTCTTTCCAAGCGACTCGATATTCTTAGAAAACCGACGTAAAGGGCTTGAAAGATGGCTAACATTGATTGCCAGACATCCAATAATATCTTTAGATGCAATATTGCATTTTTTTCTCACGCAAGCAGTACCTGATCTATACACTAAAATTAAAGAAGTTTTCAAATCTGTGCCGGACGAGTTCACAACTTCAGAGCTTGCTGCTAAAGCTAAAGTGAGTATCAAACTGATGGTAAACCTCTCCTCGATCGTTTTATTACTTAACTTGTCATTTTCTAGGAACTGATAATTCCAAATAATAACAGCGATTTTGCTGCAAGTAGGGAACACATAAGAATTATACATTTAGGTGTACAAAAGATGAAAGCTATTGCAGACCATGTCGCCTTCAGGTCCCAGCGGTATACGACTGACTGAAAAGAGTGTTTTTTTTAACCCCAGAAACTCATCTGGCTTTTTTAGGTATTCAGTAGACATGGAGGAGATGGCGGCTGTGCTGACAGACATTTCTTTGGAGCACATCAATGACACGCATTTGGGCATAGCGAAAAATGAAAATTGGAAATATATTATAAGCGGGCTTAAAAACATCTCCAAGTCAGTGTTAATTAATAATTAATGTAAGAAGGTAATATCAATTGAAAAATGTTTTAGAGAGTTGGAGTTATTATCTATGAAATCAAAAAAGCATAATGTAAAAGAAGAGGAGGATGTTTGTGAACGTCTGTCCGTTCTGCTTGATATTTTAAGTGGGCACCAGGACCTGTGCGAAAGAGTTGAAAAAGGCGTTTCACACGATCATCAGAGCGCTCTGTCTAAAATGATGGCTTTGAAGAAAAGACAAATTCAGGGTGTTCTCCGAGGGTCAGATGTAAATCCTCTTTTTCCCATTGAAGTCTATTTATCTGTATGCTAACAACTTTATTTTTTAAAGGCCGAGTCAGTCGCAGTCTTGGAAAATCGAATGCTACAACAAGAAAATGTCATAGCATCTGTGGAACTGAGGACGGCTTTCTCATTGTACTGCGTCAAAATGGAAACAGCATTGGTTTTTAGTTATTTAGAAACTTTGGTATTCATCATGAACAGTTTAGTCGCAGTACAAGTTTCATTACATTCCGAGGTAAGCATTGGGTGGATATTTACTCCTCTAATCTACAAAAATAACGTATCTTTCTTTGACCTTTTGAGCTAACAGTATTTAAAAATGAAGATTATTTTCTGCTATCACCGTATTTTTTTGTATTGAATTTGTCTATTATAGGATTTATTTTATGTGTAATTAATATTGTTGGTTGACAATTACAGCTAGCAGAGGTTTGGAAATTAATTCAGTCAGCTGTACAACAAAGTCTTCCAAAGAGTACTGAAAACGAAGTTTGAGTGCAATTTCATTAGAAACTCAATTAATTTACCTAGTAAATAGATTGAGTGTATATTAAGCTGACATTAACACTTTAAAGTGCCTTAATTTTTGTACAGACTCATACATTCCACAGAAAAAAAAACTCTTTAAAAACTATTTATTTAACATTTTTATTTATTATTGGTTAAACAAATTTATACTTTTATTAATATTTATATGCATTTATTTAGAAACAACTCTAAAAAGTTCCTTAATATGATGAGATTTTTGACAAATAAAGATAATAAAACTTTTAAAATTGTTATTATATAATTATACTTAAATGAAAAAATACATTATATGTGATTATTACTTGAACGTTAATAAATATTTTACTTTTTTTTCTGTTGTTATTTATTTTTATTATTATTTTTTTTTTTTTTTACAAAGGAACTAGTATTTCAAAATGAATTTCTTACGTATTCAATCACGGTATTCAATGGTCTATGAGGATTCTAGAGGCTGATACTCTTACTCATTAACCACTGTGATCCCTATTTCTCTTGATATTGCAATTTTATAAGAGAGGAAAATTTAGTTGGCTATCATCAATAAGTGGTCTATTCATTGGAAAAAAATTCGAAAATGAAGACGCCGACAAAGTGAACAAGATTCAGGTAGACCATATGCCATTAATACCAGCCCTCTATAATACACAAGAACAATTTAAATATCATTTAAATTTAAATTTTGTAAAAAGATTGCCCCTTCCAAAAAAAAATCAATTACAATTTATTTTCCAAGCATGGTCTCGTCGAATGAACTCTGCAAACAGGAAAAACTTGAATCTTTTTTTTAAAAAAACATGGTTCCTACTCACATTAAGTTGTTTCGCAACAATCCGGATTTCGAGCCCTTTAGCTCATCGTCAGGTTGAAGGGTTTCCACAAACACGTCTCTCGACATGAATTGCAGAAGTGGGANTTAGCAGGAGTTAATGGAAGTTTTAACATATGGTCTATGTGCCAAATGAAACCTGCAGCCTTTTGAGACCATGGGTGGGAAGAATCCGCTGGAATCATAGTGTCTGTAGTTGTGGGTTTTCTATACACATCTATTTCTATTAAGTTATTTATTATGGACAATTTTAGGTCTAAAAAGTTCAAACAAGCATCTTTGTTAATTTCCAATGTAAAATTTATATTACGGTGTAGAGAATTAATTAGTTGGAGGAATTCTTCGAGAACCTAGGGAAAAACTTGATTTGCATTATTACTGGAAAACAATAGACTTCCCAGGACATGAGAGGATTAGTACAAAAGTGCTAGTGTTTTAATTTAATTAAAAATTGATCCAGGAGGTAAGTGAATGTTGCGATTGTCAAATTAACATCCTTCACCAAACTCTGAATCAATGATTCTGAATTTAAGACATACAACCTAATATCCATTGTTCAATATTAGACTGAAAAAAGCTTTTACTTGTTTCCTACCAATTCGAACCTCACATCTTGATTGGTGCAAGAATTAAGCTTTTAAACCAGAAATCACACCCAAAAATTCTTTAATTCTACTTGCTGTCTATCAATTCAACCCTTATGAGTTGATTGGCGCAATAATAAAGTTTGTAAACCTGCTATTTTTTTAACTGTTCCAATTAATTATTCTTTTTATCTAAGGTTTTTGATTGAGATGAATTTAAAAAAAATGTATTTCTACTTGTTTTCTATAGAATTGACCCTCCTTAGAGACTGATGCAGCCCAGAAACCCCAAAACAAGCAGAAATTTTTTTCTCTTTTAAATGTTCAATGCAGTCTTGCTAATCTGAACATATTTCGGTCAGCATAAAGGAAATTTGATTGTAAAATGAGAATTATTAACAACTGAAAATGATGAGAAGTTGAAATGTACCTGTCAAGCCAAAACTGCGAGGCGAGGCAGACCAAAATTATCCTCATCTTCACTCACATTTGTCCTGCCTTTTCAAAACTTCCAGCCTATTTTTCATGTGTATATCACTTGCGTATGTCTACCAGACCTGATTTATTGCTTGCCTTCAGCATTATTCATCTAATCCGATCAGGACTCGGTCTTAATTAGTTCAGAGTAGCAGAACTTTATTTGTGCTTATTCCTAAATCCTGGTAATTTGGGTAAAAAATACAACTTGAATCGATTGGCACAATAATTAAGCTCGCAAACCTAAAAATAAGCAAGAAAACAAAAAAATTCTGCATGTTGCACTTTTTTTGCTATGTTCGGTGGTGATTTTCAAACCTCAACAAAATTCTTTACAATTTTTATTTTGTCAGGACATCAGGACACAAAGCCATATTTTGTCTGTTATACATACTTGTAATGTTTCAATCGTTTCTCTTGTTCATTTTAGAGAATCTGATGAACACATAAAATGAACCAGTGTGTTAAAACTGCTGACAAATCTTCAACCAATATACTTTTGTAATGTTTTATTTTACTTATAATTTAACGATATATCAAGAGGATTGAAATAATGAGAAAATGTTAAGTAATTTATTTTGTATGAAAACATTGCAGGCATCTTTGGTGTACTCATTTAAGTTCATATTTCTTTTCTTCTCTTTTGCAAGACAATATGAAATCTGTGCTCAACACTTGTGATACAACAAAAAAACATAAATATATTTACAATTTATTACATAAATAGCGAGTTTCATCACTGCGTAAGCAATTAACAAAAATAAAACTGTACAAATAAAAATAGAAAAAACCCACAAACTTGCCCAAAATGTTTTATATAGATGCCATTTATACAAAAACGATTTACACGGTGTTCATAATTATATAAAAATATTAGGATCTTATATGCATAAATTAGAAGAAAAAAAACTTGATATTGTTAATAATATACGATATTTACAAGAGTTGGAAATATGCATGAATTAATGTAATGTTTGAAGTATAATTTGTAGTAAACAAAAAAATTTACATTATGATAATTCTGGGATTCAATTTTATGAAAAGCTATTTCATAAACTAATACATAAACTAAGCAAAAGACTAAATAACGAATGCTGTGGATAATATAATTATAGAGTTCATTAAATCAATAAATATCGGCCGACTAACATTATTGTCTTTAATCATTATTAAAATAATGATTAGATTGGCCTCGGAATCTAATGATTAAAAATAAAGAATTTGTTTTGTTTTTCATTTGGGATTAATAAAAGTTTATGCTAAAAGATAAACTTGGTTTATGTCAGCACCTTTTACACTAGAATAACTTCCATTAAAACTCATTAACTCTTCCAGACGCTATGGAAGTTGTGGCTGGCTCGACGACATTGAGGAAGACCTTGAATGACCGACTGAAGTTTGCTCAAGAGGTTGCTGGTTTGGCGAAGACTGCATATGATACCTACGCATATCAAATATTAATATTAAAAAAATTGTTTAAATATGCCTTGATTTTAGAGAGTTTGGAAAATCTGCGTATTGAAAGGTTGGGATATCCTTGTTATTTTTGTCTTTTAGACACAAACTCACTGAAGGCCAACTGCATCTAACAGGCCAAAACAAGGATAGAAGTATGATCAGAAATAAACAAATTAAAGGATCATTACCATACAGGCCTCAAGAAGTCTAATAGATCTAAGTGGATCTAGGAATCCACTACCGAAACTGAATAACTCTTCATTTGATATAACATTCAACCAGAACAAACAGAAGATAGAAACAACTTGCAATCATGTGAGACCACAGGAGGGCATATGTGACCACCACTTTATAAAGTAGAAGTTTATTGTCAGTGAAACTTGGCTGGCCACAGAGCAGAGGGAAAAGTATGTGGATGGCACTTTGCAATTGATCTCTTCACACGAGGAATAAAAGTGTCCATTATTACCCCAAGATATTTGACAGATTTGGGCCATGACTCGAGTTTCTTACAGTTTTGGTTAATGAGTAGTTGAAACATTGAATCTTACCTATAAATATTTTCTGTCGAAGCTACGATTCCCGCTGTGAGATCAAGACTTCGCCCTTTGATCCCGGAGCCTTTGTTGTGTGGAGAAAGCCAGTTAACAAAACTTCCAACAACTGGAACAGACCTCAAAATACCCTCCTGCCACAGTTGTTCGTCGCTTTCTCGTTGTAATTCTTGTGTCGCTGCCTCAATTCCTTAAACGCACAATTATATAGATTACGATAGAAAAAAAAAGAATGAAAAAATAATGTACCTCGTTTGACGACTTCAACCATTGTGTCCAGCACTTTTCCACTCTCTTCCTCTTCCAAACCAGCGGTTTCGACTAAATGGAGAAGTTCCAGTACATCCGTGTCCGCCGTGACCATCCCGAATCTTACACACGCCATATTATCCCCGCCTTCACCTAAAATACAAATTATTAAAGGAATTGAAACATATTAGAAAATTGAATACCAAGTGAGAATGCAGCATCAGTAGTCCGTAGTCTTTCTACTAGGTTAATATTGAGATTGTTGAGTTGTTCTTTAACTTCATCGGTCATTTGAGCATCTTTAAATGATAACGGTTGGTAGCGGACTCCTCCCAGCCCAGCCCAGCCTTCAATTTCTACAAGTTTTAACGTCTGCGATGATTCGACTAGCCTTTGAAACTCGGCTTTGTGCTTCACTGTTGCGCATAAAATATCCTTAAAAGGTTTTAAAAAAGCTATAAAATGTAAATAACCATTTTTATTTTTATCACTGTAACTTACAATCTGCTGTTCTAAGCATAGTATAAATGCATCAAAATCAGGCGTCTCATGAACTCCAGGCTGTGGCTCTAAAGGGCAGTACCTGAGAACAACTTCATGGTTTTCGATTTCACAAAGTGTTATGTTTATAATAGGGCTTTCTCTTTGTAGCATCTGGCTAAGCTGTAAGAAAACCGTATTAGATTCTTAATAGCATTAAAAATGCATTTAACTTACCCATGAATTTAATTTGTCGTAATACGGTGGGACACGCCCTTCTACATTTTCAGGAACAAATTGGAATACAACTGTGGAAGCTGCTACTTCAAATAATACCTGCAAACATGAAATTTATTAATAATTGTTTTAATTACATTAAGTTGTATAGGTTACATACATTTAATGCGACTGGTTTTGATATTAACTCGTTCACTGTTAAAAGCCCTCCTTCACCACCAGGAGGTTGACTCTGAAAAGCCCAATATAACTAGATTTACAAAAAATTATTTTTAATTTCATACTTACAAGCAATCTAATATTTGGGTATTTTTCTATTCGCTGCCATAGTTGATAGCACCAATCAAAGGCATCCCGCAGCCTCCTTTTGATTTCTTCAGTACCTAAACTCTGTTCAAATAAAATTAAAGCTTTAAAAATACAAAATTTACTAATTAAATTGTAGGTTTTCAGTTATCTCACACATTCATAAAGAAATGATTAAAATTGAATTTTTTGATAAGCTATAGACAACCAATCAGCAGTAAAGCATTCTTCATTGATGTAATTTGGTGGGAATAAAAGACAAAGAAGAAAAGACTTTATTTTAAATTCACAGGTAAATAAAAGTCCTGCAATTATCTCTGTACTTATATCGTTATTGAGAAAAACGAGCTTAAACAAATACACCCAAAGCAAAAAAAAAAAAAAAAAAAAAAAAAAAAAAAAAAAAAAAGACCTTGTATTTATTTGTTTATTTTCCATAATAACTAGCCATTAATAGTTTAAAACGAATACACAACATTAATAACATGCTATTTACCTTTATAGAGCATTACTAATCCTTTGATACTCTTTAGATTAAAAATAAAGAAAATCAGTTCAATTTGTACCTTTTCAGAACCAGTTGAGTTTTTCGGGTTTTTAAATTATTTTCTTTGATGAAACAACAAATTTAAGTTAAAAAATTAATTAATAATATTTTCTCTTAAAAGCATGACAAAAAGATCTTGCCTGGGCCGCACTCTACCATCCATGATGGCCTTCAGCGGTTTAGATCCACCGTCTCAATCAAAAAGTAGCGGTCTACTGTGATGTACGACAGCTAGAGACGATCGTTTTAGTGATCTTACCACACTATGAACTGTCATTTAAATGCTTCCTTGATAGGTAGTCATCTCCAAACAGTCCGTAATGAACTCTAAAAGAGCCATCAGAAGGCTTTGTGAGATGTCTCAGGTTCTTTACTACTGGAGAGGCATTGAATAGAAAACCGCTCGTGCCATTGACTTTTTTATCCCAACTTAAAACCTTAATTAATTATAAGATATTGATTGGTCAAGCGGACCACAAAACTAGTGAATTGAGTAGAAAGTTGATTATTCACAAATCCATATCTTGCCTTGACACTTGAACATTGGAGGCTGTTCTCTTCACAGATTTGTGCTGGTTTGGTTTGTGGCAATCAGATGACTGAGACCGTGTGTGAAAAATTTTGGAAATCCTTTGCATTATGTCCTGATTATTATACATATTGATCTTTGACTGCACTAGAGTAAATTAAGGAAGTTCTTCTAGAAGTGTGGTCCCATTCATTTCATTTATTGTGGACAACTAAATTAATGTATGATAATGCGGTACTTGCAGGATGTACAGATTGACACAATGAAATGGCCAGCTCGTTTTCCTGACATGAATCCCAAGGATATGATAAAGAGACGGGTTAGACACTGCTTGCTGCCTCCAACAAGAGTTGAACAGCTTCAAACTGCTTTTGTTGAAGAATCTGTTTCACAATAGAAAATCTGATCGTTCATTTATGCAATGCCTAGGAGACCTAAGGCTCTCCGCAAAGTGAGAGGAGGTAATAAGCGTAGAGCAAAACTAGGCAATAAATTGTTAGTTAAATTTTAACTAACATCAATCAAACGATTTTCAGTAGTTTTGATGAATTTTCTTTTAAACCATTATAAACAATGTTTTATTAAAACTCACGAATTTCTGCCTTGTTCAATTTGGTTCACATTAAAATAAGTATGTTGTAATTAATATAACAATAAAAATATATACAGTTTGAAATAAACAACAAAATACTAATGTCTTTTTTTTTAACATGTTACCAATAATAAAAATAACAGAATAAAGATTTTCCCACTGAGATACATGAACAAGCAGACTCACCCACATGGTATGAAAATGTAGCTTTTCATCAACTCAGGCATTAGACTTTTAAAAAGACAAAGTGCAAAATGAGAAATAAGCCTACTTTATCAAAATATGCCTTGAAGGAAACAAGATGGAAATTTCCCATAATTCACGTCTTTTAGAATGTGAAGTTTAAATGTGAAAATAGAAGAGCGTGTTTTTATAGAAAATGCATTGCTATTTTATAACTTGGTGGCTAGATTCCAGCGCTAGCTTGCCGCAAGAAAAGAGAAAACATTGCTATAATTAAACAGCACTTTCAGAAGGCTAGAAGGGCAATTTGACAAGGGCAGAGATTACATTAAATCACATTAAGCTTCCAGCTTAAATCTTAAGCAAACAGCAAAACATGTCAGCATCGATTTTTCCTTAAAAGAAAATATGTACCTGTGGAAGTGGAGGTAAAGAATATTGAAATTATCTTATTTAATATTGTCAAACCAAAAACTTGTAAATGTTGTGCTGTGCTGCAAGGTTTCAAATGGCCACCAATATAGGGTTTTCTCATAAACTACCAAAATTTTTTTTGTAATATATGAATTGTATGGATTCTTAAACTAACAATTAAAGTTAAAACAGAGATGTGAAATCAGGGTTACTATGCTGAGAAAAATACACAATCTCACAACTTACTTTCTTACCAATGCTAAGTTCAACATTAAACCACCGATTTGATTATTTACCTGAAATGTAGTCCAAATAGGTAGAGACACCAGCTTCCTGCCTGGTTTGTCCAACCCGACTGCAGTTGGACTTAAAGCTTGTGAATTATATACAGTCTGAAATTTTGTCCATTAAGGAAACTTTTTTTTTTTCAAGTAATTTCATTAGAAATGTGTGGTGTTTTGTGACCGTTAGTTGATGATTATTTAGAGATCGTGAGATGCCATTGCCCTGAAGACGATCTCAATAAAGATCGAAACGTTGGCACAATAAAGAAAATGTTTTTCTAAGCCTATGGCACTCCAGATTCATCTCCAAATAATTTCTTTAGATTCAAAGGATACGGCAGTTGGAAGTCCAGGTATGCCGAGCCAAATGCCTAATGGAAGAGTCATGCTGTGTGCAATGTAGTCAAGCTAAAACAACAAGTAAAATTAAACACAAAAATTTGTTTAATTTTTTAAATTTATTAATTTAATCATTCTAAATTAAATGTAATTCTAAAGGCTAAAATGATCCTTGTCCAACCTGACCGCAGTCGGACTCAAAGCTTGTGAATTATATTCAGTATGCATTAGCATTATGTATGCATTTACATAACAAATAAATTAGACATTACAGCCAATTTTTTTTTTAATTAATTAATTTAATCAGTCTAAATTAAGTATAATTCTTTCTTAGTAAAATGTTCAAATTAAGTAAGAATTATTAAGCCTGCCTATTTACCAGGTCTCTCGTATAATAAGGAAAGTTTTGCAATTTTTTAAATTATACGTTGATTATGAATTTATTATTTATTTATTAAAAATAAAGATGTTAGATTATCATCTTTAATGACCTATTCACTTAAGCCCCAAAGGTCAATTCTAAAGGGGGGAGCTATTTTGGAGATAGGAAAATCCAAATATCTTAATGAACAATATTTAAATTCTTTTGCTTTTTTCCTTCGCCTGATGTAAAATTTACGGACGAGATAAGCCAAATAAGAGGGGGCGTTTGTCATTGATAAGTGAAGGACCTTCAAAATCTAATTTGATGGAACTTAGCAGAAATATCTGTAATATTTGACATTAATATTCCATCACAATTATTTTAAAATTGGTTATAAGGAATACACGGGAAAATAATCCACAATAATAATTAATTATTCAGAAATTGTGAGATGCTGTCTGGTGTGACGTAGGTTTTAGAAAAACATTTTCTTTATCGTGCCAACGTTTCGATCTTTATTGAGATCATCTTCAGGGCTCAAAGTGTTTGTCTTCTGTGTAACTGTGCCATTCTTGCGTGTCGTGTTGAGAGTGCCCGGAAAATCTGTTTTGTTGTAAGGAATGGAATGTTTGGGACCAAGTGATAGGAAGTTCTGGATTTCTGGAGGAATGTTAGTTTTGGTTAGGTTTAGGAACCATTTGTTTGGCTTAGCAGGTGTTTGTTTGTTGATTAAGTTATTTAATTTTTTGATGTGTTTGTTTTTAATTTGGTCAAAGTGGACGTTGTATGGGCACTCTCAACACGACACGCAAGAATGGCACAATTACACAGAAGACAAACACTTTGACCCCTGAAGATGATCTCAATAAAGATCGAAACGTTCGCACGATAAAGAAAATGCTTTTCTGAAACCTACATCACACCAGACTGTATCTCACGATTTCTGAATAATTATCGATTAATGGTCACTAATCACCACAGACAATAATAATAATTAAGAAGAAAAAATTTTATTCTGGGATAGGAGTGTCCCCTTAGAATAAAGCATAATTAAACTAATTATTAACATTTTGACCCAAAAATAAACCTTGTCGTGGTGATCAAAATTAACAACTGACTTATATAAAACAAATATCAAAAGAAGTGAAAACTAAAATGAGTTACTCTAAAATTAACTTGGGCAGATAATAATTGAGTAAATTTAAACTGTGGTTAAATAGACTCTGTTGATGCAAGATATGTTTAAAAGAGGTAAGGGAAGCAGCATTGTTGATATTTAAATGATTATGTATGCAATATCAAATTATGACGATATAGATGTCCATGACCATAGTGTCATGTGTGAAAGGGTTAAAAATGACAGCAAGGAATACATGTAGAAAGGATGAACCACCTGGCTGTTCTTTGTCAGTGCCACTCAGCAGATAATTGTAATAAGGGAAAAAAACGCAATACGGAAAAAATTTGATGAGCCGGCAATGACAGTAGCAGTAAGCCAGCCATAAAAAGAAAAAAAAATTGATGGCTGAAGTATTAAACAATAAACAAATTTGGACAGAGTTTCCTCACAAACATGAATTTCTTCCACTTGAGAAGTTGATAAAACATGGTCTAAGTAATTGACATTTTACCCCTAATAAATCATTAAAACATGGACAAAAACAGTTCTGAAGGATTATGCTGCAATTTCGCGGCTACAGAATGCTGCATTGTTGGAAGTTCGAAAGCTGCAGAAAGGACAACTCCACCCTCGACAACAAGTGGATCCCTCAACCTTAAGCCAAATATCTTATTTATACCATTCTAAACTTGTTTCTTACACAGTATTGTTCCTAGAACTTAATATTGATTGGTAGTTGAATGGGAGAGGAAAGTTTCAGCTGAAATCCTTAAAATCTTATTTTTCTTTCTCTTTATTATTTTTTTTTTTCTATCTAAAATCTTTCTCTATTTAATCAATACCTTAGACATTTTATTACTCTAAGTGCTTACCTGATTCGGTTGGTCAGGTATGGCAAGGGCAGCGAGGGAATGACCGCGGAGATGGAGCCAAACTCCTTTATTCCTGCATATCTCCTGTAGCCTCGTTATGTTGTCAACATGTCCAAAAATCGGCGTACCTGAAACTCTCAATGTATAAATTGCTCGGGTCAGCTATTTTCAAAAAATTACCTGCATCCGCTAAAACGATAAGAGGGAGTTTTTTATTTTTAAAATCTGTCTCTATTTCCCTTTCCAACGTTGCCAAATCCATCCTCTGTGACCCGAATAGCGTGTTGCACGGGATCGTGCTTATACAAGAAAATGGTAGACCGATCTGAAAAACAAAAAACAAAAAAAAACATTATTTTCCTTCTTAACTAGAGAATTTGTGATGGCGCACCTGTTTGCATATGTACTGTGCGATTCGAGCTGGTGCAGATGCACTCGTGTAAATAATCGGGATGTTATTTTTCAACGCTTCAAACCCATTTTCAGCATAATGCGGGACCTCTTTGTGTAAGAGAGAACGTATTATTTTTACAATCCCTTCTAATTGGTCATCGTGGTAGCAAACTAGAGAGTTTCCACTGAAACACCTGGGGGGAAAATATTTTTAAAAAATTAGGAATTTAACATTTTATACGAATCTTTTTACTAGTGAAAAACAGAAATATTCTACAGTTATGATGCTTTAAAAAATAATTGTAATTTATTTATTTTTTACGAGGTATTTTCAACTATGAGGTTTCATATAATATATATTTTGAAAAAAAAAAAAAAAAGGCCCATTTGAAGTATTTCGGGTTTGAATGAAGGGCCGCTGGATTCAAACCCAAGATCTGTATCTTACAGTGATAGTGCCGTGTCAACACCTAAACCGTTGCGGCCACCTTTGCTCCCTTTTTTGTTGTATATAACTGCAACCCACTGTATAGATTATAATATAAATCTTTTTTGTTTATATCTCATTTATTTTAATTGAATAACAATTAAACCAAAAGCATCCTTTTAACCATGAGTTATTGATTATATAAAATTAGTCACAATTTAAAAAAAATAGTTGCTTATATATATATAAAAGTTAATATGTGTGTCAATCATAAAAACAGAATCGATTTCGATGAAACTTTCACACTTTGTTTTTATTAGTTCCAGGTTAGTTTAAAGACTATAAAATGGGCATGTAACAAATAATGGGCATCAGGATTTACAAAAAAGAGAAATAATAGTTTTTATTATCGCCCTGGTAAAGCCGGGTAATAAAGCTAGTAGTTAAAATTAAAAAGTTTGTTGTATTCTTATAAGTTGATTGTGACCACTGTTTTTGCGGATTTAATGATGGTTCTTGTCAGTTTGAGATATAATAGACAAACAAAACATTTTCTAATCTTCTAAAATAGGAAAAATAAAAAAAATTAAACTACGAGTTGTGATTTCTTGTCATTGGCAATAAATATAATTTATTATTATGATTTGGTTAGTAGCATTATTATTTTTTAAAATTATAATTCTAAAACCAGATTTGATGTGAAATGTAAACTGATTGTATGCAATAATTCACTTTATCTACTGTAAAAGATATCATAATCACAATGGCAAGGACATAAGATAAGACCTATAAACTTTCAAACCTTACATTATTTTTTCGAGGTACAGAGTATTTACATTGATGATGCTTGCATACCAAGTATTGTGGTACAATAAAGAGCTAGGAGAATATGAATAAAAAAGAAAGTAATTCCTGTCAGACAGTAAGGCTTAACGAGGGGTTAAACCACTTTGTTTTATTTTATTTTCTGATTAAAAGTTCTAGGCTACGCTGAGATTCAAATCCAGAACTGCTAGTGTCAGAAATATGATTTGGTGGCTCTAACTACTAAAAAATTTGGTGTCCCTTAAGGGAATCTTTGTACCTCTACAAAATTCGACTATTATAAGCTGGCAATGGTTTCCAAAAGAATTACAGGATTAATACAATATTTCAGCATGAAATAAGTACTGGTCTCTTCATACGTTCTTTGATAATAGATGTTGAGAGAATCACATTAATGATCTAAATGTAACATGGTTTTGCTAATGGAAAGAATACATCAACAATGAAAGAGTGACAGATTAAGGACAAATCAAGAACAATTTTTTTTTTATCATTGAAAGATACACCCTAGCTGAGACGCAGTTTGAGGTTATCATACTGAGAGAGAAGCAAATGCTCAATATACATTGAATTCAATCGGCATACTTTCTGACAGACCAAGGATGACAGGGAATGATCAAATTCCAATCAAATATACTTTAAAGAATGACCTCTGGAATCCCAAAAAGGATCAATGAACCACTTGTGCCTTACCAACCAATTACTTCTAAATTTGATTTATAAAAGCATAAAACAGAGTATAATAAAAGTATTAAAATAAAGAATGTAATTATAGACTATTAGCTATTAAAATTTAATATGCTTTTAAAGACCAGAATCTCATTTAGTCTAAAAATGATCATTCAACTAGTGATTCAACTGACATCACCACATTTCACAATAAAGTACATTCAATGTATTAAAATAGACCAATTAAGAATAATTTACATTAATACTTGTTAAATGTACTTTAAAAGGATTGTCAGATCCTCTGAAATATTACAAAATATTTTTTCCCCCTTTTAGTAGTACTCCTAATAAGAGGGAATTAATTTACCACACTCCATGTGACGTATTACATGTGTGTTTTACAATCATTAAGTTATATTTACGTACATTTCAAATAGCACTGGACGTAGATGGCTTGAATTAACATTATCTTCAATATTTTAAATTAATGTCTTTCAATTAATTAAGGTTTTTAGTTGAGATAAAAAGACAGCGTCACGAGCAGGATTTGAACTCACGACCTTTGGCTAAATACGCCGCTACTCGGGGTTGAGATGGGAAGTTAGTGTCCGAGTGGATCGAAGTCACGATAGCTCAAGTGGTAGAGCAGCTGCGTGTTGAGCTGAACGCCATGGGTTCGAATCCCGCTCGTGACGCTGCCTTTTTATCTCAACTAAAAACCTTAATTAATTGAAAGACATTAATTGGTCAAGCGGACCATGAAATCTAATGAATTTTAAATTAAATCAGTACTACTATTAATTAAATAAATGAAAAAAAGATCTTTATTATTTCTAAAAAAGTTGGTGGCCATTGTCCTCCTTGTAACACTATTGCGTGCATCGTATCGTTTTTTATCTAACTTGGTACAGTCGAAAATAATGTGTTCATAATTTTGCGGTCTCTGCAGCATTCACACATCATCTTCGATGATCTTGACCTTTTTAGACGTGCTTTATTTTTTCTGTGACTAGAGAAAATCTGTGATTTTATGAGTATTGGATCTCTATTCGTAGACATTGTGATATTGTTGGATTTTTTGGTGTGCCTCTATTGTCAGTGTTCTGCCACATTTCATCCCATTCTTGTTTAATGCTTCTGTTAGGTTCTGGCTGCTTCTTTTACCTTCCGGTCTGCTTCTTCATACCCCTGTATGCTGATGTGCGCTTTAATCCAGTTTATTGGTGTTTTCCGACCTTGAACCTTAGAAGGTCCGAAGTATTCGTGTGTTGTATCTATTGGTACATTTCAGTTGTTTTCTAAAGTCCAATACATTAGGCAAAACAAACTTTTATAACCTTGAACCTTTCCAGATTGATTCACACGTTCCAAATGCATTGGGCTGTCCTTATCACACGTTTTTGAGACCTTAGCAAGTTAATAGAGGTCTGGCTGTCGAATACTCCACACCGTTAACTCTTCCTTGAATCCATTTAAGATATCTTCTATCGCCATCACCTCTGCCTGGTTGTTAGAGCAGTGCAAGGCAAGCTTGTAGTAGCCACTAACCAAAAAGATTAAAGGCACAGTTAATGGAACTATCCACCTGGCACCTTAAAAAAATGGAACTATCCATTATGTCTGACGAGACAGAGACAACAGAACATATCCTACACAACTGCTCTACTGATAGGAAAAGTTTTGGTACTTGTTACAATCACTCTTGAACCATGCAGATCATGGTACCAAAGGAGGCTGAGAAATGATGACAAGTCAGAATGTGGAGGTCAAGATAGATATTCTCTAAAGTGTTTTGTTGTACTTTTAATGCCATTTGTCAATAAATCTAGACTGATGTTTGATATTCATTGCATTTTAAAGTTTATATTGCTGAGTTAAAATATGGAATTTAAAAAAAAAGTTTATATGTTGAATACGCATACCTAAAAAGGTCGGTTATCCAGTTGGCTACATCTTTTGACACTCTGGCAGAAAGGCTGGCCACGTGGTTCCTTTCCATAGAACCTGCAAAAGCTGCAATCGCATGGCTGAGTACGGAGAGCCGTCCGGACTCACAGAGCTCCGGCAGCGCGGCATACTCTGCTTCGTTCTCTGTGTCATTGAGAAGGAGTTCCTGCAAAGCGGATCGGTGGGGTTGTAAACTTGTAAACGGACCCTGACAACTGTGACAGCCTACCTCGAGTTGCTGCAGGACCGTCTTGGTCTGGCTGTGGAAGTCATCCTGGATGCTGTCGTCCGCCCTGTCGCGGCCGCGTTCCGACTCCTCCGGCAACGGTTTCCCGATCACCGCCTCCTCCAGCCTGCAAATCACCTGGGACACCTGGAATTCGATCTCGCCGATGGGGCTCTTGCGAGACTCGGAATGTCGTTCCGAGTTAGGTCGGCCGACGGGGGCATTCTGCGGTGGCGGCCCGAGCTCCGAAGGGCCGTTCGAGATCGACCTCCGTCCAGGATTCGACGAGACGTTTCCCTTGGGCTGGGGCGGATCTGTCATCGTTGTTGATATATTATCACTGTTTACACCGGCAACGGCCATCGTGGCAGCCCTTGACGAGGAATCAGTTACCACAGCTGACTTTGCCTTCCTACAACACAGATTCCCTCGAAAATTTAAAATTATCCAAACAATAAACCTCAAATAATACAAATTTATCTTAGAATTAATTGAGTTCCATTGTTCTATGAAAAATTTATCTACACAATTGCTTGAAATATACCACTCTTTAGGCTAGAAATAATTATATGAAACTTTTTGGTCTATTAAAAAAAAAAAAAAAAAAATAGTACAAAAGAATACTGTTAAATAAACTCTAATAAAAATAATATAATAATATTCTCTAATAAAAAATAAAAAATGTTTTAAACTACGTAGTACAAAATATAAACTAAAAAATCTCAAATAACAAAAATTTACTCAACATTCAGCATAACTTTAAATGTATGAACTCTATTATAAATGAGACAACCCTTCAACCTAGAATAGCAATGCTTATTAAGACAAATTCCATTTCACACAGCCTTAATAATAATAATAATAATAATAATAATATATTTTATGGAATTATTCTTTTATCTAAGACCTTGGTTGAGATTAAAAAAATTAGTGTCACGAATTGAGAATTAAACCCATGACCTTTGATTGTCCCAGTGGGTTGAAGTCAAGTCAGCTCAAATGGTTTAGAGCAGCAGCGTATTAGTCAAAGGTTGTGGGTTCGAATCCTACTCGTCACACTAACTTTTTCATCTCAACCAAGACCTTAGATACAAAGAATAATTAACTGAAATAATTAAAATGATCAATTATGACCGCTAAACATGTATGGGTTTACAAAAAAATGTTTAAATAAAGAAGTATACAATATAAAAATATAACATAATAAAAGCAAAAATAAGAAACAAAGTAAAAAATTACTTAAGTATTAAACAGTATGTAAAGTAAGAGCTTAAGCTTAAAAGAACGTTTCATATAAATATACCTAAAAAAGACCATATTTATTCTGATTATTTTAATTGCCATTGTAAAATAGTATAACATATTTAAAAATATTAAATAAATAATATTTGAAAATAATTATATACAAATATGTTGATTAAGTAAGTAAACATAACAGTATTTTGTGCATATTTAGATTAATTATATTCAGTAAAAATTTTAATTAGAAATAGTGTTTTTATTTTTTTTATTTTTAAAAAGCCCATTTGTAAGTATGTCGGGTTTGAATGCAAGGCCGCTGGATTCGAACCCGGGACCTTCTCCTTATATTGATGAGCGCCGTGTCAACGCCTAAACCGTTGTGGCCACCGACACCCCAATATTATAAGTTAAACATGGAAATATATACAATGTACAGAAGTGCAAGTTAAATAATTTTTATGAAAAACATTTTTATTTCAAAGAAATAGTAAAAAATAATTTAACTTAACATTTACATAATTCAAGATTGAACATGTCTGCACACAACTAACACACTGTCCTTATGAGCTTGCATATTAGCCAAAGAACAATTTTGTCATTTCATCATATATAGTTGGGAGGAAGGGTTGGTGAAAAAAAAGAAAAAAAAGGGGGGAGATGATGGGAATCGAACCCACAACCACAACCGAGAATCTATCACCCTGACCGCTTGCTACTGCAGTCTGCTAATTAATTATTAATCATGCTTTCTTTGTTAAAATAGATTTTAAATATATATATTTATTTTTGGTAATTATGAATTTGTAATAAATTTGGATTGGATCTTACTGTTCTTAGCTCTCCAGGCCATGAAAACTCCAGACTCTTAAATTTTTAGGTCTTCCTTGTCGTAGCTGTAACTTAAGCCTAGGCTAGGACTTCTACCTGGGTGTCCCTGCATCGCTTTTTTTCCTAGAAGGGATATGGATAAAAGATGCAGCCACAAGGCCTTCTGCACCTCGACCTAAATAGATCTATTGTGCTCATCTGTTTTTTTATAAATCACTGGTCAGCTTCAGGTTGTTCAACCTACATAGCCTTCCCAGTCGCTCCTTAGTGTAGGATCTTGCTTGTGACTTTTCCTCTCCTTGTTGCAAGAATCTGCTCCTACAGACTTTCACAAAAACATAAAATGTGTTCTGCTGTTTCCTCTTCTTCCTGGCATTCCCAGTGTTTCTTCTGTCTATCCCGGTGCATGTACCATCTTAGGTGGCAGTGCCCTGTCAGGGGTCCAACCATCCTGGTTCAGTTACAGTTGCCTTCCAGTAATTCCTTTAAGTTTTGCAGATGGCCCTTCTATAAATCTCTTTGTGTGCCTTATGCCTGGGTTTCCACCAGGTTTTGGACTCATTAAGGATCCTCTTTCGAGACAAGATGCTAGGCTTTTTTCAGGAAATATGTCTATTACAGCCTAAATCAAGCTCTTTATAAAGCCCCATCAGTTCTGCATTTGTTCTTTTTCACCATTCCTCCTTTTTAGGAAGCAACCAAGCTTTTAAGCCATAAAACACTAGGCCTCAGCACTTTGTGTACTCTAATTTTTAGTTCTTTGAATATAATATTCAACACATTCCGCCTAAAATTTGCTGATTGCAATCTATCTTTTACCAATCTCCTGCGAGCTTTTATTCTGGGCTGTAGTCCCAGCTGTTTGTAAATAATTAAAACGTTCTTTTGGCGAAATGTTATACCCTTCTTTCTCCAATCTGGAATTCCAGGGGTCAAGGATCAATTCTGGGTAGGGAGGCCATTACAAACTACGGTTTTTGAAATCGAAAAAAAAAAAAATTAAGTATATTCAAACAGATGAATAAATAGGATTTAACAAATCAAAAGAAATTAAAATAATAGCTGTATTTATATCTGATTAATCACAATTAGGACATATCTTTATAATTCATTACTTAAACGATATTTCGAACTTTTAAAGCTCCGCCAGGCAAATGGCATAACCAATTGGATTGTATCGTTTGGAAGCCAAAACATTTAATTTTCTCATTTGTTTATCACAAATTAAGGTAACAAAATTAACTTACGATTCCTACTATACATTATTTTGCTGATTACACAATTTCATAAGATTTAATACAACCCTTCAATTCAGAATAGCGATGCTAATTAAGAGCAATACCATTTCATACAGCCTTAATTTATTATTAAACATGCTTTCTTCGTTAAACTAGATTTAAAAAAAATATATTTATTTTATGGCAATTACAAATTTGTAATAAATTGGATTGGACATTTATAAAATAATTATTGCTTAGAATGTAAAAGCAATACAATGCAAAATAAATTTTTTCTTCCTTATCAGGCTGTGTTGATGTCTTTAATCCATCGTCCTTTGCCTTTTGTTCTAAAATTATGAAAGACCAAACAAAAATAATGAAAAATAAATACAAATTTAGCATTCAATTTTAAATAAAATATGAACATCTAGTGAAGAATTAAAAACGATGGTATGATTTTGAATTGTATAAATTTCTGACTGGCCAGCTCTCAGGCTACAACCAACAAATAAAACAAATACTTGTTTATAGCAGATCACAGTTACTTGAAGGTTCAGGATATCACAAAATAGAAAACTTGGTTATTAACTCTTTTGGAGTCTGATATGTCAAATAACAGTTTGAGTTTCAATGTTCAAATTCAACGTTTTATTACAGTTTTGTTTAAATAGTTGTAAAAAATTCACAAATGAAGTTATGTACAAGAACAAAAAAACCAAATGACAGTATTTTTTTTTTTTTTTTTTTTTTTAAGGGAAAAGATTGTATTGTACAGTCTGAAGTTATTTACAGAAATTGAGCCTAAGTTTTTTTTAGTGAGGTTTCATCAATTTTAAACAGTCTCAACTTTTCCTTTTTTCCGAGAAGCATCGGCTGATGGCTCAGTGAATGAAGTTTCTTTGCTTGGTCCTGAAAACTCTGATGTACTTTCGATTGTGCAGTCACATGAGCTGGTCTCTTCAGCCACAGTTGAACTGACTGATGCCAAGCTGCCCCTCTAAAGGTACAAAAAAAAATTGTCTACCTTAAGGAAAATTTTAAACAAAACAAAAGTCAAGTTTTAATTTTAATAGGACTTTCTTCGGTTCTTTTCGTACATAAAAATACCTTAGAGTGCATTCTTTCAAGTTGTATTTCTTCGCTCCTCGGCCTTGGCATTTTGGGCGAACTGTCCCTAGATCTTGACCCAGGTGAGTTGCTCGCCTCGCTGAGTTCATCTTGGGCTGCAAGTGAAAACAATTGCATTACCATGGTCAGGACAAAAGATGGTATAATTGTGCATACCTATTTTCGGGCTGGCCATTGGTATTTTGATAGGTATTGTGTACCCTGGAACCCTGGTTAACAATGGCCTTCCAAAATGTGTCCCTATAATGGAAGCATTACTGAAATACCCAAAATGCTTAACTGGCAACAAAAGAAAAAGAGCCTTACAGTGACAGTACTCTTTTTTTCTTTTTTTTTTTTTAATCAATAAAACAAAATAAAATAATAACTCTTGTATATGATAAAAAATAATATACTTAAAATATGTTTCATAAGGGGAAACAACCAGGTCTCTCATGCCAGAAGTGCTATGGTTCTAAAGCTGGGTTTCCACTGCGCAAAACTTGCTTGCGCAACTTTCCAAAATTTCCTGAAACTTTTCTCATATTGTGGAGAAATTTTGGCACGAGGATGTTTCTGGGTGAGCCAACTGGCTGTTGGTTTTTCAGTGTGCATCAATGTGTTTCGCGTTGTGTAAACACACTTGTCTCGAGTGAAGGAAATGAACCAGGAGGAATGTATTCGACCGAATGTATCACAGCTACCAATTTTTGAGGGACGCTAAAGATAAAACTCATCAGAACAAGAACAAGAGAGAGGATGTGTGGAAGGAAATTAGCATCAAAATGAGACAAACTATCGGTACTCTTAAAGCAAAAATGAAAACTAATCCGACAAAATAATTCTTTTACCCACCATAGATTTTTTTTTATAACAAAAAGTATCATCATTATGGCAAATGCTAATGCAACAGTTTGTGTAGTTATAAAAGGCGTGCTTTTCTCGTTCAACTGATGGCTCACCTTGTTTTACCTCTTTGTTGCAAAATGTTTTGCTTCGTGGAAATAGTCAACCTGAGACGGTGTTTTGCAAGTAATTCTCATATTTAGCTGTGAATTTTTTCGTGAGTGTGTAAGGAGGTTTTGTAAAAATTCTAATACAAATAAATATATTTTCTTTTTACTTGGTCATCACAATAATTTTGGTCTGCTCATCCTCACTGGGTTGATCTGCCAAACGTTTCCACATCCATTTTCAGTGTGCCTGTATCCCAATTTAAAAGAATATAATAGATAAGCAGACCATATTAATCAGTAATGACCAAATTACAGGTCATCACCCACAATAGTGATAATGGGGACTGCAGTAGCCAAGCAGTTAGGGTGTCTGATTTACATTTGCCACGCTAGCGGTTCTGGGTTCTAATTCCAGCATAGCCCATGGCTTTTAATTAAGAATAATTAATTAGAAAATCAGTTATGAATTTACTTTTTTTTTTTTTTTACAAGGGTTCTCAACAGCAGAGGTTATATCAGCCCTCGGGGTGCTGGTGTTTTTGAAAAAAGCTCATTTGTAAGTATGTCGGGTTCTAATGCAGGGCCGCTGGATTCGAATCCGGAACCTTATCTTACAGTGATGAGTGCCATGTCAACGCCTAAACCGTTGCGGCCACCGACGCCCCCCGGGAAATGTTTTTGACATTAACCAACAAATTTATTAAGAATACCAAAAAAAGTGAATTAAAGTTGTTTGACCTCTTGTCCACTGAGACAGGTTCTTTATAAATATAAATAGTTCATTATTTTTTACTTCTAAATTAAGTTTACATTTTCTACTCACTCGTGCTAGGAATGGAGCATGTATTAGTTTTAATAATTAAAAAAAAATTATAATTGTGAGCAAATGATACACAATAAAGTATCTTAAGTATTATTTCATGTAAATGTTCAAAGTAATTATTTGACCTATATGAAATTTTTGTTTAGACATTATTTACAAAGTCGCTAACAATTATGTTTGAGGGTGGGAAACTGGGAGAGGCCATCTCATTGTGTGATCCGAGAGTTCTTATAAGATAACTCAATTTGTTAACACAAACTTAAAATTTGAAAGTCAAATCTTTATTTCTTGTTACAGATATTTTTGAAACTTACTATGCTGATGGCGAAGTTGTTGAAGTAGGTTGTTTTGCTGTGGCGAGTCGTGGATAGTTATGTCGAGTACCTTTTCCATCTGGTGTAACTTCTCTTCTCTGACTTTCATCTTGCCCTTTGTAAGCCGCTGTTGTGCGGCGAGACAACGGATGGAATCATCGAATATAAATTTCGTATTGACCATTGGGCCCACAGTGGTGTACTTGGACGATAGGTAGAGAGTGCGCGAATCGAGCTTGTCTCCACTAAAATCCAAGTCGTGCAGCATTGCCGCCAACTTTGGCCGACCAAAACCTTTAAAAATCAAAATTAAATTTCTTTTTTTATAAACTTGCCCTAGCAATACTTACCAATATGGCCAGGCACAGGTACAACTAGTATGATCTGGTTGTTTGTAATGACAAGAAATCGATGATTTCTTATCCCATCAGCTCCGATTACATGACACGATAGTAGGTCACTATTATCTGTAAAACAAAATTAATTATTAAATACTTCTATTCATATAAATCACAATAATATAAATTTTGGTAGGGGGAGAACCAAAGTCATCAGATTCTCCTTGAATTTGTCTTATTACGAGTTAGAGGAAATAATATAGATATAATTGTTAATATAAGGTAATAGTAAGCATATAAGAAATTGTTTAATGCAGACTATAAATCTGACAGACCACCAGCCCAGTAGGAATTGACGGGATGTTTCCGAAAACCTGCTGAGTGTAAAAATGTGACACTGAATAGACCCACAAATAACAAAAATGTGAGATATTTATTAGGGGAAAGTTATTTTGCATATTGCAGACAGGGCGTATCAAGTATCATAAATTTGGGATCTTGTGGGGTGTTGCGCATGTCAGATTGCTTGGGGTCACAACTATCACAAGAAGGGGTTTGATCGCGAGACTTCAAGTATTTGATTTTTCATTTCTCCATCCTTGGTTAGGGGACCAATATAAATGGGGAGGATTGGAAAATCAAGTCAGATGAGTGGACAGAAAAAAAAAAATCGATGTTAGTAAGAATTAAGAGATGACTAGAGTACTAAGGCCAGGAGGGTCGACTGAAAAGTTGTTCCAAAACCAGAGTCAAAGAGAGACCAAGAAAGATGGTAAGAGGATAAAGAATTAGAGGCTGGTGTTGGGCAGATTGTTGTTACAGTCACCCTTAGGCCTTTATGTAAAACTTGAGTGTAGTGCAAATGGGAAGTGACAGGCTAAGGTCAAGCCCGAGCAGCAGGGTCGAAGATTGTCGCTTCCTCTTTACCTCTCACTGCTTCCCCTAGGCATTAATTTTTGCGACTCTGTGAGTACAGCCATCTCAAATGGCAAAGAGAAAGGACCTCAAGTGTGAGTTTGATCATGTTAGCAAATGATTACGAAATATGTTTTTTTTTTTAAATGAAACTTTTTTTTAACTTACTCAAATCAAGTACAGAGTCATTTTGAACAAGTTCACTTCTATTTGTAAGCGGAAGCTGAGTCTCTTCTTCTCCAGAAAGAGTAAGACATAGACTCCTGATAAGAAGAAAAACTCGTATCGCCCGCCTGGCCCTTTCCACCTGGAAAAAAACGAAACAAAAAATCAAATTATTTCATAAAAAATGATCAAACAAATAAAAACAATATTTAGACATTTCAAACATTACTCTTTGAGCATTTACCTCGCCGCAAGGCAGCCTCTTCGCAAATTCGATACCCGTCATAGGTGTTCCAGTCGGAGGCAAGAGGATGTTTGAATCCATCATGAGCCACTCAACATTCAACGGCTTCTTCCTCATCTCCTCATCCTCGTTTTCAAACATCTCACCAAACATAATGTCTTCCCTCTGTTAGAAAAAAGAAAAAAAAAACACTGAATGTCAATTGAAATCATGAAACCTTACATTTTGGTTTTGGAAATTTGGCATACCTTATAGCAGGTACGCAAAAGTGACACACTCTCTTCTTTAGCTTCAATCACAGCCGCTAAATGGGCGTCAGTCAATAAACTGACCTTATCTTTCATCACTAGCCTAAGAAGTAGGAGTATTGCCAGTTCCAATGTCACTAACCTAACTTTACTCCCTGTACAACACATTTTTAAAGATTTAATTCAAATATTTCATTAACAGCTTGGGAAAATTGACCCTCACCTGCTTGCGAACTTAAAGAGATAATGTCAATTAAATTCTGTACAAGGCTCATGTTATACTTTTGTTTATCAGGTACGCTTACGGGTAGAAGTAGCCCATCTAACAAAACATTTTCAATGCCTAAAACAGGTTTTATTTATTTATTATTATTTTTTTTTAGTATGTAAATGTTCAAAATTACCTGAGTTCTGAGAAATGGCATACAGTAAACACAGAGAAAATAAGGCTGAATAATCATTTTCAGTACAATCTAAACTTTTGATAATAACTTCAAAAAATAATTTCTGTGATTCTATAAAAGAAAAATCTCATTGTGAAGATAAAAAACATAAAATAAAATTTGTTTAGTTTCTTTTTACCTTGAGCTAACCTTTGTTCTTTCTCTTCATCAGTTATATTTAAATCGTTAACAGGATGTCCTAAAATGCCCGCATTCCCATCTGCGCCAAATCAGAACATTTTTTAAGATTAAGTATTTATAGGAAAAGTACTAAAGAAAAGTATAAAGTTTAGCCCAGGGCTTTTTATTAATGAAAACGAACCTGGGGCTGCAGACCCATTGAGAGACTCCTCGAGGCTCTGCGTAGGCTGGCTGAAAATTGGTCGGGCCTGAGTGATATAAGAGCCGTTCTCCCAGCTCCCTTTGGTGCTTTTGATAATAACCTGGGCCAGTTCATTTACAAGAGCCTGTTGTTTTGTTATAATAAACACTTGCGTCAATAAGAACAAAGATACCACAGTGCTCACTCTTGGTTGATTTTCCTAACAAAAAATTTTAAATTACAAAATTTACATAAAATTTTATGTTTACAACCTTACATTTTCTTCATTCTGTACAGGAAGTAAGGAAAATATATATAGAGGTATATACAGTTCGTTTAAAAGGTGGTTGACCAAAACATCATTAAGTTCGTCAATGTTCAGGCACAATATATCATTTAGATAATGGAGATGATCAAGGTGTTCTGCAACGAGATCAGCTAGTCGTGACTGGCTTGAGTGACTGTAAAATGAAAAGGATGATAAATCAAAACCAAAAAATGTGTGAAAATGTTAAAAAAAAAAAAAAAACGCACTCTGCATCATTGCGTACACAGGTGTCCAGTTCAATCACGTGATTACCGATGAACCAGACCAGATTAGAGAAGTAGGGTGCAGCCGTCTTATCCCGGATGAACCGAAGCATAGAATTATCCCTCACCCTGTAGACATTGAGAGTCAGCGTCCTCACTGCTATTCTCACCATTGACTCAGAATGTTTGAAAAACTTTATTGCCTCGGTATACAGTGGAAAATCGTTTGTGTGCTGAAATTTCGATGTTAAATTGAAATGAATTTCTAGCAAATATTTTCTCTGTTTAGACTTACGTCATTGTAGAAAAAATGAATCGTGTGGCTGTTTAGTTTGAGGGACAGCGTCTTCAAAAATGATATGTAGTAGGCCATCACCTCCTCATCAGAAAAGTCAAACTTGTGTACGATTATTGAATTCACATGGTTGTTACTTAATAAATAATCTATAAATTAAGAAATAAAAATTTTCAATTAGTAGAACAATAAAAAGTAAGCATAATATAGCTTTTCCTCAAAGTTACCCTTTTTAATATATTTTTTTTCTTCGCATTAACCCTTTTTAATTTCAAATTAACCGTTTTTACTTCAAATTGACTTTTTTAAACTTAAATTAGCCCTTTTCTATTTGAAATAAATCTTTTCTGTAAAGCATAAACCACTTGGAGATGGTATGAAATGTAAGAAGGTAAAGAAAAATTCCTGCGTTTGAAAAAACATTTAAAAATAAAATAATTGGGCTCTTAGATCATATGAAAATTAATCAAAATGAAAATTAAAAATTATGTAAAAGTAAATATAAAATCAAATTCCTCTTCTTTTAATTTGAGATTTTTTTTAAGTCTAAAATAATTGGGCTCATAAAAACCTGAAAATTAATCATACTTAAAAAAATAAAATTAAAATAAAGGATTCTTCTTTAAATTTGAGATCTATTTATGTATTTTAGTTTGGTTAAGAAATTTTTTGAACATTATACCAAAGAAAAATCTTTTATTTTAATACATATTTAATTTTATATAATTTTCATTTGGTCCTTTGTATAAGACCCCAATTCTTTTATATATATATTTAAAAATATTTTTCAAATATATAATATGTATTTTCCTTTACATGCCTACATTACATACTATCTCCTAAATTTTTTAAAAATGTTTTAAAGAAAAGAATAATTTGAAGGTTAAAAGGATTCATTTGAAATTAAAAAGGGTTAAATTGATATGAAAAAAGGTTAATTTGGTGCAATAAGAATTAATTTAGAATTAAAAAAGGTTAATTTGACAGAAATTGCCAGTGTGATATTCATTACATAAAATGAATGATTTTGAACTGAATATCTCACTGGCGCTCTCAATACGACACAGAAAACAAACACTTTGAGCTGAAGATCCAGATGATCTCAATAAAGATCAAAACGGCACGATGAAGAAAATGTTTTTGAAAACCTACATCACACCAGACTGCATCTCACCATCTCCAAATAATCATTAACTAACGGTCACTAAACACCACACATTTTTATGTAATACAGAACTTATGATTCCTAAGTGGATGAAATTATTCAGGTTTAGACATTTTATTATTGTATTTAATTGGATTTAAGGTGAATCACAAAGTCCTCTAATATTTTGTGAATCATAAATGTGTGCAAAAGAAATACTCATATAAATGACAAGATTAGGAATTAAAGGAACAATGAATAAACGTGACACATGTATTGACTAGTGATGAGAAGATTTTTGATAGATTATTATTATCACACTATTGCTGAATCCTTATTATTAATAGATTCAAACAAGGTATTTAAATGTCAAGATAATTAATTACATAAACAAGATAATTAATAAGATAAATAATTAATCGCTAATTTCTCTGGCTCAAGTAATTGTATTTCCCCTTTTACTCTGGTATTATTAAATATTTCTTTGTTATTCAGAGAATTAAACTTCATTAAAAAATAAATAAATAAATATTGATTTAAGTCATGAAATCTGGCAATTTAAAAACAGCATAGAAAATAAAGCATAAGTAAAATGTAAAGAACGATGTCATCTCATCCTGGACAGAGATGGCTTAAACATTTTACATACACAACAAAAAGTACTACGAAGTGGCAGAAGTCAGGTTTTCTCAAAATAATTTTCATTTTATCTAACTTATCGTCAGACACAATGAAAAATTGTTCTATTGTTCTATTTCCGGTGCAGATTTGTACACAATATTTGTTTGCCATAAAGACCATGTTTTTGGTGGAATTTCAAAAATGTGCTCACTTTTCTTGGTTCCTAAATAAATTCAGACTTTAACTTAATTTGAGAAAGTATACTTTTTTTGCAGAAACAGATGTGCAAAAGTCCTAAATTCAAATTTCACCTTCATTGGCATATTTTCACCAAATTTCACCTTCTTGTCTCATTCCTTCATAAGTATTATAATTTATTTACACCAAAGAGAACGTTTTCAGTCCTGATGCAGAAGTTAGACTACAGGGGCTATCAACAGCTAGACCATTTCAGTCCAAAACACATGCACCTTTTAAACCTAAACTGACTACATTCTCTCTTAATTAAATACATTATTTCCTATTTAAATACCATTCCCTTAATTAGGGTGGTGAAATATCCATTATTAATTAACATTTGATTTTACAGACAAACTGAAGAAGGTAAAATACTGAAAGGCAGAAGATGAACGGTAAGGAGCGAAATTAAAAGTTGAATCGTGAGAACACGTGTTTAGTCAATTTTACCCTTTTAGAAAATAATAAAATATATTTTTTTAAATTTTTTTTATATTGATTAATAACAAGAAAAATAAATATTAAACAAAAAAACTGAGTGTTCTAGTTAAAATCTACTTTCAGCTGGTAACAACAGTACTTATCAAATTGACATTATTAAGGTAAAATTCCATGGGCATTGCAAAAAATTGAACACAGTTCATGTGCAAATATTCTAGCTGCCTTTGCTTGCAAACTTTTACTAAAGAAGCTGATGGCAAGTTTGAAGTTCGGTATGTGAGTCGGTGAACGCACGTTGAACTGATGCAGGATCTGCCTACTCTCACAGGTTTACTCAAACGAATTTTGGTTTTGAGCCATTTTCTGTATGGAACTAGGAGTTCCCAGTGCTGGGTCATTCTATTAAAGATTAATATATAAAAGTGAAAGTGTTCTTACACAGAGAGGTCTCGTTTCTTATGTTTTCAAATAATATGTTTAAAGTCTGGAGGAGCTGAACGCAGACGTAGCTTCCACACTTCTGCTTCAGGATTTTCAGGAAGAAAGAAAGCATATTCTTTTCGAGGAAGAAACTGCAAAAACAAACCATAAATGGTCATAAAGTCAAAAAGAAAGAAGTGTACGTACTCGAATACACTGCTGTCGTTCTGATCGCCCCATATCAGGATCTCCGCAATGGAACGTAGTGTTTCAACAAGGAGGCCACGGTTGTTTTCTGATACTGTCTGATTCTTGGACAGTACGTTGTGCAAGTACCTGAAAACAAGATGGTGTGAGTTTTGGAAAGTTTAAAGGCTGACAGGAAAAATGAATGTTACTTGAGGTGATCCAATGAATGCGGGTTTTTGTTCTTCCATAGGGAACCACCAAACCAGCTCCTGGACCTGAACATGTTCGTCGGCTCTAGTGAAAATTTGTCAATTTATCAACATTTTCCAAAAATGACACTGGACGTATTTGTAAAAACACAGATAGGAGGAGCAGTGGAAAAAAAGAACGACGCCGTTTTTCAGTCCTTGCCCTGAGAAATCGGGTTTCCGTCTTGACTCTCTCCTGAGATACACATTTCATATAAATTCTAATTCTAATCACTTTCCCCTTCGTCCGGACAATCAACACTGATTAAATGACAGTGTTGCCCGAAGTGTCGACACGCAACAAAAAGCACAATCGCAAAGCAAATAAAACAAATTTTTTTTTACATTCTCACTTGATTAATACTTTAATGCTTTTTGTTATCTTAATTTTGAACCTAGGTCTTGATTTTGGTCGACAATCGTATTGAATATTATCATCTCAATTCTCCATTTTGTACATTTCCTCTGAACAGATAAAACTTCATGGAAAAAATTCAGACAATTATTGAACAAGAAGAATTATTGGCCCTATTTTAATTTGCTAAAATCATTTTCAAAATGACAAGACGAATGGTCAGCATACAATTTAAATTTAATATGCCAATATTTCAGCTTTTTATAAAAATTAATTTCATGAGCTAAAAAAGCACTGCTATGAATTCATCCATTATAATTTTATGCAAAATGGCACGACAAGTGGTAATGTATTTATCTATTTAAACAGGCAGATGCTCAAAGTACAATATACAATACATTTTGTGATAATTAAAAAAAATACAAATTTGTCCATATGAAAAAACTAAAACTTTTTTTTTTTAAGGCAAAAAACCAGCAAGGGCTATCATTGCCTTTATGTAGCTAGGGGTCCATATGTGTACAGTGCTTTTTATCACTGTGTGAGTGTGTGTGTGGATTCGCATGTGTGTCAGTTCAGAGTTCTGGGGAGCGCGTACAGTCAGCCGCCCGGCCACCACCGCCGAAGAAGGAGGGACCTAGGCTCCTCCGTCTTTTGTTTTTCTTTTAATGTGATTGACCTTATGGAGCTCCCTTTGGAGGACGTGGATAAAAACCATTTACATTGAGACCTATATGGAAAAGTCCAAGCTCTCAGGAGGTCTGGGGCTTTTGCCCTGAGGTCCCTCCGTGTCCCCCAACCGGCGCAAGCGCACCAGCCCACTAGCCCGCGCCCCCCAGTGATGTAAAACCAATATGACACCACAAGAATAGCACCACACTTTATGCCATAAAGATGACCCGAATAAAGGTCATAACATCAGCAAAAAAAAAAAAAAAAAAAAAATGAAAAAGGTGTTTACTCTAAACTACCTCATGCTTGACTACTCCTCACAACTAATTAAATTATACATTTTCAATAAACTAAACATTAATAAGTAAAATTAGTTGAGAAAGAAAACTGCACAATTGTAAAATAATTAAAAAACTATTTTTAGAATATAAAAATAAACATAAACATTAATTGATTACAATTATATAATAAGCAATCAGATATCAGTACAGGTTTGTACCTTTATTCTGTTAAGCAGTGATAGAATTAAAACTTTCAATTATAATAAAAAATATAATGGTAGAAATCGAATTCTTTGGAATAGCTAGGAGATATGATTTAGTGGTTTGTATGAAATTACAGAATATATCTATTTGTGGAAACTTCTGAATACACTAAACTGCTCAAAAATGAATATGGATATATGTAATTTATTCTTATTCTATTAATTTTAATTAAATTAATCAATATATTCTTGTGAATTTGATAAAAAAGAAAATTCAAACCAGAAGCAAATAAATGTTAATACTCATTTTTAATAACTAATTAACTTAAGAATAGTAAACATGGAGATTTTGTACTTTGGACTTTGTAAGCAAACACCTTTTCTGACTTTTCTCCATTTTAATCCAGTTGTATTCTCTTTAATCATGGAAAGATATTATCTTGAACCAATAGTTCGCAATATTAATATGAGAATGTGTCACCGAGGTCACCGGCAAGTGGATATCGCAGAGGCAGTTGGTGTTTTTCAGAGCGTGGTCTCCTGGGTTTTAGCCCTATTCCGAGAGACTGAAGTGCCAACAGGAGGTCTGGTAGTGGATTCAGCGCATTACAATGCTAAGGGATGACAAAAATATTGTCATCGCTGCAAGACAGAGCTCTTTCTATAGTGTCCACCAAATCTTAAGTGAAGTACAAGATGTTTTGACAAGGCCTTTATCTATACAAACGATTCATAATTGTGGGAAGTTGGCCTCACATCGTATGCTCCTTTGAGACGCCCTGCAGCAACAGCCCCCCCACCACCAACTCACGAGAATATGGTGTAGCAAACGCACAGAAGAGAACCGATTGGAATCCTGTTATGTTTACTGATGTCGCATTTCAGTCTGTATAATGTATAGTGATAGCAGGCACCAAAGAGTCTACCAAGAACAGGCCCCAGTTTATGCTCCCTTCAGTGCAATTTGAAGGATGTAGTGTAATGGTCTATGCTGAAATTTACACTGGAGGACAAACTGGACTCTATACTGTTGAAGGCGACTTCACCAGAGTCCGTTATGTCCAAGAAATTATCAAGGAACACATCCCTCAAACCAGAGATCTCATTGGCAGGGATTTTCGATTTTTGGATGACAATGCCAGACCACATAGAAGCAATATCCCTATTCATTTTTGAGCAGTTTATTTTCTTGAGTCAGTCGATGCCAAAATGAAGAAGATAATCATGAAGAATGTGAGGAGTGCTAACCTCTGATTATGATCACGCAATTGCTTTGGAGGAGCTCCAGGCACACAGAATAGATGAATGGAGTCAATTCTGGCACCTTATGACAAATCAGCAATGCAAATGCACTCATATTACTTTTATCCTCCGAAACAAAACCCCCTTAAAAACAAACTAAAACTTTATAAAAAACTGCTGAAACCTATTTCGACATACATATTACTATGGGGCACCGCTAAGCCTTCCAACATCCAAAAAAATAAGACTGCAGAACTATTGTCAACACTCCCCACTACATCCATTTATGTTTAATGGTCTAATTTACTAAATTACTTCTTTCAATTAATTATTCTGTTTATGTAAGGTCTTGGTTGAGATGAAAAAGTTAGTGTCACTCCCTACTACGTTTCCAACACTCCACAATGACCTCCAAACACTCTTCGTTAAAAACCTAATTCTCCACATTCTGTGAACAACTATCCTCACATCTTAACCCATTAACCCGATTACCTGACCACTCACCTCTACATCCTAGTAAGGTAACTGAAGCTGAATTTTTAGTATAAATTTGGTCAAATTTCTATGCGCAATTTTAGTATTTTTGATAAACCAGTGTTGATGATGTGTCATAGTGATTGTACTTAATGCTGTGCAATTAAAACAAATGTTTAACTGCAAACTAAGGTCGAGTTGTTAGGATATACGATTGTTATTTTCTATATTAGCAGCTTTCCTCTGAAAATTTGTACTCTAAAAAAGAATAATTTGCACAAAATATATTAATGACTTTTTAACCATGCATCTAACAGATTATCAGTATAAAGTCCTGATAGGAATTGCCCGATTTGACTTTACATAATACTTTTTAAAAAATGCCTGGTATTATCAAAGAACATATTGAACTATTGATCTGGCAGATTTTGTTTTTAACATTCATATCTCTTTTTAACACTCATATCTTTGGTCTTTCCTTTTAATTGTTTGAACTTTCTGCTTGTTATTAATGATAAACTGGTGAATTTGATATTTGATACTGCATTGGCACCGTCAATAGATTACCTGATGCTGAAATCTACTTGGCTAAGACAAAACAGCAAAGTATTATTTAATAAAAATATTTTATTCAATTATGTATGGAAATCACATAAAAGCAGTCTGACTGAATTAAGCTCTAACTTCATCAAAAGCTCATTTATTAAAAAAAAAATTTATATGAAAATCATATGGTAAAATAATAATAAAAAAAATATATATTAAAAATAAAATATATTTTTAACAATGTGTATGTCTAACAAGTGTTTGAATGTAAATGTTACAAAATTAGATTCATTTCCCCCTCTGATACCGGCGTTTGGAATGATGTTTGCATTTTAAGAAAAAAACAATGCAATCAGCTCCCAGTGTATACGGGAGTCCTTTTTTCCTGGAATGCTTTCAATCCTTCCAACCTATCTTTCGTCGGGATGACTTGTGCATAACAAAGCTCTTCGATTGCGAAGCCAGAGGCCAAGTCTACCTCGATGCCTTTGCTTATGGCCTGTTTAGCCATTTTCACGCCTATGGGTCCATTTGGTATTATCTCCCTGGCGATACTCAATGCTTTTTCAAAAGCAGCATCTTCACCGTCTTTTGATTCGACACAGTGGTTGACGATCCCGTATTCTTGTGCTTGAGAACCTGAAAGAACTCGTGCGGTGAATATGAGTTCCTTTGCTCTTGAAGGGCCGATGATTCGGGTTAACCTTTGTGTACCTCCTGCACCTGGGATGATGGCTAGTTTTGTCTCAACGAGTCCGATTTTTGCCTTGTCTGTTGCAACCCTTATATCGCACGCCAAAGCCATTTCCAATCCTCCACCGAGAGCGGCACCATTTATCGCTGCAATAACAGGAACAGGTGTGTTTTCTAGCGTCACCATAAGCTTCCGCAGCCTGAAGACGAACATCTGCACCTCGGTTTGCGTCATCTGAAGCCGCTCTTTTAGATCGGCTCCTGCGCAGAATACACCAGGTACATGGCTGCGTAAAACTAATGCTCTAACATCCTTATCGTACCTGACCGCTTCGAGAATATCCTCCAAGCTCTGGACAAAACTCTTGCTGAATGAATTCTTCCCTTTTAGCCTGTCCAATCCTAGGACCATGATCCCCCTATCTGAGCCGGACAAGAGTTCCACTTTTAGATCGGAATGTTTCTCACTCTCGACAGAAACGAACCGCCGGCTGTTCTTGACTACAGACATCAGCCTAGTAATGGACTTTCGGAAGAACATAACTGGACAAATATGTAAATGACACCTTTCAATTATTTATATAATCAATTGGGGATGCTTTACCCTTTATCGATTCGATTTATAAAATAGTTACACTGTCTAATCGTCGACTCTTTAGTCAGAAACTTAGCCCTGGACAAGTCGAACCTTGAAACAATAAAAAAAATGTTATTAGCAACTTATATAAAACACAAAAATTCACTGCGATAAGATATTAAGAAGGATAAGAAAACACATTGCGTGACCTGATAACTGAAAACAAAAAGAGAAAAAACAAACTTTATATTCAGGTAATAAACAATACCTCAAAGTAAATTATTAATAATAAATTACGAATATTTCATTAAAAAAAGTTATATTTATAAAAAATGAATATATTTAATTAAAAAATAATTACCAAATAGGTAATTTTCGTGAAATGTACGATATCGCCCGGTTGGTATGAAACAAGGAAGGAAATTCAAAATTTCCATGGTAACTAAGCTAAGAGGAGAATGACAACAAAAACTCTTCCTGCTTCCTGTCAACAATATTTTTTTATGCCTAAAAAAATATATATAATAGAAAAAGGCGATTTTTAATATTTTTAGTTTGGCCGAATTGATATGGATATCTCATGTTTGCATGTTCTCAGTTATACGCGTATGGAACATTTTAGCGTAGCCTTTCGAGATAAATCTTAGTGGTTAAATGATCTCCCTTTGGGAAATAAAGAGATGTAATTTTAGTAAAGTGCGTTTTAAGTGAGAAGTGTGGTACGTCGATAAAATGCATTTGTACATTTTTATTCGCACCACCCTATAATGGAGCAGATTTCGGAGAAAAAGCTGCCTTTCTGGCTTGAAGACTGGACAAGGTAATGCGTTGCTATTCAGCACAATTTAAAGAGTACTAAAACAGCTTGCACAAGATAAAAAATAAATTAATAAAATAATCTCTCGTGTTTATTTTTATTTTTTGTTTTCCAATCTGTATTTGTTAAACTCTTTATTTTCAGAAAATCAAATATATGCTGACTAATTTTTATACACTGTCGTATATGGAGTTAACGCAAAGATAGTATAATGTTTAGTGTTTTTAGTAGTCTAAAGTCTTTGTTTGTGTTTGTTAAAGCAAACTATTTAAATAATATGAATGATGAAATAATAAAAAAAAAGCTGCTTTATTCCTAAAAAACTTGGGTGCATAAAAGCACAACTTTTTACATTTAGAAAATATTTACGCGCTTAGTTTTATTATGAGAAAAGTTTAGAAAGATAAGGCATTGTAATTTTTTTTTTTTTACATAATAGATAATTTATGTTTTTTATGCATATATACATCAACAATGAGTGTTGCTTGTCAATGTTGATTTTTGATTGAAATTAATCGAATTAGTAATTTTTTGAATTAATTTCTCTCCAGCCAGATGCTTTAAAATAAGATTTTTTTAGGGGCGTCGGTGGCCGGTTTAGGTTTAGGTAGTTAAACGGTTTAGGCGTTGACACGGCGCTCATCACTGTAAGGTCCTGGGTTTGAATCCAGCGGCCCTGCATTCGAACCTGACATACTTACAGATGGGCTTTTTTTCAAAAACACCGGCACCCCAAGGGTTGATATAACCTCTGCTGTTGCGAACCCTCATAAAATAAAAAAATAAAAAAAGAATGAGCCATCTATTTAGAAAATCTTTAAATTGATTCTTACCAAAGATGGCAAAATGTTGAAATGTGTCTGACAGACTAACCCAGCAAGGAAAAACCAAGATGATCTAGAGGGATCATTGGTTCATCACCTGCAGATCACAGAAAAAAATCGCGGAAAAAAAAACCTCTGCCTAAGTTTGAATAAATGATACAAAGCAAGTTTTTAGATTTTTAGAAAATAAAAAAGACAAGAAATCGAATTAAACAAATTCATTGATGTGTTGATAAACATCTAGTCAAATATAAACTATATTATTTTAAAAAAATATTTACAATTATTAAAACAACTTGGATCACAGATTACAAGAACAACAAGAAAAAATGGGATAAATCTGCAATTTATTTGCCTACAGTTTGAAATTAGGCCCATTAATGATCATTTTGGTCTGCCTATCTTCACTAGGTCGGTCTGTCAGATCGTAATGACAGACGAACCAAGTGAATATAGGCATACTTAAATGATCGATAATGACCAAATTTCTTCACTTTGCAGACATGGAGAAACCTCAAAAAATTGTCCACAATTTGTTAATCACTTTATTGACTTTACGTGAAACATTACAATGTATTATTTATTAGTATTATCAGTTAAATTATTAGTTCTACATAAACAAAAATACATAAGTTAGTATTATTATTTAATTTAGTTTATAGATTTTTGATCTAAGGTTTTGGTTGAGATAAAAAAGCAAGTGTCAGAGCTGGTTTCGAACCCACGACCTTTGACTACAATTAGTGGGTACAAATCTAGCTCATGACACTTGCTTTTTAATTTCAACCAAGACCTTAGATTAAAAGTATAATTAATTAAAATAAATAATACAGACAATTATGACTATTAAATACATATATGGATTAATATATTGATTTATAGATTTCAAATTTAAAATTTCATGTGCCACATGTTCTTAGCTCTCCCAATTGAGTAGATGTGATAACTGAATCTTGATATTTCCAACCTTTTTAAAGAAAATTCGATGATATTAAAATTCCACATTTAAAGAAAAAGAAAAGAGCATTAGTCAAAATTTAAATCTTATTTGTTGTAGGATGTTGCCTACTTATTTGACCTTCTGACTTAAAATAAAGGGAACATTTGATCAGAAATGGCCAACATACCATATATCTGAGCCTATTTTATTATCATATTTACTCACTAATTTGGTTATTACTATTCAATTTGATCTGCCCGACCTCACCAAGTTGATTGGTCGGATGTGTTTCGGCATTTTGTCATCTAGGCAGATCAAAATATTGACCAACGACCAAATTACAGATCCATCACTTCGTAGACCCCAGAAGGAAATCTCACAACATATTCAGAAATGTTCACACCTCGAACACCCATCTGTTTTTAGATGACCATATTAAATATTTATTTGTTTATTCAGAGTGCTACAGACCTGTTACAGCTTTTTTACAGAGCTTACATTTTTAAAACTAAATTGGTGTTTAACATATATTACAGCTGGGTATGTACTGCTGCAGATTAAGAGTTCAATTAAAATAACTTCGAAATTTCTCTAGTAATATTGCAATTTACTTTTAGTTAAAAATAAAATTACTTAAGTCAAAAGTCTAGTGTGTTAACTAATTAACTACCATTTGATATTAAGTTTAATATTTATAAAATTATTCTTTTATAATAAGTTTTTATTGCTGTACAACTTTGGTAAATAAATTAATATATAAAAAAAAGGCACAATTTTATTTCTATAAGTGTTACCACTCTAATAAAAATTTGGCAGGTATTGAGTACTTTGCCAGGCTTTTTTAAATTTTTAAATTTATTGAAATCGTATGACTTTCCAAATCTGTAGAAATAAGCAAGTCTTTAGAAATTGACTTTATTTGAAGCAGGTGAGTACAGATCTCTAAGAAAAAAACAATTTTCTAGGTGAAATCTTTTCGTTTATAACTAACTTCAATTTTATATTATTCTAGATTTATTTTAATTTTTTTGTTTGTTTTGACATATGATTTTTGTTGTGCAACATAAGGGAAAGGTTCCCATTATTTTGAGATATCAATAAGTTTTTTATTGTACAAAAATATGGCAATGTAGGCGTAATTTTATTTAAAGCCATATTTTTATACTACGACAAATATTTCTGACTTTTATCCCATCCGCCAGCCAACATTTATTTTACAATCAATTTATTAATTTGTTACTGTAGCTTTTTATTATTGCCATTGCATGAGAATCACTTGTACGGACTATGTCAACTTTTTGGAACAGGAAAATATTAAAATTTAGAGTACGTTTATAAAACAGTGTTTTCTCTTAAAGAAAACATTTTTTTTTGGATTTCCACATGGCTGATTTGTTGCTGAAAAACGCCTACTCGAAAATCTCCCATTCCCTGAACATCGTGGCGCACACTATGTAAGCACCAATTTTTCAGTTCTGACCATCATAATGCATGACAAGGGCCAAGCCCAGCCTTTTTTAAACTGCCGAACTGTATGTTTTAGATTTTAAGCCTTTCAAACAAGCTTTTATTTACAATAATGCAATGCTGCTATTTAAATGTAGCCAATAAACTACAAATAAACTGGTTTAGTACTGTATGTTTTTTTGTTAAATCAAAAATGTTTTTGCTCACACGGCAATTATTGTTACTTTTGATATGCCAAATAATTTCTTATAGTAGGGTTGTGTAAAGTCTTAAATTTGTATAATCACAAATGTAAAAACTACCATGTTTTGCATGTAATTTTTATCCTTTACGTTTGTAAAACTTGTGTTAAATTAATTGTAAAATCTAAATGTAAGATGGATAGCTGATCAACATATATAACATTATTTGTGCAGTATATTTATACATAATGGGGACAATCGTTTTAATGAAAAAAAAATTGATAGTTTGTTTAATAATCAACTCAATTTATTGTTATAGGAGTGTGAAAATAAATAAGGTCCGCCCACAGTCATGGAAGCCTGCAATAAGCGAGAAAATAATTGATGAGCAGCAAAAGAGAGCGATTACAACTCCTGCCAGGTTTGAGAACTCACGTTCCCAACACGATCTCCGCGAAAGTGAGTACATTGCGGATAATATGCTCATGAAGGGAGATGGAGGTAAGGAACAGTGAGAAATCAAAAACTTACGAATCTAATTCTTTCCTCATTTAGATCCAGCATCGTATAACACTTTTTTCCAACCAGTAAAAGAGTCTAAGTCTGAAATCAGTACACCTTCGGTGAGCACCCCAGCAGAAGAAAGTCTGCTGTCCTTTTCCGTCTTAGAGGAGGAATTCGGGGAATTGACGATAGCTGCTACCAGAAGGACTTCGAGTGCTCTTTCTAATGATGATCGATACACCCCTAGTATCCTTTCCCTTGGTGGAGATATCCCTCCAAGCAGATCAAGAAGGTATAATGAATGACATACAATCCTTATCTTAAAACTGTCACACAATATCAATAAAATATTATTAAAGACCACATCTTTGGTAAAGTAATTGTAATATGAAGTAACAAGCAAATTATTCTATAAGTTGCTTAATATATGTAACATGTATGTGATATGTACTATAATATTTTGATTTATATGTTTGAATCGGAAGTAGAGGAAGCAGTTTTATGACAAAGCCTTTAATGAATTACTTTCCTGATAAAACTCCGAGCCCTGTGAAAGAAGAAGTGCAGTTGCCAATGCCTGAGCAGAAATTGGAGGAGAGTTGGTCTTCCCTTGATATTTTTAATCAAAAGCACCGTGGCAGGATTTCTAAACGAGCCGAAGGTAATTTGAACATTATTATTTGTGATCTTATTTAACGATTTTGTTTTCAGACCCACAGATCAAATTTAACGAGTTTGAACACAGCTATGGAAGGTCGTCAGCTTCCCCTAAGTCGAATGAAGATTTCATTATTCCCGAATTGCCGTCTGGACAACACCTCGTCCTAGACATCACTTCGACTTGGGGGGACCGGCATTACGTCGGGCTGAACGGCATCGAGATCTTTTCTATAACAGGAGAACTAGTCCAGATCGCTCGGGTAAGTGGCATTGTATGTATTGAAAGGGAGTGAATCTGACGGAAATTTGTCAAAAGATTACAGCAGACCCTGCAGACATCAACGTCCTTCCTGAATATGACAAGGACCCAAGGGTTGTGGAAAATATTCTAGACAGGGTCAACAGGACAAGGGATGATATGCATCTCTGGCTCACTCCTTTTACCGAAGGGAGTCATCATTATGTACGAATACTGATGGAACATGTACAAACTATCGCAATGATTAGAATTTGGGTAAGGGATTTTTCTAATGTTTACTTATATGCATGCTTATTACAAACTCATTGCTCAATTTTTTTAAAAATTTATATTATTTTAATCTAAAATTGTTTTCCAGAATTATAACAAGTCTAGAATTCACTCTTACAGAGGAGTAAAAGACATGGTGATTACACTCGATGGAGTCAAGATATTTCAAGGAGAAATTGCGAGAGCATCTGGTGGAATTTTAGGTGGCACTGATGCATTTGGGGATGTAAATATATAAAATTACATGATGAAAAATTCTTTTTTTCTTGAAAATTTCATCTTTTCCCCAGACAATTTTATTTACAACTGACGAAGAAATACTTGAAAGAGTATCAAGGCATGATGATTCATATGAAAGTGTGATGAATGAGGTGGTCGAGCCGGTCAAACCGACGCAGCCAGAAAGACCGCTGACTGCTGATATAGGGGTATTTTATTATTTTTATTACTTATTATATAAGTTTAAATTTAATAATGGAATTTGTAATATCAGGACGTCCGGCCTCTCACGTGTCCCGGTCTTGTGAAACCTGAGTCCAACAGGGTCTGCGTTGGCGCTGTCATATGTCTGAAATCTCTTTCGCTCAAACTCACTAGCACATGGGGTCTGAATACGATCGGTTTGACAGGCGTTAGCGTTTTAGGCGAGACGGGTGAGCCTCTGCCGATTTTAAGCCTCCTGATTGAAAATTCTCCTGAGCAAAAACATATCAAAAGGTAATATGCACAAAAAAAGAGTTGTACTGTACTGACTATACGACAAATTTTAGACTTAATGATGGTGTAAATGAGACAACGGATAAGAGGCACATGTGGAGGATAGACTTCAAAAAGACTTCACTCACTATACGTATAAATATAAGTGTACCCGTACATATATCCGCCATCGTAATATGGAATTATAATGAAAATGAAGAGATGAGCTATGCTGGAGTTAGTTTTTTAACTTTGTTTTAAAACCCTTTTGTTAAATTAATTGATTTTAGGTTAAAACGATGAGCATTTACATTGATGATAAAATGGTATGTGGGGATGTTCTAGTCAGGAAAGCTCCTGGGCATTGCCATTATAAAATAGCCCAGAAAATACCTTTAATAAAACCTCCTGAAACAAATTACAAACCTGTTGACAATCTGATGAAGTCCCTATTAAATTCAAGAGGTAAAATTTAAACAAATATAATTTTTGTATGTTGAACTATAAAAATTCAAAGATTATTATTAAAAATTTTCCCCAAGGCCCTATGAATTTTGAAGAGTACGAGCCACCAGAAATGCCATCAGGATTTGTCTTTCAATTCCAATTGTTGTCGACATGGGGAGATTCTTATTATATAGGGCTCAACGGGATAGAACTTTACGACATGAATGGAATTGCCATTCCGATTTCTGAGACAAGTATGCAGCACGAGTATAATAACAATAAAAATATATTTATATTCATTTGTCATAGATATCGGCGCTTATCCTTCGAGTGTAAATATTCTCGATGGGATAGAGGACGATGTGAGAACGCCAGACAAGCTCCTTGACGGTATAAACACTACAACGGATGGAAGGCATATGTGGCTTGCGCCGATATTGCCAGGGATTGTACGTGAACTGGCATAATATAATTTTTAATTATTCTCAAAATATTGTAATTTTTTGACAGATCAATACAGTCTATATAACATTCGATACCCCAACAACTGTATCAATTATAAAACTTTGGAATTATGGTAAAACCCCGAATAGAGGAGTTAAAGAGTTTGGGGTAAGTTAAATAACATAAAAACGTAACAAATTTATAAACTATTTTATTTTACAATAGATCTTAGTGGATGACTTACTGGTTTACAATGGTATTCTTGAAGCAACCAATGGAAGTGAAAATGTGCCACACCGGACGGTAATATTTTCAAGAGACAAGGAATTTACCAAGAAATATACAAATGATAATTCAAGGTAAGGCTTTAATTAAATTCAGACTGTTATTTTAATTGTATTAATTATTTTTATGTGCCCAGGATAAGGAATTCTATTGACTCAAGCAGGGTATCTATAATATCAGCAGATCAATCAAAACGACCATTCACATCTTTACAAATCCCAGTTGACTATTCTAGGAGTAAAAGTGTTTTAGATTTCTAGGCTTAACTCGAAAGCCATAGCTATTCTCCTGTCAAAATAGAAAAAAACCAACAGTCGGATAAACAAATACCCCACTCTCTCTCTATCCTCCTCTTCCTTTTTATCCAACGAAGCTACCAATAAACACACGAGAACATGAAATGTTAATGAAACATAAGTTGAGTGGCTTCTTTACCATACTATTGTAAAATGTACAAGTTGTTAATAATCTTCTTTTCTTTTTTTCTCTCTAGTCTATTTTGTAAGTGAAAATTAATTAGGTTTAGATTTAATTTTTTTATTAGACTATAAATATTGTGCCTTTATAATGTTGAGGTTATTGTCAATAATTAATGCCATATTGGTAAGTCCTACAGATAAATACAAACTTTATTTCATTAAAAATTAATATATATGCATTTCATTGTGGAATAATTATTTTTTTAAACTTGAAATTTTAATAATTTATAATGCACTCTGCAAATATCAATAACAAAGTAGTTTAAAACTTCTGAAGTAGTAAATCTGTGATATATTATTCTTGAACTTGAAGAAAAGGAAAAAAAAGAATAAAATTAAACTTAAAATAAGTTATTCTTAAAAATTCAAAGTTCAAGTAAATTTTGTTACAAACAACAAAACTTTCATGCCATTCTAAATTTTTTTAGACTAAAATAAAAAAAACTTAATGATTTCTTATGTTTATTTAAAAAAAAATAAATTTATATTCAAGTGGCTCCACATTAACTTGTGTACAGATTTGTTCGCTTTTTCTTATATACTTATGCAAAAATTTGTTTTTAATCATAAAATCAACTTACCTTAACAGTATTTTTGGAAGAACTGATTAATTATGCATTTTATGTATTTAAAATATATTTATTTCTAATTATTATTATTTATATTAAATAAAAATTTAACAATAATCATTCAAATTATTCATTTAATACAATTGCTATTTCTACACACATACATACATATTATATTAAACAAATTGAAAATACAATTCAATATTAGGAAGATGGTATCAGGGTAAAACAAGTTAAGAATAAATTAAAATATAATTAAGATATTGGGTACAAAATTTAAAAAAAAGTTTAATCATTCCCAATCATACTTGACTATTTCTCCTGTATTGTTAAGGCACATTTTCCAACTTCCAACCTCAAGGATGATAAATAATTAAAAATCATTGCATATTCTAGGGTGAGGTGTTTACCTAAACGCCCTTTATTTTACCTACGTTATTTATTTAGACAAGAATCCAGTTGAGGTTTTTAAATGTATCAACTTTTCCTTTTGTTAAACATTGGAAGTTTTTGGTTAAACATCATATAATTATGTGGTGATAAAGATGGGGAAATGTCACAACATCTCTGATGAAATGAGCAATCTAGGATGATAGGGAATGATCCAACTCCAACCAAATATTTAATATGAGAAACTTAAACAAAATTGATTGAATTTTAACAATTGAACAAAATTGAATTTTAAAATAAGTGATGAAATGAAATGAATTGGCCATCCGTGACAGATTTTTTCAAATCAATTTTTAATTTTTATAATTAACCACTTACCTTAAATCAGTATCAATCAAAATAATTACAATCACCGTTAAATTGGCAAATTTTTATAGTCATATTGTTTACACTTCCAAGTCCCCCCCCCGGTTTTTTAAAAGTACTCTCACTACATAAGCTTACTTTGTATTAATGCTTCTTTTTAAAAAAAGTTGTTATTTTATTCTATTTAATAATATTTAGTAAAATTCTGATAAAACTGATTTTAGGTTTCATTTACTCTGGACATTTCGTGCTTATTGATCCAGTTCAGCCCTGTAAATCAACAGGGCATCAGCAACTTTCCAATTTAATTGTTCGATATGCTTAAATGTATGTGTCTGTACGTACAACCAAAAACTTTTTCTTGAGCCAAAAACGTCCAGAATAATCTAAAGACACTTGGTTTTACTTTCTCCACATAACAGCTAACAACTAAATTAAAAAACCGCGGCCGGTGTAACAATACAAATATAATAAAGAAAATTTTTTGTGTAATCTTCCCTCTCTTTTTTAAAAACAAACAATACATGTATATATAACAACAACAAATCTGTTTCTAATTGATTTTTTCTTACAAAGATTATAGAATGTACAAATATATACCAAATTCAGTCTTTTTTTAAATCAGTTCAAATCTGATAAATAATGTTTCCATTTAGCAAGCTCTTTCCAATTTTTGTCCATTGAACTGGTTTGGGCTTCGAAATAACCGTTGGTGTACACCTCAAAGCACATTCAAACCAAGACCCTGGTACTGCTTCTGCAATTAGTGTAACAGATCCAGAGTTCGAAAGTCCTTTCACTGGCAAAAGTCTTATTGTCACTGAAATCATCCATAGAAAAACAATAAATCTTTAAAAAACTATATATATGAAAAAAACCTACTTGAGACTTTTCTTGGCTTAAAGAACCAGATGAAAGTGCAGTAAATTGGTGAGATTTCAAGTAAGTATCTTGCTCTTGTTAACAGTCCACCAATCATCACAATGCCCAACCGAAGCTGAAATTATAATAATTCAAGTTTTCCTAACTTTTGTTTTTTTAAATTTCTCACCAGGGTGAAAATAATGTAGTAGACCAGTGTAGTGGGCAAGAGGAAAAGGAGTACTGTAAAACAGACAGTAGCGACAAAAAGCTGTTCGTTGTTGTAAGGAAAGGAGTCGACCTTGCCCGGCTCAGGATTTCGTTTACGTCCGAAAAATATTGCTGATAATGAACAAAGCTGTTTGAATTGGAAACTGAAAAGCCTGAAAAACAGAATTTGTTAAAACATTTGCAAATCTTAACCAAAGGCACGTACTTCGCTGCATAGACGTATATGCTGTAGAGATGAAATGACACTAGGGAAAATATATCAGCAAGTAAAGCGATCTGGAAGGAGCAACCTAGAAAGCCCATTTTGAGAAAAAGTAAAAATGCCAATTCCAAAAGAGGCCTGATAAGCCCTAAAAATAAAATTTATTCATTTCAAAAAACAATTTTCTTTGACATTGGTGACATCTAATACCAAGAAAAATCCACCACAAATACATGTGATAGAGAAAGAAGGTCCCAAGGATAAAATTCAAAGGATAGTTGAGCTTCAGCCCTCCTGGACTCCCCATTATCCATTTCAGTGTGACACTGATTGAATCTACAAGCTCCTAAAAAGTTATACGAATATTTTATAACAAAATTAAAAAAAAATTATATGCTTAAAAATATAATTATTTAAAAATGGTGGATATTGAGGAGAAGATGGCAAGGAGTAGCTTGATTTTCTCCAATACTCCTGGTTTGCTTAACTTTACTGGTTTTTCCTGGCCAATTTGTCATTGGTCTGAATATTATTTTAATCACGTCTTTATAATTGATACAGATCTACTACTGAAATTGGTAAAATAGACACATGTGACTGATAGGCAAAACCAGCGAGAATAGACCTGGATGTTTGGAGATGAACAAGCTACATTATCTTGACTAAATTTTTATTTCAATTAAAAAAAAAATAAAGATAATATTTATATTGTATTTATACCTCAGATACTGTGGCTATCGAATGGAAGATCTCGTGTTCAGTACCCCATTTTGAGAGTGCCATGGTTATGAAGAATCCAAGGGGCATGTCAAATAGAATGGACATGATGAAATTTCCTCGCTGAAGCTTTAACGTGTCAGGAATGTAATAGCTTTCAATGAGCCATTTAAGATTTTTTGACCTTTCAAGAAGGTGAAGACCGACAGATGAGAGCTGTGTTATATGGTAACCTTTGGTAAGCCAATAAACTATAAACTGGAGTATAGAAGCTGCCAATAGAGTGATTACACTCGGCTTATGCTTTGTAACTTTTGACTTTTTAACATTCAAAAAGTGGACTAGAGTTTTGAAGTAGTCGCCGTCAAATTCTTTATCAGGGGATCTGGCCAGAAGCAGTTCTGAATCATAGAGAAGATCAGGACTGTAGCGAATAACATGACACTGGTTCAGTGGGCAGTCTTCGTGGTTGATGTAAACCTTGTGGACGAGGGTATCGGCATTGAGATGGTTCAACAAGACCCAGTTTTCCCGTCTCAGGTCTAAGAAAAACCGCCCATTGACACCGCAGCTGCTTCCGATCAGGCTGTAGCTTTCCAGATCAGGTTCTGGGCTCTGCTCAAGACAAGAATACATGCCGAGGATGTAAAACGCCCTGCATGATTTTGAATCTGATTCACAATAGACTCCATAGAGGTAGCCGGAAAAGTCTTTTCTGATGTCTGGTACAAAAATCAAAACTGTGTCCATTCTTCATTCAACCATTCTTTCACTAACAACAAAATAATGATATAAGAGAATTGAATAAGAGAAAAGAAAACAATAAGTTGTAATTTTATATAATAGCTGAGTTTGTTCAGTCGTCTGATTCATATATTTGTTTATGAGCAGTCTCGGATCAGATTTTCCCTGGAATATTTTTTAGTAATCTGAATCTGATCTGAGAAAGTTTTCCAAAATACACTTGAAACTGTACTTTTTGGAAAAATCAAAACAGGATAGTTTCTAAGGCAAGGAAAACTATTTAAGAAGTTTAAAACAATCTCACTATCATGTAACAAATTGTAGTTAGCAACAGTAATGTCCAAACATAGAATCCAATCAATTTATTTTGCTGTCTGGTGTGACAGGTTTTAGAAAAACATTTTATTTATCATGCCGTTTCCATCTTTATTGAGATCATGTTCAGGGCCTGGGATTTATAAACATTATTTAAATTTTACAAATATATGTACGATGTGAAAAAAATGAATTTATACAATGATAGAAAATTTTAGATAAAAAAAAAGAATTTATACAATGCTAGAAAATTTTACATAAAAAATGAATTTATACAATGCTAGAAAATTTTAAATTAAAAAAAAGACTACANCATTGTAGTCTTTTTTTTAATTTAAAATTTTCTAGCATTGTATAAATTCATTTTTTATGTAAAATTTTCTAGCATTGTATAAATTCATTGTTTTTTCTAAAATTTTCTAGCATTGTATAGACATTTTTTTAATCTAAAATTTTCTAGCATTGTATAAATTCATTTTTTTCACATCCTACATGTATTTGTAAAATTTAAACAATGTTTATAAATCCCAGGCCCTGAACATGATCTCAATAAATATGGAAACGGCACGATAAATAAAATGTTTTTCTAAAACCTATGTCACACCAGACCGCATCTCACAACCTCCAATTAATCATCAAGTAAAGGTCACTAAACACCACACATTATTAATGATAAATGAGCAGATGTTCAATATCATAGTGAAAATTTTTGTAAGAATTATTTCTGCCTCAAAATCAGCTCTGGTGGTTATTAGACACACACTGAACCCGCTCTACCAATAAATTAGGAACGAGTAATATGCATTCATTTTGCTTCTTGATGCGCAATGATTTATTGATAGAACATGGGCTCAAGTGCATTGTCAAACTGTCATTCTAGGTTGAGGAAGATTTATGTCTTTAATCCAGGGTTGGACTCACTCAACCTTCTCCCAGATCACCAGTTTGTCTTTCGTCCCCGACATTCTACAACCCAGCAGGTTCTTCACATTGTAGACCCTCATATCCTCATCCCTTGAGCACAAACAATATTGCATGGAGGCCTTTCTTGTCAAGATACAAGCATTTCATTGCATGTGGCATGACGGTTTTCTGTACAAATTAAAATTTGGTCTTCCAAATACCTTGTTAATAATTCTTCCTATCTAACAGAACAATTCTGGGTCTCCCAAAGATTGGACTACTCCAAACACTGCCCTCTGGAAGCAGATTTCCACAGGACTGCGTGATCGAACCATTACCTCATTTATACCACAATTATCCTGACTTCACACTCCACTCTCCTAGCAGCTCTTTGCCGACGGTACAGCTGGGCTATTCCCTAATTCTGATCCACACTTCCTTCAGAGGAGCTCCAGGCAGGTTGCAAATAGCCGAGTAGAGCAAATTCTGGTGCCTTAAGATAAATGGAAGCAAATGCACCCATATTATTTTTAGCCTCCCCTGCCGAAACAAAACCCATCGTACAATATTCCTCAATAATTCTCCTATCCCAAAAACTAACTGTACCTGGTTCTATCTCGACTCACATCTAACCTGGAATACACAAACTAAAAGGCAAGAATCAAACAGATACTTCAGACTACTATACAAATTATTATCACGTACTTCACATGTATCAACAAAACACAAACTAACACTATGTAATAATCTACTGAAGACTATTGGACATATGGATTAGAACTATGCGGCACCGCTAAACCTTCCAACATCTGAAGTCCTCAGAACAATTGTCAACAGTACACCTCACAATGACCTCCATTCGTTAAAAACCTAATCCACAACAAATTTTCTACATTCTATGAACAACTATCCTCACATCCTAGCCCATTAACCTGATGCATGCCCAAAATTGCCCACCCCTACAAGAGGACTGAAGAGGAACTGGCCCTGGGAGCTCCTTACCAATAATTCGTAACTATTCAGAAAGCCAGGAGAACAACAATGCTGGCTCCTCATGGGATATACGTAAAATCGTATTGTATCTCATTATATAATGTATATAATTAGTACAGATGGTAATTAAATAAATAAATCAATATCCAGGGTCGGAAGAAGAGTATAATATTAAAAAATCAGATTTGGTACATATTTATTACACAATGAACCTTCTCTTCCAATAATACAAGACTATGTGCATTATAAACAGTAGATTATGCTTTTTGTAAATTCAAATCATTACTAAAATACTATCAACCCTAAACTGAAAATCTAAAGAAAAAATGTGTTGTTTAAGGGTGAAACAATAAACAAACATAATAATAATTTTATGTAGTGAACTATGCTACATTTCGCTTAATTTTTAATTATTTTCAATAAAAGATTGGTCTGGCTGTAAGATATAACATAGAAATTAAATTTGGGACTTAATTTAATTAATCAAGTTAATATTTTGAATGTAACTTTTTGTTCAATGTTAATATTTTTTAATTATTACTCACTGCGATAAAAATAACTTCTCTTCACTAAATTAAATTATACTGCATCAAATTCTCTCATCTTTATAATTATAACATAAAACATAAGCCTGTCAAAAACCATTATCGTTATCAGCTAAAAGGTTAACAATAAATAAGGTTAAGTTTATATGATAAAGATTTCATCTGAAACAAGTGGATGTTCACAAAGTAGGACCTTCGTTAATTAATTTAAATAATTGTTTTTAAATAGAATCTTGCCGTGCATTTCGCATGCGATTCGTTTGAATTATTTCACTCCAACGACGAAACTATTTTTGTACGTCTGCTATTATTTTAAAGCATGCTTTTTCTACAGTTTGGAAGCTTGATGCATGTTAACATAAGGTGATGACAAAAGCTTTTCTATGTTCCTTTAATCCTTTATAAATTTGACCCAAAAGATAAAAATAAATTTTAAATTAGACCTTAGATAAATTAATTGAAATAATTAATATAGTCAATTATGACCTCTAAACATGTATGGATTAATATAATAAAAATAAATGATGATATTTTGGACTTGATGATACTCCGATAGTTAGCATGTTATATGAATGAAATTGCATGGGGGGGGGGAAGAGCTGCCTTGAACTGTCGAGACGAATTGAGTGAATAATACTTAAAAAGACCTTGAACCATTGAGACGAATTGCTTTAAAAAAATTAAATAAAAAACTTATAAAAAGCTTCTTTCTGTTATTAGTTCAAAATAATTCTCTTTAAAACTACTGTTTAATAGACTAATGATTAATATTAGAAAGTTGAAGTTCTTTTTAATTTTTGTAATATATAAAAGTTGAATTAAATGAACAATTGCTTGTAATTTGATCCTTACCAATCTTTGTCTGCTTTTCCTCACTTGGTTGGTCTGTCAGGTGCTTTTTAGCATTTCATTTCTGTCAGTATGTTTCGATGTCACAAAAATGTCCCAGTTCCAACACTAAAGATGGCTAAATTAGAAAAAGTTGATTTTTGCATTTTTAGTCATAATCAAATTTTCCAAGGAAGAATATTGAGTAATCACTACCATAATTGAGGGGGGTTAGGTTTAAAAAACTACGCCTTTTATTTTGAGCTGAACTGACTAAGTTGTTGACGGCCCGGGAGCTTAACTTTAGCAGCTGAAGCATCTCTGCAAAACAATTGTCTGGGTGATTGAGGTGGCTAAAACTGGCCACATCTGTCACCATGATCAGGCGCTTCAGGCACTAAAAATACGCATGAATATGATCAGAGGTAATGGTAGTCCTAGTAGGTCAGATCGGTACAGAAGCTTCTTTATATCAAGAGCATAGTCAATGAGTGGCTCTCAGGGGATCTGAATAATAAAAGAAAAAAAGGTAGAAACAATGATAGAAATGCTGCTTGATTGTCTCACTTAATTAGAGTGTCATTCCTCGGATCCATATAGGGTGTGTGTACCAATGCTACCTGATGTGAGAATTGTTGAGCAAGCAGAGAGTCTTAGGTCCTCTGGTCCAATTTTTTGGAGAAACAGGGCTGTATTATTTTATATTTTATTTGATAAATATCTTGTTCCCATTGAGAGTGAATGTATTTATTATTGTGAACATGCAGAGAGAGGGGGTAATGGTGAAATAAACCATCGACTCTTCAACTTGAAATTTACATAATATGTGTAAAGGGAGGAATACAGAATACTTTGCCACCCTAATTGAGTCAATATATATGAGTGATTTAAAAACTGCATGGGTTTGAGGGCTGAAATGACCTAACTGTTGCCCTTGGAGCCTAACTTTATCAGCTGGTCAAGACCAAGGTCTGAACCCGGAACTGCCAAAACCAAAGGGTGATTCTCACTTGCTGGTTATTTATTGGAAATTACACAAAAGAAGTTATTGTAGGTCCAAGAAGTCATGGGTTTGGTTCTGTGTATGTATGAACATACTTGAGCAGTATTGAGCTTATATAAATTATTAAATTATTTCCGTTCAGATGATTTAAAAAAATCTTTTATATATATATCTTTAATTCTATAATTTGATCCTTACTAATGATCATCAGTGGGCAGATAATGTGTCTGACAGATCAAACCAGCTAGGATTGGCAGATCAAGATTATTGATAAGTTTCAATTAATTATTCTTTTTATGTAAGGTCTTGCTTGAGATGAAAAAGTTAGTGTCACAAGGGGATTTGAAAGCACGACCTTCGTCTAGTTGATTTTAACTGAAGGTCGTGGGTTCGAATCCCGCTTGTGACACTAACGTTTTCATCTCAACCAAAACCTTACATAAAAAGAGTAATTAATTGAAATAATTAAAATGGTCAATTAGACCACTAACCATAAATGGACTATTGATAAGGATCAAATTGCAGGTTCATCGTCAAATCACAGGAGGAAATTTCACAAAATATTTTTTTATTAATAACTTATCACTTTACTCACTTAAATATTATCAGCTAAACTTTTGTTCCTCGGGAACTTATTAAATCATACAAATTTAGAGAGAACTATATATATTTAAAAAAATATATTGGTCATTGTTAAGAAAAAGTCAAACTTCCTTTGTTTCCTACTGGGTATGTAACAATGGGATTTACTTCATAGCATAAAAAAAGTATTTTCCTCATAAATTCCAAATTCCTTATAAACTATTGCCTTACATTTACCCCATCTTATCAAATTTCATTTTTATTAAGGCGAACCAGTTTGTTTATGTATTTTTGATAACAGGAGTCAACATAGATGAGTTATACTCAAGTATTGGTCTAATTAATAAAATGTACAGTGCCTTTATACATTTAAAATGAATGAATTTTAAACACCTATTTGCAATTATAAATCAAGACCAGACTCAAAGATGACTCCTAGATCCCTTACACAGTTAAAAAATTTTTAAAATATATTTATTTAAAATTATTGTTCTTTAAATCACAGAACATGTATTTGTACGTAATAGGATTTATCTTCCTGTGGAAGTGGATAACATAACAATTTTATCAATAGTATTAAATTCACAATTATTACAGTCCTCAATGTATTTTATAATTTAAAATATCTTGAGCTCATAAAATGTATTTTACAATGGTGTTTCATTTTGGGACTGGACTTGGCCAAAATGGGTTGCAAAAGTATTAGCAATCTCTATACGGTTTTCAGATAAACCTCAATCATATTGCATGGATTCATGTAAAGTGTTGAGGTTTTTTCTTTTGTACACAAAATAAAAAGTTTTTAGGACTCGTCGACAAGGCAGTTTCAATTGCAATTAAATAGTTATGGTGATCCATTTTCACTCACTTGTTATATTCTGAGTGAAGCGTGGAAAACTAAGGGTGATCTTCATGTTAGTTTGACTGCTTATATTGTCTTTTTCATGAATGCAAGTGATTTTAATTAATAAATCAGAAAAAATGTTTTGTTAATCAATTATAGTTGGTATTAGCAAATCATAATACAGACAGTAAAAAAAATCTCATGGCAAAAATGCTTCGTCAGCAATTGAATTGTTAATTTCCTGAGGCAATGAGAAGATCAAGGTCAAGTAGTTTCATGCTTGTTGATGGTTTGTGGTCTGTGAGGTGAGAAATACAGATTATATGGGGTCGACCGGAAAATAATGCAAGTTTACGGTTATAAAATAAAATCCATTAAATAATTGATTTTGAACATTTTTTATTAATTAAAATACTCTCCATCAGTCGCAGTACACTTCTCCCAACGTGATGGCAACTTCTCTATACCTTCTGAATTGAATTTTTAGTCTTTATTATTAACAAATTATGTAAATGCATTTTTCAACGACTTTTGATCAATAAATTTTTTATGTAAAACATTCAGGTTTCTGAAAAAAAATTGGTAGTTGGTAGGCGAGAGGTCTGGAAAGTAGTGAGGATGAGGCAGAACCTTACATTCAAGATTCAATTCTATGTTGTTACATGTGAGGCATGGAGTGGAGCTTTGTTGTTTAATAGAATGGGCCTTTTCTGATTAACTGAAGATGGCTTCAATTATGCTAATTTCTGGTGCATTGCTTCAGTTGGAGAGCTATACATGTCGGCATTGATTGTTTTGTCAGGATTCAAGAAGTTGTAGAAAATCAGCCCAAATGAAGCCCACTGAAGAGTCACCATCACCTATTTTTGATGAGTTGGTGACTTTGGAAAATGTGGTACTGCTTCTACTTTGTTAAGTTAATGTCCACAACGTCTGTGATTGTAGAGAATCCACTTTTCACAATCATGAGTCACAATTCTATCCAGAAAAGGTTTGTTTCTATTTCGGCAAGGAAGTATTGCACAAACTTCATAACAATGATTTTTTTGGTGGGCGTTTAACGCATGAGCACCATTTTCACCATTCCAATTGCCTTAAGGTGGTAGCGACAGTCGATTTGCTAACTGAAAAATTTCTCGAATAATCGTTTTGGGATTTTCTTCAACGAAAGCTCTTAGAACATCATAATCTAGGGAAGAAATCCTTCCACGACCTTCTTTGTCTCCAAGGCTAAACTCTCCATCTTGAAATTTTTTAACCATCTCTGAACGGTGCTCTCACTCACACTGCCATCGCCCCAGACTTCAATGTTTCTGGCTATTTGGGCACCATTCTGACTGAGTTGAAATTAAAAAAATAAATTACGCGGTGAATTCCCCAGTAAAGGAAATGCTTCTGAGGTAAAAACATTTTTGTTTGGAAGGGCATTAAAAAGTGTTGACTTCACACAAAATAATAATCTATTTAACGTAAACAGTTTATTATATTGAGGGGTAATTGAAAGGAAACATGAAAACCTGAATTATTTTCTGGACAACTCAATATTAAATGCTGAAGAACTAGTCTGTTGCCTAATCAAGAACCAAACCTTTGAGGCATTCTTGAAGTCGAGAGTTGTTTTTCACTTAAAATATAAATGAATGAAACTTAAATAATAAATGAATGAATATTTATGTACGTTTAATATATGTAATATATTAAGACTGTATCATTATTTAAACATGACAAAAATATGGAAAATAAGAAGCCATTGTTTTTTTGAAAGAATTTAAAATCGATTTTTCTTAACGGAAAATTTAGAAAATGTTCGTACAAGACGTGTTTTATCCATTTGTTATTTTATCATGAACGTTTTTTTAAACGCTAAGAAACATTTTGACC